AGGAAACGTATGCAAAGGACCTGGCTCACACCTGACACATAATAGGGAAGAAGCTCTGGGAGCTGTCCCAGGCGTGTGCCTTTGATCTTGCCTTTCCTCTCCCCTGGGAGGTCTAAAGTCTTCCTCATCACCTCTTCCCCTCCAGCCTTTTTCTCAACCCACATCCAGTCACTCCCCAGAGTTTGAGGAGCCAGACATGCCCCCGCTTCCTTCATCGCTCTCTTCACCTATCTGATTTTAGCTGTCTGTCTGTGTTTGTGGTCATGTCTGTCTTGCTGCCACTAAAATGCAACCTCTTCAAAAGTGGGGATGACTTTATTGTCTTGCTTAGGCAAGTCCTGGAACATAGTAGTCTCTTGATGAATTTTTGTTAGTTAAAGTGAGGGGTGGATGGTTAGATAGATGCCTCCCAGGATTTTGTATTTCCCCCCTCTCTCTCTACATCCCTTCTTGGAAACTAGTGGTTTGATGGAAAGGTGTCTAGTGTTGAGTCAGTTCCCAGGCCAGATCTCAGGAGGCTCGGCTTTGTAACTCCTTGGCCAGTCCCCTGGAACAGGTCACCTGCTATCTGTATTTCCTGGTCTGTAAAATAGAGATAATAACACATCAAGCATGCTGAGAGGCTCCACGAGATAATGAATGTGAAAGTCAAGGCAAGGGGTTATTACATGTCTCTTTTGTTTTTTCACACAGAAGCTGGTTCACAGGAGGCTTGAGGAAGACGTTAATTTAAGAACCTCAGGCGGAGTCTCCCCTTTACTCTCATTTGGGGGTTCTGAAATGATGATGGTCATGATGATGATGCTGATGATGATGGCGGTGACATAGCTATTACTTACGGAGCGATTACTCTCTGGCAGGCTCTAGGCTGAGCACATTTTTTATGTTAATGCATTTAATTCTCCTAACAACCCCGGAGATTAGCCCCACTCTGAAGTAGCCAGCCCTGGTGACTCCATCACTGACTGTGTTCTCATTTTCTTCACAGCACTTATCACTGGCTAAAATTAACTTATTTACCTACTTGTCATGAACTGTCTTCCCAATTAGACTGTCAGTTTCGTGGGAGCAGAGCCTTATCTGTCTTGTTCTTGGCTGATCCCCAGGGCCTAAAGGGTCCCTGACTGGCATTCATTTAATAGGCCCATTTAACAGATGGGTCTGTCAGGCTGTGGCTCTAGTGTCACTTCCTTCCATGGTGCTACGGGTTCTGTGCTGTGCCCTGGCGGAGATCTGATGCCAAGAAGGTTGCCCAGAGCCAAGTCCTCGCCCTATCCCCTCCACCCCACCTCCAGTTTACCTTCTGATAGTTGAGGAGTTCTGCCTTGGACAGGGACACCAACAGAGAGTTTGTGGAGGCTCTGAGGAAGGTGACCTGGTTTGAGAGGATGAGAGTCACCTGGTTTCCCCTCTTTGTTCTGGCTCCGTCACCCATGAGTGGGGTTCATTTCTCCTGGGAACCCTTTTCATGGCTATTGCCCACTGGGCCCACAAGCTTTAATTCCAACCTTCAAGAGAATAGGATATTGGATTTCAGGATTTGGCACATAAGGAATGTTAACCTTATCCATAGTCAGAACTTTTCTAGAAGCCAGTGATCAGTCTTGGAACATTAAGTTGATTGGTAGCTTGAGCAGGCATTGGGACCCGGACACTATAGCTCCTGGCTCCTGGCCAGACACTCTTCCAGTCACCTCACTTTCTCACTTAGTCCCTCCAGCTTCCTATAGGTGGGAAATCCCTTTTTGTCTTGCAGCGGAGCGTTGTTTCGGTATATTCCAGAGGAGGGGAATTTCCACGATGGGAAAGGCATCTGGAAGGGAGACTAGTTTGGGATTAAGAGCTTCATCTTGAAGTCCAAGAGATTCAGGTTCAAGTTAGCTTCCACTACTTACTAGCTGAGTGACCTTGAGCAGCTAACATCACCTGATTGGGTCTCTATTTCCGGAATAGCTATCTCTCAGGACTATTGTGCAGAGTGGAAGAGATGCACAGAAAAACAGTTGGCACACTGTCTGTATATGGTAAATGCTTAAGGCAGGGCAGCTGCTGTGTATTAAGGAATCTACTGGGTGGATTGGTGACCCTTGTAGGCCAGAAAAGCCTCCCAGGTGACCAACCAACATTGTCAGTTCTTTTGTTTCTGATGTGACTTCTAAAATTTAATTTTTAAATAGGATAAGTAACTGATAGCTCATCAAAGCTATCAGATCATTCCACTAGAGTCAACAAATTGGGGCTCTAGGCCCAGCTCTACCACTGACTTACAGAGTGGCCAGGTCTTATGACGCTTTGCAACACCTTGATGTCTACCTCCAAGCTGAGCCCAGAGCATGATAATGGCTCAAATGTAGTAAGCACTTGTTAAGTGCCAGAAAAAGTTCTGAGCGTTTTTCACATGGAAGTGCACTCGATCCTCATAATTCTACACCGTAGGTGCTTTTATTAGACTCATTTTACACACAAGGAACAGCACTGAGGGTCCCAACTGACCAAGAGGGTGGGCTCCATAAGGCCTTTTTCTCCCATGGCCCTTTGATTTGGGAGCTCCCTTCAGCCTGGGGCTGGGAGAGGAGGTGGCAGCCATCCTGGGCTTGCTCTAGAAGTTCCTCTAACCCTAGGCCCAGGAGGCAGCTAGGAGGGGCCTCTTCTCAACTCCCCCTCATGAGGCCCTTGATTTATAGCAGCAGAAACTCGGGGTGTGCCTCCCTCTCCGCACCCCTGGAGCGGGAAGGTTTCTGTCATTTCTCTTTTTTGTGTGACAGCTCCCTCTCCCTCCCTGCCTCTCAAAGCCCAGGGCCCCACACCCTGGGGCCCCGTGGGATGGGAGACACTGTGCCCTGGATGAAACCTGTGAGAGAGCTGCTGCCCACGGCCTGCCTGGGTGTGGCCTGGCTCTGCTCCCACTCTGTGTCTAAGAATGTAGGCCTGAGCTGCAGGGCAGCAGGAAGGCACTTCCTGTGGCAGGATTTGCCCACCTACTCTCCACCACAGCGCCTGAAATTCCACCACTACAGTGGTCTCCTGGTGTGGTGAGATTGCCCTCTTGCATTACGGTAAAGCAGTGTGGCTTAGTGGACAGTATGTGGCTTTGGTGGACAGTATGTGGCTTTGGTGCTAGACAGGGCTAGGATTAAATCCGGGTCATGTCATGGACGAGCAGAGTGATCTTGGGCATTTCCTTATCCTTTCCAAGCCTCTGGCTTTTTCATCTATAAAATGAAGCGAATGGTGCTTACCTTGTAGTATTCTTGTAAGGAACAGCGTTAGTGAGTGGAGCGTGTTTGTTCTTTTATATTCAGTCAATATAATAGCAGCTGATATCGTTCCCATGAGTAAGTCTATCAGGCTCATCCAGAAAGGGGGCACTGGGGACTACTTCATTTTGGGGGCTCTTTTTCCTGGCCTGGCTGTCCCCATCTTCCCACCACTGTCCTGTACATACTCTTCGCTCTAAAACAAACACAAAGAGAACTTGCCCATCTCTATGCCTTGGCTCACAAATAAGAGCATGTTCCTTATCCGTGATTCTCGAAGTATGGCTCCCAGCTCCCAGCATCAGCTTTCAGGGACTTTGTTAGAAAAGCAAATTCTCAGCCACCCCAGACATACTGAATCAGAAGCTCTTGTGTGGGACCCAGAAATCTGTGGGTGGTTTTTTTGTTGTTAGTCCTCCCCCAAGGATATTTTTCCATTGACTGTTTTTTTAGAGGGAGTGGAAGGGACAGGGAGATACAGAGAGAAACACTGATGAGAGACACATTGATTGATTGCCTCCCACACATGCCTTGACCAGGGTCAGGGATCGAGCCTGCAACTGAGGTACATGAACGTGCCGTTGACTGGAAATGAACCAGAGACCCTTCTGCTGACCTAGCCACTGAGCAAAACCGGCTAGGGTGTAGAAATCTGTGTTTTAACAAGTCTTCTAGGTCATTATGATGCAGCTCAAGTTCAAGATCAGTATTCTATATTAGAGCATCATAATGCTCCAGCTGACTTCCCTCTGGGCTTGGGGAACTCTCTTAACTTCTCTGAGCTTCCGTTTCCTCGCCTATAAAATAAGAATCATCATAGTACCTGCTTTACAGGGTTGTTGTGGGAACTAAATGAGAGGATCCATGGAAAGTGTTTAGCTCAGTGCCTAAAACATGGCCAATGCTCAAAAAAGATTATGTATAATTTTTATCATCATCATTATGATTCTGTCTATCCCTATTTCCCTCCCCCTACATTTCTGAGTGGTATAATCCCCAGTGCTGGGTGTCCCAACTAAAATGTCTGCCTGCTTTAAAGAGCCTTTTCTCATCTCTTTCCTTCCAGCCCATGTGACTTGACTCTTGGGCCACATGCCTTGAATTTGTCCAAGTTCTTAGCACAGTGGCCAGGCTCTGCTTGCCTTGGTGTACCACACAGTATTCCACTCCAGTTCCCTGCATCTGAGCATCTGCTTGGACAATCTACAATACATGTTGGTCTGAAATGCCATTTCCCAAGGCCAGACTCCTCCTATGAGCCTCCTCGCTCTGATTCTCTGTCTCTCTCCATGACGAGGAATGATCTTCTGCCTTCTGTACCGACGGTTTTGAAGAGCATTTCTTTGGAAGAACTCTTGCTGAGTAATCTGGAAATGTTATTCTTTGCAGCTTGACATTGTCAGTTCCCATCTTTGTTACACTGATTCTCCTTGAATAAATATCTACTAAAGAAGCATTTATTGAATCCTCTCTGAAGGCTTGCAAGGTTGGAATTATGGTCTTCAAGTTGTAGATGAGGGAACTAAGGCCCCAGGTCTACAGCTTCTGCATGGAAACAGTTGGTATTGACCCCAAGCTTCTAGCTCTAGAGTTCATCCTCCTGCCGTCAAACTGCCTAAGGTGGTAGAGAAAGGAGTTTCACATTCTCAAGGCTGATTACTGTTCTTTGAATGCCTGAGGCTGACCCTTCATGGACCGTCTTCTGGGACAGCCTTCATTTGACACTCCTGACTTGCCTTCCAGTTTCAGGTCTGTGCGGCTGCTAAAGAACGACCCAGTCAACTTCCAGAAGTTCCCCTACACTAATGAAGACGAGGCCTGGAAGACCTACCTGGAAAACCCCTTGACGGCCGCCACCAAGGCCATGATGAGAGTCAATGGGGATGATGACAGCGTTGCAGCCCTGAGCTTCCTCTATGATTACTACATGGTATGTTAGCCATCTGGGCATGCCTCGCTCTGACTGAATGTGCAGCTCCACTCTCAGGCCTCATGGCTCCAACAACCTGGGACCACTCACAGCCCGTCACCATGTTCTCTCTCACCTGTCAGCCTTTGTACATGCTAGTCCCTCTTTCTGGCACCCTCTCTTTCCCTCTGGCTAAACCCTCTTCTCTGCTTTGGGTCTTAGCTTCAATGTCTCCTCATTTATTCATTAAAATGGGGGAGTCTTTCTTGGGTCTCCCATTCTGAACCTTCCTCTGGGCACCTTTAGCAACTACTGTCATCATCCTTGACTCTGGTTTAGAAACTTGCTATTTGTGCATTTATTTCTTCATCTCCCCCATCAGACTGAGCTCTTGGAGGTCAGGAACTATGTTGTGATCATTATTGAATCCTCAGTGCTCCATACTGCCTGTCACACAGTATTCAATACATATTGATTGAATGGTTCAAGGCCTCAGCCATACTCCATCACAACAACACCCCCAACCTGCCTCTTCTTTCTGCCCTGTCCCTTAGGTCATCCCAGTTGCCCTGTCAGTCTCACCTGCCTGTTTGAACCCCACCACCTAGAACATGCTTTGTGCTCTTGAACCCATTCTCTTGTTTCAGGGCCCTTCCCCAGACCCACCTTCTCTTGGAAGCCAACCTGCTATATCACCTCCCTCTCTCCTGTCTTACTGTCCTTCATACCCTTGCCATTGTATGCATTGCCATGCCTTCTGACAGACTGTCTTTTCTTATTCTCTAACAGTTTCCAGGGCCTTGGCCTGGACTCTGGGAAACTGTCAGTTACTGAGACCAGGAATTAGACCCTCCCAATTCTGATAAGTGAGCTCGAACCAGTTAGCCATCACAAATATATAAAACATATGACATCACCCCCACCCCCAGTCCACCGCCTGTTTCAGACATTGCTGGAGGATTACAGGCTGCATTCTCACTGAAGGTACATGAGGCCACAGAATCTTTTTAAACTCAGGCAGCCCCTACACAGTTATCTGAATTGTCACATGACAGCGAACTTGCTGGCTATTCGATTGCTCCATGAGACTTGCCCAAATTTGAGGATGGGAGTCACAAAAATCTAGTTGTTGAGATAACTAGCTCTGAGTTAGAAGATTGAAAGCCATCTTGTAAATAAGTCCTCAAAGTCACTGGCCAAGCAGTATTTTATCTACCCTGCCTCAAGAAGGAAGGCCAATTATAAAGTTAGATGTCAAGGGGAGAAATGGCCCCAGATATGAGAAGGCTCCAAATGATCTCTCTGGCTTTGGTTCTCCTCTTGGAGGGGGGTGGTTACCCTTCTTTACCTTCTCCCCAGCACTTAGCCCAGCCTGAAGGAAAAGAAATTGGAATTGGCTGCCTCAGCTTGGGGACGTGATAGGAGCCAAAATCCTAGGTCTGGGTTTACCCTCCAGCATAGTATTTACAGCTTAAGGTTAAACCATAAAATAAAATCCAGCCCCACTTCCCCTGGTTAATAGGCCATTCCCAGGGCCAGAATGGAGGGGACAGGCTGTGAAGGGACACGTGGAGTGGTACATTGAAATAGAGTGTCCTGTGAGACATTACCTTCCCCCATCACAGAGCACGCTGGATTCGGAACAGCCCTGTGGATAGTCTGATAGTGTGGGAAGAGCACCAAGTCGGGAATTTGAGATCTAGTTCTGCCACAAACAGGCAACGTGGCTTTGAGCCCTGTGGTCCACTTACGTTTCTTACTGGCTGCCAGGCACTGTGCCAGGTGCCTTCCCTCATATGCTCCATGGGCTGTGATTAAGAGTCCAGGTGTCGAGTAACTAGCCTGGGTTGGAGACCTGTCTGCTTTGTTAGCCTTAGGGAGAAGTGACCTGGATGCTCTAAGGTACAACAATATTATAATTATAATCGTGAAAGGTAATATTTATGTAGTACTCTCCATGTGCTAGGTGCTGTTCTAAGCACTCCCATCAATCTCCGAGGTTGGTATTACGGTTATTATCCCTGTTTTTCCAAGGACAGTGCGTTACAGAGAGGTTAAGGGCCTTTCCCAAGGTCATACGGCCAGTATGGGGCAGATCTGGGAATCGAACCCAGGAAATCTGGATTGGGAGTCCATGTAGGTGATATCATTCCCCATCTGACAAATGAGGAAACTGAGTCTCAGAAATTGCCATCATTTATCCAAAGCGCTTTAAAGTGGTAAAGCTAGGACTTGAGCCAAGCCTACCTGACTCCATCATTCCGAGATTTCCAAATGCTAATCTTGGGGTCTTTCTCCCACTCTCTAACTTGGGCTCAGACTAAACAATGGTTAGAGCTCCTGCCAACTCGAAGTCCTGGCAGTGTTCTCCCAGTGACCGAGGTTGCTCTGCTGCCTGGCCAAGTGCGCAGGAGCGGGTTGAGGCTCCTAATAGCTGGATCTTACCCAGAAGCCCCACCTAACTCCTTCCTCTCCTCTCCTCTCAGGGTCCCAAGGAGAAGCGGATACTGACCTCCACCAACGGGGGCCGGAACGACCAAGGAAAGAGGTGAGCTCACCCCCACCACCAGCTCTGCCTGTCCACCATTCCCGCCTCCACCTCCATCTCTGGCGCTGGGAGCACCGTGCATGCCTCACCTCAGGTTTTCTCTCCTGCCAGCAGATAGGCCCTCTGCTGGGAAACGTGGGTTCCTCTCTGTCTTGGCTGGCACAGGGTCCCTCCCCTGCTAGGAACAGTAGGTTTTTGGTGCATAGGACTTTTCTCAAAATGAGCTTTAAAAAAATGTTGTTAGCTTTTCTGATTATAAAAGTAATACCTACTTGTTGTAAAAGATTTAACCTCTGTGGAAATGTGAAAAGTGCAAAGTAAAAGATTCCTGTAGTCCCGCTCCTCTGCCTGCCTTAAGGTTTGTGGTCTGTCCTTCCACACCTTTTTTATCAACATCAATGAACTGCACTCATAGATGCTCACACCCACACACTCCCGTGGGATGACAGGAGCAGTTGTTTTAAAGTGGGGACATTTAACTCTGGCTGAGAAATAAGTGAACGCTCAGCTTTTAAGTTACCAAACACTGTAATGGATAAAGCAGCCCTGAGCCTGCACTTGGTCTCAGTGTTGAGCCCCTCCTCCCTGCTCCTCCCTGTGACACATTGGCCTGCTCCATGTCTTGTTTCATGAGGGCCTAACCATCAAGTGGATTAAAGAAGGTCAGTGTGCCAGTGTGAGGATCCCTCTCCAATCCCACTCCTCGGAGACAAGAGGCACACTCAGCTCTCCTCTCTCTCCCCAGGTACTACCACGGCATGGACTATGAGATGGACCTCACCCCCTTGGAAAGTCCCACGCACCTCATGAAGTTCCTGACAGAGAACGTGTCTGGAACACCAGAGTACCCAGACGTGCTCAAGAAGAATAACCTGATGAGCTTGGAGGTGGCCATGCCCTCCCCGGGCAAGGCAGCTGCCCTCCCCGCAGGCCCCAGCAAGCTGGAAGCTGGCGCTGTGGACAGCTACCTGCTGCCCACCAGTGACGTGTACGATAATGGCTCCCTCAACTCCTTGTTCGACAGCATCCATGGGGTGCCACCCACACAGCGCTGGCAGCCAGACAGTACCTTCAAGGATGACCCGCAGGAGGTGAGGGTATCCCCGTGCCCCTCACAGTCTCTCCGGAAATATGCACACAGGTGCAGAAGGAGAGGACACAGTGAGGAGGTCAGAGCTCTAGACACGGGTTTGCCGTGACCTGTGGTCCACGCACCCCTGCACAGCTACGTGCAGCAGCCTAGGCTGAGGCCCAGCCGCCCAAACCTACTAACTTATTCCCTTCCATTGTGTTCTTCTGCAGTCGCTGCTCTTCCCAGATATCCTGAAAACGTCCCCGGAGCCTCCATGTCCAGAGGACTACCCTAGCCCCAAGAGGTAATTCAGTCCCTGTGAACCCTTAGCCACCTGCTCAGGGGCAGGGCGCTGCAGACAGAGTCTCACACTGCCCTCTGAGCGGTGAATGAAAATTGGGGAGTGAAGCTAAATGAAAGAAAAGACATAAAGAGAATGATTTCTGCATCCCTCTCCCGGGCTCAGGACTCAGCGCCCTGTCAGAAAACCAGGGCTCTGCTGCTCCTCGTGTCCCCCGTGGCTTTGTCACTCCTCAGCGGTCTCTCTGGTTTCCACTGCTCACTATTCAGCAGGGCTGGGGCTCAGCGAAGCCATTACATAGGTTTCCAAACATTGAGGAGACTGCGGCCCAGGGAAGTAGAGTGACTCACCAAGGTCACGCAGCAAGTCTGCAGCAAAGCTCAGGCTTCCCCCTCTGCCCTCGGGAGCACCCCTGCCTGGGAGCCCAGTCTCACCGTCGTCCCCCTCCTTCTCACAGTGACTTCGAGTACACCCTGGGCTCCCCCAAAGCCATCCACATCAAGTCAGGCGAGTCGCCCATGGCCTACCTCAACAAGGGCCAGTTCTACCCCATCACCCTGCGGACCCCCGCCGGCGGCAAGGGCCTCGCCTTGTCCTCCAACAAAGTCAAGGTGCGTTGGCCCTGAAGCATTGTGGGAAAGGGTGGGATGGTCGGGTCAGCCCTGCCTGCCTGGGGCCCAGGGAAAGGGTGCTGCTGGGTAACTGCCCAGTGCCATGGAGTGGGGGAAACGAAGGCCAAAGGTCAGGGCCACGGGAGCCAGGCTCAGGGAACAGACCCACACGGCGGGGGCCTTTCCCACGGCGGGAATCACAGTGGCCACTGTGCTTGCAGAGCGTGGTGATGGTTGTCTTTGACAACGAGAAGGTCCCGGTAGAGCAGCTGCGGTTCTGGAAGCACTGGCATTCCCGGCAGCCCACAGCCAAGCAGCGGGTCATCGACGTGGGTGAGAGCCGTCCCAAGCCCCCTCCCAGTCTGTCTCTTACTGTCTCTCACACACATACACACACCTAATCAGGCCTTTCTTGCTGTGTCTCGTTCTCCCAGTCCCCTCTGACCTCTAAAGGACTTAGTTGCAACCCCAGCTGCCTGCCTGCCCCCACACCCTCTCCCAGGTCAAAATCTGTGGAGTTTGCAGGGATTTGCATCTGTTGTCTGGAAGCAGCGGCCTCTTTTCTGAGTTGCTTTGGGATAAACAGGCCTTGGGATTCCAGCTGTGTCAGATAAATGGCCCCCTGGGATGCGGGCGGCTTGTCTGCATCAGGGGCCTTAAAGGACTGAGACTCCAATGCATTAGATAACAGTGTAGGCTGCTGGTGATTTGGGAGGCTCCATGCCCAGCTGGCCAGTTCTGCTTTGGGTGCTGGGATCAGGCTTTGCCAGAGGGTAGGGGGCAGGAGGCAGGCCCAGTGTCCATGCCACCTTGTCCCTGTCCCAGGCCCCAGGATGGTGGGAGACACAGGCCATGCTCAGATCTCCAGGTTCTGGCTCGATCACTCTCTTCCTGGTGTGTGGCCTGTGTTATATCTCCTTCCGGGCTTCATTTCTTCAACTGTCAGATGGAACAAGGCTGGCTGCCCTGCCGGCCACAGTGCTGCTTCTGCCTGGGACACAGCATGCTGAGGAGCATGAGACAACAGGGACGATTCAGTGACTTCCTGAGAGGCAGAGAGCAGAGAGCCTGGGTTCAAGAGCCAGACAAAGCTGAGCTCTGCTCCTTGCTCTGCCCTTTATTACTGTGTGACCCTGGGCAAGTGACTAAACTTCTCTGAGCTTCATTTTCCTCATGTGAAAGCTGAATATTCATAGTGCCACTGTTTGTGAGGATTAACTAAAGCCTTGCCATATTGTACGTGTTCCTAAGTGATACTACCATTTATTCACTATTAGTTCAATAGTTCAGTATTAGTAGTACTGATACCACTGTGATTACAACCACTATTACTATTACTGTTATTAGTCCTTTATCTGAGAGATCTCCTGAATCATAATCTCAAAGAAAGTATAATCTTTACCCCAAAAAAACAAAAGCTTTGGCCTTGTTGGCAAAGATAAGGATTCCCTTCAGGGTTTGGGCAAATCTGCTATCCAGGCTGGACCTCAGTTTCCCCATCTGTAACCCAAGGCACAATCACCAGTTTCCTCACTGCACTGAAACATGGTTCTTGGGGGAGAGGATACAAGTCTTTGCCAAGAATGGGGCCCAGCTCCTCAATGCCTCCCTCTCACGGTGTCCCCAAAACCCTTCCCTCCTGACTCTTCTCCCGGTTTCCTGTGGTTTCAGCGGACTGCAAAGAGAACTTCAACACCGTGCAGCACATTGAGGAGGTGGCCTACAATGCACTGTCCTTCGTGTGGAATGTCAACGAGGAGGCCAAGGTCAGTGCCGGAGCATGGCGAGTTCAGGGCCGGGCAGCCCGAAGTCCCCATTCTGGGGACAGGGCTTGCCTGCACCTAGGACTGTGGCAGCCGCTCCCATGAGGGCATCAGTGGAGGAGGCAGGATAGAGAGCGGTGAAGCACAGGCTCTCAACCAGAAAGGCTGGGCCTGCATTCCAGCCCTGTGGGCTCAGGCCAGTGCTGTAGCTTTAAGATTGGAAGGGAATCATAGCACCAGCCGTTCGGCTGACGTGAGGATCACGTGAGATAAGTAAAAGGTAGAGCACAGCCTGGCACATAAGTGGTGGCTGTTGGTATTAACCCAGCCCTCCCATCCACCAGATAGGAAAGCTGAGCCTCGTGCAAGGGCACAAGCTGCTGCTGGGCCAGGTTTCCTGACTGGCAGGCCAGTGCAGTGTTGCAGGAAGATGCTCTGGAGTCCGGTGGATGAGGCCTGGAATCCCAGGTGCCTCCTCTCTTGAGCCATAGGAAGGAAACGGTAACCCGCCTCTGGGGCGAAGATTCCACCAGATCATGCACGTCTGAGACGGGCACAGAGCCAAACCCACCAGGGAGGCCGGAGAAATGGAGCCTCTGGTGATTTTTTTGTACCGGCAATTAAGCCACTGGATGCTTACGGCCAGCCTCGAGTGCTGCTGGGCCCCTGTGTCTTGCTTTTCTGTTGGGAGAGCTGGCATGTGGAAAGGGCCACATGAGAGCCAGGGGCTGGGTGACCTTGCCTCTGTCCCTTCCCCTCCCTGGCAGGATTGGGTTCAGTTCAAGGCAAGGACATTCTGGCCTTGGCCCGGCTGGGAGCTAATCCCTGTCTCCCCGCCTGACCAGGGGGCCTGAGAAAACGGAGTGAGGGGCTCTGGAAACACAAAGGGAGGCCCAAAGGCAGGGATTATTATTATTCAAACAGGTGCCAGGAACAGGAGGGGGAGCGGGGCCCCGGTGCAGAGAGGTGGGGACAGTTTCGTGGGAAGGGAGAGGTGGGTTTCGGTTGGGGTTTTCTCACAGCTTCTTACGCCCCCAGGCGTGGGTCTTTCTCAGGCGTGAGCTGGGTGGGGGCTCCATTAGGGCTGAGCTGGCTGAGGGGGAGGTATGTCTGGCATGTGCCCAGGACCCGCCTCCCCCACGGCGTGGGAAGGAAGGGGGTCTGCTCAGGCACCACCCCCACCCCTGCTGTTCGGGTCAGGGTCATTTCCAAGGGAGTGGGGCATGGCCCTGGCACCCCATGGAAGAGTGAGCTTGCCAGGGACTGCCCTGCTGAGACTGCCCCAGGCCACCCTCAGTCAGGCCTGAGCTTTGGGTGAGACTCCAGCTAACCCACTAACAGCAGCTACACATGTCCGACAGCCACTACATGCCAAGGCCACTGGTGACCCACAGCTCAGCAACTGAGGAAACAGCTCCATGTGGTTAAAGCACTCCACAGGGGAGTGAGTGGCAGAGCCCAGCTTCCCACCCCATTGTGGGGGCCCCATGTCCAGGCTCATCCCACTCGGCCACCCTGCCTGACTCCCTGCTCAGAGCCTCACTTCCTCAGCTGTGAATGGGGGTGACCGGTCTGGTGTTGGCTGGAGCTGGTGTTTGGGGTGCAGAGGGGCAGTGTCTCACTCTCTGTGGCCCAGGCCCAGGAGGACGGTAGTCTTCTGAAGCTGGGGGCCTGGGGTGGAATCTGGCCCTTCTCCACCTCCTCACTCCGAGTTGTAGAAAAACGAGGCTCTTGATTTTAAACCCCTAAAGGACCATTAACCTCCCTCTCAGGGCCTTGATCCTTTGGGCTGCCGTGTCACTGTCTACTAGTAACGACTTGGGCTCAAACCCGGCTCCCCCACACCCTCCCTGTGTCACCCTGGGACAGCTGTCCCGTTCTCTGAGCATCAGCTCCCCTTTTTGTAACAGAAAGGTGGTGTTTGCTTCCAGAGCGGGTGGAATCGGGGCTCAGCAGGCACGCAGTGGGCTCCGTAACAGGGATTGGTGGGACCGCAGAGCTGGGGAGCCGGGCAGGCTGTTTGGTCAGCTCCCCCGTCTGTCCCCAGGTGTTCATCGGTGTCAACTGCCTCAGCACAGACTTCTCGTCGCAGAAGGGGGTAAAGGGTGTCCCCCTGAACCTGCAGATTGACACCTATGACTGTGGCTCCGCCACCGAGCGCCTGGTGCACCGCGCCGTCTGCCAGATCAAGATCTTCTGTGACAAGGTGACCAGAGCGACAGGCGCTCTACTGGGCCCAGGGAGGGAGACGGGCTGCCCCTCCTGCATCTTACCAGCCACCTGGGCGTGTCTGTCTCTCTCTGCACTTGCTCTCTGAATTTCTCTGTGTCTCTGTGCTTGTCAATGTCTGTCCTGGCCCCTCTATCTTCCCCTGTCTCTGCTTTCCTATCTCATCTATTTTATTTTATTCATTTTTATTGACATCAGAGAGGAAGGGAGAGGGAGAGAGAGATAGAAACATCAATGATGAGAGAGAATCACTGATCGGCTGGCTGCCTTCTACACACCGCACACTGGGGATGGAGCCCGCAATCCGGGCATGTGCCCTGACTGGGAATTGAACGGTGACCTCCTGGTTCATAGGTCGACGCTCAACCACTGAGCAACACTGGCCAGGCCCTTTCTCATCTCTTTCGGGAGATGTCTTTCCAGAGCTCTAGAAATGTCTCTCTTTTTCACATTTCTCTTCTCCTCATTTCTCTCTCTCTCTCATCCTCAACCCCTCCCTCCCTTCCTCTATATTTTCCTACTTCCTGGTCTCACACTGGGAAGCAAGCAGCATCAGAAGGCTGGCCACATTCAAGATGCAAAGCAGCCAGCCCCTCCCAAGACACTTAATGACTCCCTTTCCATTTCCCCCTCACAGGGAGCCGAGAGAAAGATGCGAGATGATGAGCGAAAGCAGTTCCGGAGGAAAGTCAAGTGCCCGGACTCCAGCAACAACGGTCAGTGGAGATGAGTCAGAGACTGGTCTGAGCTAGGTTGGGGTGAAGGGGTCAAGGAGACTAGAGGGCAGAGGTTGGGGGCATGGATGGAGGGACCTCAGGTCACCATGCCTCCCTTTTCCCACCAGGCATCAAGGGCTGTCTGCTGTCCGGCTTCCGGGGCAATGAGATCACCTATCTGCGGCCCGAAGCTGACCTGGAGACCCCGCCAGTGCTGTTCATCCCCAACGTGCACTTCTCTGGCCTGCAGCGTCCCGGAGGGGTGAGCGCCGTGGGCTGGGAGAGGGTCTTAGCACCTTAGCACAGACCCGGGGGAGCAACCTACCACTCAGCCAACCCAGGTTCATTTAGATGTTTATGTGTCCTAATATTTTTTACATCAAAATAAAAGTACCTTCATTGAATCCCAGGAAATTTGTAAAAATATATACACGCGATCACATAAGTTGTGACCTTTCTACTCCAGAGAAGAATGCTAATGAGGAAATGGGCTTTGTAGCCATCAGAGTGTGTATGCTTGGAGCACACACAGAGGAGCTTTTTAATATCTGAGCCCCAAATCTGATGGTGGCCTCCTCAAAGCTCGTGGGTATACTCATCTCAGAGACGCCATGAGCAGGCTCAGTGCTTCCCCCGTCACCTCCTTTGACCTCCACTGCATCCCTGTGAAGTGGATTATACCATTCTCCCCTGATCTGTGGGGTGGAAACTGAGGCACAGAGTCCTCCCAGGATTACACAGGAGTGGCCGAGCCCGATCCAGGCTGCCTGCCTTCAGAAACGGTGCCCTGATTCACTGGCTTCACCCCCTCTCAAGGCAGAGGCAGCCACAGAGCACCTTGGGCATCTGTCTCGTCTCCCCTCTCAGCTGTCCTTTGAGGCAGAGACTGGTCATCCCCATTTGCAGACAAGGACCACAAGTCAGCAGCAGAGCCAAGGTCCCACAGCCTGTCGGCTAGATAAACATTTGGACAGTTTTCTTCCTTTGAGGTCATAGCTCCCCACTGCTGAGGAGGGGATGTGTGCAGAAACAGCCTTTGGTGTACCAGATGGATTATGGAGCTGGAAGCGCAGCCAGTCCTGGTGCCATCCGTGGCCTCATTTAAATCCTTTACTATGTCCTCCCTCTTCCCTTCACTGCCCCAGAATCAGAGCTATAGCCTCCAGCAAGAACTCACTCCTTCCCCAACCAGAGGCCAAGTGGGAAGATGACTGACCACTGGCGATTAAGGCCCCTGTGGCCAGGTTACAGCCGATCTGTGGGGAAAGACAGAGGGACGAGTCTTTGCACAGGGGCCTGAGATGGGGCACCCAGGAAGTAGAAAGAGTGGAGAACTGGAGTCCTGAGTCCGAATCCGGACTGCCTGCTGCTGGGCGTTCCCCAGGGCTCCCTGCCCTCTCTGGGCCACAGTGTTTCCTGCTGGGACTGGCGATGACTGCACCAGGCAGCAGTGCCAGGCCCACAGGAGGGGCAAAGGGCGTGCTCTCTCCTCCCGCCTCTGCCTCAGCTCCCACACTAGTCACCTGCTGCGGGACAGTCTGGGCGTGCTGGGCTCAGGTGGGACTCCATGACCCTGCCAACACTCCAGCGCCTCCTGTGTCAGAGGCCCTGACTCATCCCACGTAGGTGAGAGGCTTCCTCTCAGTTCCAGATCTCAGCTCACGGAAGGGCTGTGATCCGAGCAGTATGGGCTGGAGAGGCACCAAGACTGCATCTCCTTCTCCCCCAGCCAAAGACTGTCCCCCCAGAAAGCCTGCAGCAGCTGGGGGCTCCGCTCAGCGTTTGCATGTGAACAAAATGTCTTTTCTCTCTATTGCAGGCAGTGCCCTCGGCAGGACAGGGCGGCTCCAACAGGTACGGAGACCAGCAGCGCAGGGCCTCACGGCCCTACCTGTCCCCCTTCACTGCTCTCCTTGCCCCCACCCGCCTCCCAAGCTGAGGGCTGGGCCCGGAGGAAGCAGCCACAGGTCTGCCCCAACCTCCAAGCTCCCAGACTCCTGCTCCTTTCTCGCTGAAACTGCCTGGGTTTTTATGGGTTCGTTTTATGTGAAAAGCTGGCGAATCTCTGGCGAGACATCTGCTTGTAAAAAGGGAAAGAAAAAGCCTCAGAGATGGGGGTCAGATGTGGAGGGTGGGGAGGGGAAGCTGTGGTGGAGGACTCAGGGGCTCAGAGCCCTCCTCCCCTGGGCCCTTCAGTCTAAGAAGGGCCTCCACCTTCTGTCTGTCAGCCACAGTCCCTTCACTCCGCTCAGCCTCAGCCTGGGAATCTGTCAGATGAGAAACTGACCTCCTGGGTCAGTTTCACATCCATCCAACCTGATCTTTCAAAAAATAATGTGGGTAATGAAACAACAGTCCACGCTTATTGAGGCCCTACTGGGGTCACACACTGAGACAGCAGTGTGCATCATCTCCTCCAGCCTCACCACCTTCTGGGACAGTGCTGGTTTGTTGTCATCCCACTTCACAGATGAGAGCCCTGGGAGGCTGACTCACCCCTAGCCACCAGCCAGTGAGCAGCAGGGCTGGGAGTTGAACCCAGGCAGTCCAGCTCCAGAACATGCTACCCTAACCGCTGCTCCCCTGCTTTGCCTGCCTTCATGGGGTCTCCTTCACCTCCGAGGCCCTGCAGGATCAGCGGGGTCCTTTGGCCTCGGGTCCTGCTGAGTTTCTGATGAGCCCCTCGCTGCCGTCCCCACAGGCTGCCTCTGAAGCGTGCCGGCTTGCCCTTTGCTGAGGAGCTGGAGCCGCTGCCCTCCAAACAGGCCAAGGAAGATGACCTGCAGAGAGGTAGCCTCACTCCCACCCCCTTTGCTGTTGGAGCCCAGCTCACCCCAGCTCCCTGTGAGGCCTTCCCCGAAGCCTCAGTCTCTGATCCTGGCCCAGGCAGAAAGGGTGCGAGGGGCTGCTCCACGCCTCAGAGCTGGGCCAAGGCTTGAAGAAGGGGGAGGAGTAAGGGGGCACCCAAGGTACTTAGAGAGACAGTCATGGAGCTGGAGGGCTCCCGCCGCCTCTGACGTGTTGGACATGGGTGTCCTGGGGCGCTGGTCAAGGTGACAGGCTGGTTATGTTGGACAAATCCCCCTCACTGTAGTGGATGTGGGAGCAGGGTGGATTCCTGTAGCTGGCTCTCTGGCTTGGACACTCTGTGACTTCCTGGAAGAGAAGGACATGCCTGAACCTCTGGGGCTGTAGCTGACCAGCAGGAAGACTCCAGCCAGCAGCCAAGAGCCAAAGCTTCCCCCAACCTTGACTTGGGCCTTGCCCTGCACTGGGTGTTTCCAAGAATTATTATCCCCACAGCAGCTCTGAGATAGAGCTGGTTCCACCCCATTTCCATTGGATAAAAGGAGACTCAGTGACGTTAAAATGACCTCCGTCCGGGTCACATGGCTGGCAGGTGGAAGCGTGGGGATTCACACTCGCCAAGATCAGCAGGGTCTGAACAAGTGCCTGGGACTCGCAGATCCCGGGGGTCCCAGCTGGGTACAGACCCTCAGCAAGGGCTGGCTTTTTCTGCCGAAATAAATCTTACCGTTAAGAAAGGAAGTGCTGTTTTTTTAAGATTTCCCCACCCCCTGAGGTATCCCGGGCTCATTCGTCCTCCTCACAGCACTAAAAGCCTCCCCTTTGCTTCTCAGTCCTGTTGTACGTGCGGAGGGAGACCGAGGAGGTGTTTGACGCCCTCATGCTGAAGACCCCGGACCTGAAGGGGCTGAGGAACGCGGTAAGAGGCCTGTGGACCCCGCCTGCCGGCCAGACCCCCTCTCGTGCTCCCATGAACATACTTCTTCACTCTGACACAGTCTGGCCGCCCACGGCGGGCTCTGGAAGGAGTGCACTGCAGCCTCGGCGCTGTGGTGGCCCACCTGTCCCACCCACTTGGGAGGCCCCGCTGGCCCTGCTGTGTGTGTGTGTGTGTGTGTGTGTGTGTGTGTGTGTGTGTGTGTGTGGCGGGGGTGAGTGAGGGGAGTTTAAGCCTCAGTGATGTTATCTTGCAGCCAGAACCCTGGCTCCACCCTGAGAGTCGCACACACCATAAATCCTCCTTAATCTGATGGCTGCTGTTTGACAAGCCAGAGCTTTTTGTTGGCTTTGCAAACTTGTTTCTATTTTAATGGGAATGAAACCCCAAAAGGCCAGACCCCAGACTTTTTTCCTTCCCAGGGGGCCTCATTCCCGCAGCCTGTGGTTGGCTGAGAGGCTCGGGGTGGGGGTGGGGGGGGGGGAGGCTGGGGTGCTGGCCAGGGAAGCTGAAGGTGTGTCTGGGCAAGACCTTCCTCTACCCCCACCCCCGAACCACCAGCGAGCAGGTGAAACAGCCCCAGACAAAGCCCACAGCAGCTCTGTGGCTCAGCTGACAACTGCGCAAGCAGCCTCCCCGGGGCCAGCCGTGCTTGAAGGTGGCCCACTCAGAAAAGCCACGGGGTTCCAAGGTCTTGGGCTGTGGAGGGAAGAATGAATTAAATCATGACATTGTCACCCTTTTGAAGACCCACCGTGTGCCAGGCATCCTGCATCTGCCAGCTCACCATGTTCTTTTAACAACCCTCAAAAGTGGCTGCTATTATTATCATCGCCTCATTTCCCGTGAGGAAACAGCCCCCCAGAAGGAGGCCAGATAACTTGCCCAGGTTGCTCGCAGTGACAGAGCTGGGGTTCGCCCAGGCTCTCCTGTTCTCCTCACATATCACCAGCCCTGCTTGCACCGGCCCCAGGAAGTTGGGCTCCCAAAAGGCCAGTAAACGCCATTTGAATGGAGGCTCAATCTTTGGGTTGGACAGAACCTTAAAGGGTCAGCTCCCCATCTAGTGCTTGAGCTCTCCCGCCATTAACTGCCAAGTGGGTGCCCAGTCTTGACTGGTGTACTTAGGGGCTGGAGAGCTTATTACCTAAGGAGCAGCCTGTGTCGTCTTTGTACAACTTACGGTAGAAAAATCCCCACAGTGCCATGAGAAATTCTCGCTTGAATTTCTCATGGCACTGTGGGAGCTTTCAGTCACACCGCCATTAGGATAAATAGTCTAGGACTTTTTCTGGCTGGAGGGCTCCCTGACACAGCAGAGAATAACGGGGAGCCGAACCGATCCTCATCCTAAAAGGCCCAGTGAGGACAATCTCCGCTGGAAGCCCTGGGCCTGAGGTTCCCTGTGTGCCAAGGCCGTCAGTAACACTAACCTGAGGGCTGACTGAGGCCACACAAGGCCCTTTACAGCATCGTCTCAGTTCACGTGCAGAACAACCGCTGTGTACCCCCCTTGTCACACCCATTTCACAAACAGGGAAACTGGGGCCCAGCAAAGTAAGAGTTCTGTAGCTCCATGGTGGAGCTGGGACCAGGGCATCTGCCCAGAGGACACCGGAGTTCTGAGAGAAATGGCTGAAGGCCGGGTGAGTGCAGACTCGTGCTCACCAGCCTCTGAGCTGCAGTCTCCTCATCTGTAGAACAAGCTTCAGTGCTCTGGGATGTGATGGGGAGGAAACCTCGGTTCCAGGCTAAGCCTTGGGCACAGGCCTTCCCTTCTTCCAGCTCAGCATCCACACCCATCAAATGGGATTCGTAATTCTGCTTGAAGGGGGACATGTCTGGGTTACCCTCCCCCCACAATAGGGTAAGAGCATCCCTATTGGTCCGCTTCTAAAATAATGGCCGTGGCCAGTTGCTGAGTATTGGCCGTTTATTGGGTACACACCAGGGGCTGTCCTGTGTGTTACATGTGGGCCAGTTCATTTAGTTCTTCCCGCTGACTTATGAGCTGGGCTCTGTGATGAGGAGTTTGCACACTGGTGGCGGGAAGCCCTCAGCATTGGGACCATGTGTATCGGGACGACCGGCAGGGTTGGGGGAGTGGTGATGCCCTTTGGGATATTTTGCAGCCACTCACCATGCTGTCTGTCAGGAGTCTGTGGTGATTTGGGAAGGCTTATCCTATGCAAGGATAAGCAAAACTACCTATGTGGAATATAAAAAATATCTATCTTCATGGCCTGATGGGAAGGAATATACCCAGGTGTTAATGGTGTTTATCTCTGGGAAATAGAATTATGGGTGATTGTAATTTTCTTCTTTGTATCTTTCCACAATCTGGATATATATTACTTTTTTTTTTTTTAATTCTCACCTAAGGATGTATGTGTTGTGTTTTTTTATTGATTGACTTGAGAGAGAGAGAAGCATCCATCGGTTGCCTGCTGCTTATGCCACAGCCAGGGATCAACCTAGACATGTGCCCTGATTGGGACTTGAATCCTCAACCTTTCAGTGTATTGGACTGAGCCACACCAGCCAGGGCTGGACGTACAACACTTTTATAATTAAGAAAATAAAAGTCATGGTATAAAACAATGGGATACATCCACTTTGGGCAGCAGACAATGAATCCCCTACTGCTCTCTTCCAGATCTCTGAGAAGTATGGGCTTCCCGAAGAGAACATTTACAAAGTCTACAAGAAGTGCAAGCGGGGGTAAGTGCCCAGGCCAGCTCTCCCTCCCCGTCTCCGCATTGCCCCTTTCCTTCCAAAATGGCGACTCATGGAGCTCTCAGCAGGTTCACTGTGACCAGCATGGGCCTGCTACTCCATGCTGCGTGGTGTTTGTGCTTGTCTTTGTGGAGAGGACTAGGGGATGTGGACTTGGGTAGAAAGCCCCCACTCAGGCCAAGGCCACCACAGAGACCAGACGGTGAGGGCTATTGGGAAGGACAGGAGTGGGAGATTGTGGGAAGTGCAGGGCCACGTGTCAGAAAACTCAAGTTCAAGTCCCAAGTCACTTGATTGCAGTGATGATAATAGTGACTGCCATTCACTTGATCACCTACTTGTGTTAGATAGTGTGCTAAGCCTATCTCATTTAACCCTCACAGTCACCCTGGGAGGTAGATGCCATTCCTCACACTTCACAGATAGGGAAACTGAGGCTCAGAAGTGATACGCAGTGTCTGGGGCAGGAGCAGCGGAGTAAAGTCTCTGAGGAAGAAGGGCCCAGCAGCAGTGCCACCTGCTGAGTCAGTGCCCAGAGGGAGGGGCTGGCCCTGCGTCAGGAAAGGGAACCATGTTGGGTGTGGTTTGAGGGAGCTTCACCAGGGATGGTGCTCAGGCCTCCCCCACCTTCAGGTCAGCAGGGAAGCATCTCGAGTAACGATTCACCCTCCAGGGGTCAGCGCCTGTCACCTCCCCTGGGTTCCTGGGATTCGTGCTGGGGACCACAGCTCCCTCTGCTCTCTTCCCGGGAGATCCTTGGTGTGGGATCCATGTGGTCACTGCTCCCAGGCTTCAGTCCCCTGGTCAGAGTCCTTGAGCTGGGCTGCAGCCTTTGTTAATGGGTCACTTCACCAGCCCAGCTGAGCCCCCGTCCCCGGCAGAGAAAATCGCCATTGCCATTCCCCGCCCAGAGGACCCAGCACCAGGGCTCTGAGAAACACTCCCTGCCTCACTGCCCACACCTCCCACCACACCCTCCCGCCCTGCGCAGCCTAACTCCAGCCTCTGGAGGTGTGCAGGCATTGTCTCCGGTACAGTCTGTGGCCTGTCCTTCCCAGAAAGCTGCCAAGTGAGGCAGGTTCGGGGCTCAGGCTGAGGCCCCATCCAGTCAGGCCCAGGGTGGCCTCCTCCTCACAGGCCCAGCCCTGCCTCCCCTCCCTCCTCCGTTCCCACCCAGCTTCCCAGAGCAGGGCGGGGCGGGGGAAGGTGTGCGGCTCTCGGATCCGTTTGGTTTTGGTTGTATGAGTGTCTAGGGTTGTTTTTTTTTTTTTTTCTGTCAAGTTTCGGTTTCAAATTGGGGCTCACGGCAGAGGGCAGGCTCTGCTTTGCCCGGACAAGCCCAGCCCCACTTCCCCTTTCAGTGCCAGTGCCCACACCCCCTGGCTGCAGCCCCACCTGCGGCCAGCTCCCTGCGGACCCCACCGGAGCGGGGCTGCGCGCTGGGAGTGCCCTGGTGTGTGATTTGGGGTGTGGGGTAATACATGTAAGGTGGCCCCAACCCCAGCCCCACTGGCTGAGTTGCAAGTCTCTCCCTCAAGCCCAGGCAGCTAGTTAAGCCGTAATTGTTACAACTCCCAGGTGCTGGGCTAGGTCACTCCGAGGGGTCCTCTCATTGGCCCTTTGAGCTTGGGTGATCATCTCTGTTTCCACAGAGGAGGAGCCTGAGGTTCTGAGTGGTCCCAGGATCACAGTTAGTACATGGTAGAAGGAATCTTGACCTGTCTAAAGGCTGTGCATACACCCCCTCCTTGATCTCGCCTCCTGCTTTTTCCTCTAATCACTAAGCAATGAGCAAAGATAGGCTGTGGCCAGGCCAACCCCATAGCCCAGGGCACTCAGCAGCCCTTCAGAGGCACCCCACACCCATACACCCCGCCACCATGGACACCTCAGGCCTAGGATTGCCTCTGATGCCCATTGAGAAGAGCCCCCCAAAAAAGCCTCTTGGGAGAGGCCAGGCTCGTTCGTCACCTCCGAGGAGCAGGAAATTCTAATCGGTGGCCTAGTTTATTCTCACAGAACCCTCCCGAAAGTCCCCTGGACAAAGGAGATGCAATCAGCCTTACAAGCACCGCTGAGTGCTTGAAAGACGAACACATTGTTGTTGCTGGCAACTGGCCAGGGGTTTCATGCAAACCAGGACAAAAGACAGTTAGCACTAGCAAGTGACAAGAGGCCCAGCTCTGGGACACGGTCCCTGACACCCCCGCCTCTAGGGCCCAGGGGTCACTGACCTCTGAGGGGAAGGGTCCCTGGGGCTCTCTGGGCTCCTCGTGCACAGGTGTGCGCCGGGCCCCCCGGAGGCCCTGCCTGGGCGCGGGAGGGAGGCATCTCAGTGTGTGCACGCAGGCACTTAGCGCCTGGCACCCAGACACACCCTGTAAATGCCACTGTGTGACACACAGCCCCGCACTGACAGAGTGCCACCCCTCTGCCCTCCCCCGCTCCTTCCCGCTGCCCCCAGAGACCCCTCTGTGAAGCGAAGGAACTACAGCTGACCTGAGGAAGCGGGAGCCTGTGATTAGACACTGGCCCCAGCCTGAGCCCAGACCGCCTTCCCAAAAGCAGCAGCTGCTTGATGGCTAAACACAGGCAGTCCGCTTCCGCTCACAGCAGTCTCCATTGTCCCTCCGCCCTGGGGAGTGGGGACAAGGAACTGCCTCCCCGGGTCCTCAGGAAAGCAGGCAGCTGCCTGCCAGGAGCATGGTCACCGCCCTCATCTGAACTCTCATCTGAACTCTCCCCAGTCCTGAATTTTGCCTGCTTTCTATATGCCACTTCTTAATTTGTATTTACGGGGGGTAAGAGGGGGTGTCTTTCTAAAAAAAAAAAACACAAAACAAAACAAAAAAAACAAAAAAACAGATGCAGTGAAGAGAGACAAAAGTCTGGATTCAAGTCCCAGCTGGGCAATCTATTGCCTGTGTGGCCTGAGGCAAATGACTTCACTCCTCCGAGCCTCAGTTTCCCCATCATGAGCTAGAGTAATAGGGTACCAAGACATTGTTCTCCGGGGCCATGCTAGATCCTAAACCCCTGGAGGACAGGCTCTCAGGTCTCTGTGTGACCCTTGTTTTTGTCTGGAGCAAGGCCCTGCATGGCGGGATGGGCTGACGGATGGATGAGTGGACGGGCAAAAATTCACTTCCGTTCCTGACGGGATCAGGTCGGGTCACCTCTTCCTGGGTCCTTCCCCAGGGAAGCAGCTCCTAGCAGGCGCCCTCTGACCTGTGTTCTGGCTTTGACCCCTGCAGAGGCTCCGCCACGGGGCATTCTCCTCCTCAGGTCAGCCCAGGTCCTTGCCTGAAGCCTGTGGGGAGAGAAGGCCAAGCGCCTCGAGTCTGTTGTGCGGCCCTGAGATGCCAGCTTCCCGGGGACTGGGCTTGTGTGGCCCTCGCCTCGGGCTCAGGCACATCTGAATGACAGGTCGCTGTCTCCACTGTCCACCCACCGCACCTCCTGCACTCGGACTCACACTGAGCCGGAGTCTCAGCCCTGCTGGTGACTGAGGAGCACTGAGTCTTCCCCAAGTCTACCTTTAGTTGCTCAAAAGTGTCCACGCTCATATGTACTGAGAGAGGCACCCTGGCACAGTCGGGGGCATGGTAACTGGCAGGCCTGGTTTGAGTTGTGGCTCGGCCACGCGGGCATTGTGCCCTCCACTGAAAGTCGCTATGAGGGTCAGAGAGAAAGTGTGAGACGCTTGAAAATTTGGGGGTCCCTGATGTGTAGTAACCATCCCTGTCCTCCTTGTCACCAGAGGCCTTGAAAGCGAGGGGCCTCCCATGGTCTAGCCACCTCTCCTCTCTTCCAGAATCTTGGTCAACATGGACAACAACATCATCCAGCACTACAGCAACCACGTCGCCTTCCTGCTGGACATGGGGGAGCACGATGGCAAGATTCAGATCACCCTGAAGGAGCTGTGAGGACGGGCGCGCTCCAGGCCAGGAGCCGCCGCCAGGGCCCACGCCGCACACAACCTCCCCGCACGCCTCAGCGCCGTTACTTGAACACCTTCCCAGAGGGAAGGGGCCCGAGCCACCGCCGCCAGGGCCAGGACGGGACCGGGAGGTGTCCTGACCCGAGCCCCACTCATGCTTGAATCCACTCTGAGCGCCTGCCTCAGCCAGACAGCGCCGTCCTGGTTAACGCCCGGCAGACTGTGTCCACCTCCGGCCGCTCAGCAGGCCGCCCGACCTGACCACGGTCCACTCCCATCCCTGGTCGTCCCATCGACTTCAGACCAAGGATCTCTCGCCCTGGGGTCACGTCACTTGGACACTCTTGATTTTCAGTGCAAATGACTTTGAAAAGACACTGTGGTGGACACGCCCTCTCTCTCATGGACTTCCTTCCGTGCCCGATGTAAATAATAGAGCTGATCGGCCAGAACAAGTGGCTGCTCCATACACGACCGACCACCCTGCTCGCTGTTGTACACATTTCTCACTTACCGTTTGCATTTATGTTATAAATATATTAAGTATATATTGTGTGTATATATGCAACATTTTATATTTTCACGGATACATTTTTATCATTTCAAAAAATGTGTATTGCACATTTCTTGGACTTATTTTTTTAGCTGTTATTCAATTATGCATTTTGTATACTCATATAGTATTTAGTAATAAAAGTCTGCCTATGTATTACTTCAAACGCCACACTTGTTCCTCTTGTGAAAGTCTGCCAGGAGGAGAGGGGGAGAGTAGACACGGCCTGGCAGCTCCTGTCTCGGGCGTTTGCCCCAACTTGAAGGGCAGTGCTGAGCTGGGCACTAGTGAAGCCGGAGTCCGCCTGGAGGCGTCCCGCCCAGCTCTCTGTCCTGCGTGGTCCCACAGCTGAATGTTATGGCCTGGGGATCACGGACTGGACATGGAGAAGTCCTGGAAGGGTCAGGATGACCTTGCTGAGGACCTCATAGCTGGGGTCAGTGGGCAGAGCCCAAGGCTAGGAGTTCTCATGCCAACTCTGCCCTGAGCTCTAGGCTGTCATTTTCCCTGGAGCCTGCTCCTACCAGCCCAATGGCCTTCTCAGATCCAACAGGTCAGAGGGGCCTGAGAACCAAGGCCTTGGGGTCTGGCCTCATTGTAAAAAGTACAGCTCTAAGCGTCACTTTGAAAGCGTCTTCCAGAGCCTCTAGCTCCCAACGGACAACGGATGGCTTGCAGAAGAGTGTCCTTTGGCCTAAACAAAAAACTTTACATTGAAACACGGTTGCAAACACCTCAAATCAAGACATTGCACATTTTAACTATTTCCCAGGTTCTGTTGAGAGGCCTGCAGATTTGGCAACAGTTTCTTGGACCCGAGTTGGATGCCCCTTTAAGTAGGCAGCAGTCTCTGCTCCCAGACCCCTGGCCCCATCCCTGTATCACCTGTTGTGCTCCATGCACTGCCCACCCAGCCCTGGAAGTGCTTGATCACGAGCCTGCAAATTCTGATCCAACTCTTCAAGGAGAAGGGCCTGCGGGGATGGGAGCACCAGGCTGCCTCAGATCCACACTCGGCTGCTCCCACACCGAGCTCCCGCCACCTCCAATGTGTGCCAAAGCAATGGGCGCTTGCAGGAATCAGAGGTCACACAGAGGCCAGCTTTGGTGAGATGCAAGATTTCAGTTTAATTGGTGTTATTCCATCCTTCCGAGCCCTCCCTAAGTGGAGAGCCAATCAGCAGCCAGTTTTGACATGGAGGCCCAGGATGTAGCATTTCCAGAGCAAAGTCAAAGGAGGGAGGAAAGGGAAGTGAGAGCCTTGTCCTCACTGTGGGGAGGGCAGGCTGCCTGGGAGAGTTCCACTTACGAAACTAAGAGAGATTGCCAGTATTTGGGGAAGGAGGCATGTGTGGCTACTTATGCCTTCTCCTGGCCAGAAAAGATGCATTAAGGATGTGTCCAACCTGAGTGGGGGGTTGGGGAGCCCAGCCCAGGAAGGGGAAAGGCCGGGTGAGAGTGAGAGCCTGCAGGCTCAGGGAGTTGTGTGGTTCCTGTGCCCCCCAGGACCCAGGCTCTGGCTCCAGCAGGGCCCTGCCCCCGTGCTGTTGAACACAGAGCCAGTGAAGCACGCGGTGGCCTCACCTGGGGGTGGGTGCTGAGCACAGGGCACCAGGTGACTGGCTGCCACGCTCTTCCTGAAGGTGAGATACAAGGGCTTAGGGTGGGGACAAGGAGCCCAGGCAACCCCTGCGTCTGTTACAAGCGCCTCTGAGCCTTCAGCTCTGGGACACCCGGAGGGTCTGGAGGCCGAGGCCAGCGGCTGTGCTGTCCCCCTGCACATGCACGTGGGCCCCAGAGCCCTGGTCTGCGCCAGGCTGCTTAGCAGGGCAGCTGCCCTCCTCTACCTTCTCCCTGGAGCCCGAGCATCAGGAGCCCCTTGCGTCTGAGGGCAGGGGGCAGGCAGCAACCTGACAGGTGCCTGGCGAAGGAACCGGGGGGCTCTGTCCTCTCTTCTTCTCAGGAAGCCACGGGGTCAGAGGGGTGGGGCCCAATCTCCAGGAGGCAGCTCGGGACCAGGACAAATGCCACAACGGAGCCAGGCAGCAGAGCTGCCCCACACCAGCCCTGTCTTCTTGTCTGCGTGGGGCGGCTGGTGGCGGGCTTTCTGGTGCCCTGTGAGGTCGCTACAGCACCGGGATCCACCTGTTGCCCTCGTTGTAGAGAAAGGACTGCTTCCCGAGGAGCTCCGGCCTGTAGGTGGCTATGAGGAGAGAGGGGCAGTGTGAAGACGGAGGAGGCCAGTTGGGGGAGTCTCTTTCGTTCTGCGTCAGAGCTGGCAAGGCCAGGGGAACCCTGTCCCAGCCCCCGCACCATCCGTGCGGGGAGGCAGACAGAGGAGGGGACGGCTCAGGTTATCTGGTTCCTAACTGGTGGAGGCAGGACTTGAACTCTGGTTCCCCACTTTCGTTAGCCCCTTTTCACTCCTTTGACAAAGCAAAACTTACAGCTAGTCTTTCTCTGAAATTTGGGAGGGAAAAGACTGAGTAAAGCGATACTCTTAAAGAAACAAGGTGTCAGCTTGGTAGGGTTTTGTTTTGATTGATTTCAGAAATTTCCAGAAAAGCGAAAGCCATGACCCTGCAGGTTCTTCAGGAAACCAGCAGCCGGAACCACAGGGGCTTGGGAATGAGCCCGGGTGGATGGGAAACTCACACGGACACTGACAGGGCTAACGAGGGGCCGTGGGTGACCTCTGTCGGTTGCCTGGGAAGCTGCTGATGGGGGCACATGGCAGTCCAGGCGCATCTGCACCCCTGGGGTCTAGGAGGCAGATGTCTGCATGTGCTCATGCCCAGGAGGTACCGTCCAGCTCGTGTGCCAGGTGTTTCACACCATGCACGGCACAGAGAAGACACGGACACACAGGTCTTAGGGGTCCGGGCCCAGCAGGGTCAGACAGGTGTCTCCCTGGCCCCCAGGCCTCCTGAGACTGCCCAGTGGAGCTCAGCACTTACAGAAGCACCAGCACAACCAAAGTGACCTCTGCCTGGACTGACAACCTGAAGGTCAAGCTCTGCCATCTTGTTGGCTTGATTGCATCTCCAAGGCCAAGGTTATGGGAGTGCCTTCCTCCCTGTCCTGTCTGCCTTCCATTCTACTCACCCCTGAGTTTGGAGGGGGAAGGTGTCTCCCCACCAGACCCTTTGCTGCCCCAGGGTGGGAGCAGCATCCGTGTCCCTTGAAAGACTGGATTTAACAGACCTGGCAGCCGCCTCAGCCCCGCCCTCCTCGGCCACCCTACCTGCACACCAGCACACCTGTCCGTGCACACCTGTCTGTGCACACCTGTCTGTGCACACCTGACCCGTGCAAAGGTTTGTCAACATCAGGGGGAGGTAAACAGCTAAGGGGCTCTATGAACAGCTCCAAATAGGTCCCAGGTAGATAACCGAGGTCACAGGGTATCACTGATTGAGCTCACCAGTGAAGGGAATGGAACTAGATGGCTCAACAGAGCTGCCCAGTGAACAGTCCCCGGTCCGTGCCTGACAAACCAGGCAGCGGGGACACACCTGGAGCGGGTGCTCCGGCTGCCCCTCACTCCCGAGACCTGCGGGCACCGTGCTCGCCCAGCTCCCCGTCCATGAAGTGACTCCGCCAAGCGAGGCCAGTGCTTAAAACATTTGTGAGAACGTGAGCTTGTTGGCCACCTGACAGAAGCTATGGCCCCTTTGCCCGGAAGAGAATGTCTGCAGACAAGGTCAGAGTCCCAGACCCCTGGAGCCTGTCTCTGAGCCTCTCGGTGGTCATGGTCCTTGGTTATGAATCCCTGAGACCCCTTTTACTTACACACACACACACACACACACACACACACACACACACAGGCTCTCTCGCGCGCGCACACACACACACACACACACATACTCTCTCTCTCACACACATATACATACACACCCACACACACACACACAACCCCCACAACTTTCATACTCAGAAAGTGTGAGCTAAAAAGTCGTCTAAGTCCACTCTAACCCCTATAACCTATTTGACAAACAACCTACAAAGCAGTGGCATTTGATGGCCCGGGGATGACAGACGATTCCAAACAGGCCTCTCACCTGGGCCAGGCAGGGCTGGCTGAGTCGCCGCTGTCCACCGCTTGGTGTTGGACACGAACGATGCGCTGGAGATTAAGTTCTTGGGGGGCCCCGAGTAGTCCACAATCTCGTACTGCCCGGGGCCTGGGGGAGTCGGCTTCAGGGGCAGAGACAGAGGCGGGGAGGAGAAGTTCAGGACGGGGTGTTTCCTTAAGAAGAGACCAAATGGGAAGATGTCACCAGCGCAGTCTATTGGGGAAATGGTCGTTTTTAGACACGGCCAACACCTGCCCAGCACCACGCCGCCTGCAGAGGGGCTGGGCAGGCACCAGGAGACCTGTTTCTTCTTGTGGACCCACTGCTGTGAGCTGGGGGCCCGGGGCCTCGGTTTCCCCATCTGCACGACGGTGATCATAATAGTAAGTACCCACAGCGCAGGCCTGTTGTCAGGGCTCAGTGAGATGGTACAGGAAACACAGCCCAGCACCACGGGAGCGCTCCGTACACACTGTTGTTGTAATGGTGTCACTGAGCTCACCAGGAGTGGCAGACAGCGTTGATCTCATCGTCAGCCCTGCTCGATTGGCAATGCCTGGCTGGAGCTCAGTGTAAAGCACAGGCTTTGCACTGGTTCTATGAAGAAAGAGCATTGTGATCTGCTTGTGATGTCTGCCAGGGCCAGGGAAAGAAAACAGGCGTCCCGGTTTCCAGGGATGTGCTATCCCAAGACGAGTAGACTCCCCAGAGCCCTGCCACGCATCTTCCTATGGAGGCAGGACACGGGAGTAGAAAAATGCTGGCTTGCGAATTAAGGGACCCCTTCCGTTGCCATGGTCTGTTTTCAGGTCTATCTCCCCCTCCTTCAGAGAGGGGAGCCTTCCATCTTTCACGCCTGGTGTTGAGAGAATGAAGGAAAGAGAAGTGGAACCTGTACGTATGCCCTCGCTCTGACACGAATTCACTCTGTGCCTCAGTCTCCCCATCTGCAAAACGAGGGCGGTGGGAGATGATGACCTCTAAGGTCCCTTCTAGCTGTGACATTCCAGCAACCCTTGATTCAAAGAGGGTCGGTCGGCTGGGCTGCCCAGGGAATTCTGGGATTGTTATGGGAATCACACTCCTCTCCCAGCCATTCAGTGGAAGGACTGCCACTCCCGCCTCACACCGGAGGCTTCCCCCCGGGTCTCTCACCGACAGGGAAGAGGAGTTCTCCGAGCACTGAACAGCCGCAGGGACTCGCCCAGCCTGAAGCCAGCCCAGCAGAACAGAGGAGGGACCTGGGATCCCGGCCCCGGAGACGCTGCCGTCCTGTGGCCAGCACCTTCTGGATAGAACAGGGGCGTTCTTAAACTCAGAGCGCAGGTGGGGGCCTGGAGCGTCTTCGCCAACCTCCTCATTTTGCTCAAGAAATCGGTGCCCAGAGAAAACTAATCCCCCAGAGAGCAAAGCACGTCAGGGATAATGTGGGTCGGGGCCCAATAATCGGGGGAAGGCATCGGGAATTTTTGAGTCGAGAGTCACACAGACCCGAGTGTCTCCCCGGCAGCAAGATTCAGACGAGTCCCCTAGCCTGTCCCCCTGCGGCCAGGTGCAGCAGCACCTACTCTTTCTGCAGGACTCGGTGGGTGGAGAAAAGGCGTGTGAGGCCCCTGACGCGGTGCCAGCACACAGCAAGTGCTCAGTGAAGCGAGTCGTTGCTATTGCTGTGCCTCCTCCAGCATCTGCCCAGCTGCTTGGTCTCAGGGGAGCAGCCGGGCCTCCGGAAAGGGGGACCTCCCTCCCAGAGCCACCAGAGGGTGGACACTCCCACTGCAGGGGCGGGGGGGGGGGTCATGAAAAGCCACAGCAAATCGTCCTGAGGCTCCCACAGCTGGCTCTCATGCTTTATGTTTAGAACAAAGGTGCCATAGCAAAGGGGAGAACTGGGTATAGTGTGTGGTCAGCCACCTCTCCCCTTATACACAGAAGCTGGCGGCTCCAGGTTCCGGTTTGGGTCACCTCTTCAAAGAACTCCCTGTGATTGGCACAGCTGAGGAACAGGCTTGATTCTCTCCTCCTGCAGGGGGATTGGCAGGCCGCAGCCTCTCTCCTCCCCGCCACGCTCCCTCCACCACTGAGGGGGGTGGGAGGGGGGGGGAGGGCGGGAGGGGAGCCTAGATTCTCACCCTGCTCCAGCACCTTGGTGAGCCTGCACTTGGCCTGTTGGAAGCATGGCCCCGGATAACATCAGTGTAGCCGGCCCCTCCACACATTCTCGCCATTCTTTTCTCTGCACAGATCTCGCTGTTTCTATTCTATGTCCCTCGCTGGACTACCTCTTAAGGGAGAGGGTTGTGTCTGACTCATCTTCGGGGCCCTGTCCCTATTTCTGGGACTTTTGCTGAACAGCAGAGAAAAGCAGAGGGGTTGGAGCGAGTGGGGGAGCCCGGACAGCAGGACCCCCCCCCCCCGACTCTCCCCTCTCCCGGACAGGTTCATCATCGGCCAGGGCTGCTCCCTCGGTGTGGCGGCCGGGCTGGGCCCATCACAAAGGTCAGGCTGGATCAAACCCGGGGCAGCCCGCAGAGCTTTGGGACCGGCTTTTATGAGCCTCATGGCTCAGTTATAAAAGCTTCCCTGGCCCTGCCCCGTGGAAAAAAAAAAACATCTATCAAAGCTCTGGGTTGGCCACAGCTGGATTAAGTGTGTTTGCAGCTTCCAGGGTGAGCTGTTTGCAAGTCGCTGAGAAGGAGTGTGTCAGCGGGCTCAGCAGGTCACCGGGGGCGGCAGGGAGACCCCGGGGACACTCCCAGCACAGACTCTGCCTCGGGGGGGTTCCCAGGGTCTGGAGGGATAAAGGGGCAATTTCTCTCCTCATTACAGGGCAGCCGTGGCCCCGGGCTGGAATGCAGTGTCTGCTTGGCAGGCAGCAGGTGACAGATTACAGCGTTTGGGAAGAAGCAGCCCCGTATCTAATTGAAAACCCCAGGGGAACTGTAGGTGGGTCCCTCCTGATCGCCCACATTGAAGGGGAGCTGAGGGCTTGATTCTCAGGGCCCAGCTGTGACAGGGCCGCGTGTCACTGCAAAACCAGTGGCCTAGGGCTTCCAGAGGGAGACCCAGAGTTAGAGAGAGGTCAGAGGGAGTTCCACCTCCCGGCGGGAGGTCGGGCATTGAAAAGATTTGTCTCCCACTCTGAAGGCTGAGCTAGGAGAAACGGTTTGTCTCACACGCTGAGTCACACGGTGACCAGGGCTCAGGACCTGGAGATGGGGAGCCTCGGCAGGCCCTTCGCTCTGCAGCGCTCGGGAGCCGGTGAGGCCTCGGAGCTGCAGAGTCAGCACAGCGGCCAGAGCAGAGGCCCCCTGCGGCCTTTCCTCAACAAGGAGCCCCGAACCGGCCGCAAACAACCCACCGGCCCTCGCACAGCATCCGCCCGACAGGCGCCACTCAAGACACGGAGGCCAGCCCGGCCGGTGGGGCTCAGTGGTTGAGTGGCAGCCTATGACCCAGGAGGACTCAGTTCGATTCCCGGTCAGGGCACACCTTAGGGTTTCTGACTGGGTGACCGGAGAGCCTGAGTTTAAGAGACACTGGGCTTAATGGGGGCCTTTGTGCAGGCCTTCTCAGAGCCCTTAATACGCCCTGCCCCCTGCGATGACCCCGAGGCAGAGGGTTTGTGAGCAGTGTGTCCGAGGCTTATTAACCAGGGATCCACTGTTCACAAAGCATCACGGAGAGCCAGTGCGCCCCAGACACTCCGGGACCCACCAGCACCACTGCACTGCCCCGCTGGCGAGGCCGGCTGTGTGTGGCCACCGACCGGACAGTCATTCGGCCGCCTGCGCCCCTGCCTGGCCCTGCGTTGCCCCAGGTGAGCCTGGCGGGGGGTGTGCGGTGCTCTGTTCATCTGCGCAGCTCCACAGCCTCCAGCGAGGACCAGAAGCTTCCAGGGCCTGTGGACTGGCAGATGCAAAGGCCATTTCGTGAGATTATTTCAAACTGCGCATCTCGATTTAAGCCCAGCCAAGGGACACTTCACCGATCAGCAGGATGCTACACGAGCTCCCTGCTTCGCATGCCTGCCGCCCGGCGGAGGTGTCTGCTGTGAAATAGGATAGTCAGCCCGGGAGAGCACGGAAAGAGCCGGGCCCCCCGGGCCTGGTTCCCAGCAGCACCCCTCGAGCCTGTGGACTTGGGCAAATCTCTGTCTCCCTGAAGCCCAGCTCCTCCTCCAGGAAGAGTCATTACAACAGGATTGCTATGATAACCGGGCACATGTGAAGTTCCTGGTACCGAGCGGTTGCTCAATATGTATTAGGCACACAACGCACACTTATTGAGCACCTACTGTGAGTCAGCAAGGACCGCGACCTGCCACAGCGTCCTGACAAGCAGTGGCACCCCTCCCTTTTCTACTCATGTTTGGGTCCTTCCCAGAACCGCCTTTCAAAAGAAAGTTCAGGCCCTAACTGGTCTGGCTCAGTGGGTAGAGCGTCGGCCTGCGAACTGAAGGGTCCCAGGCTCGATTCTGGTCAAGGGCATGCACCTTGGTTGCGGACACATCCCCGATAGAGGGTGGGAATGTGCAGGAGGCAGCTGATGGATGTTTCTCTCCCATCTATGTTTCTAACTATCTATCCCTCTCCCTTCCTCTCTATAAAACAATCAATAAAATATAGATTTTAAAAAAAAAAAAAAAAGAAAGAAAGAAAAAAGAAAGTTCAGGACTCACGTGATAAGTGCCTTTTTCGGAATTTTGATGTGATCATGTGGGTTGTAATAACCGGGCCCCGGGACTGTTGATGTCAGTTTTAATCCACGGTCAGTTTTTGACTTAAAACAGGACGCTAGAGTCGTCGGCGACTGCTTCACAAGGGCTTCGTTGATATCATAATGCCCTAAACAGAAAGACATTTTTAAACAGAATAAGAAACACTTCTCAAATAAAGAGCCATCCCTCCCGCCTAAGAATACGTTAGTGACTGTAAGGCGATATCCCTCCAAGACGGTCCAATGCAAGAAGGGCTGCCTGCAGGGGCTGAAAACACTGCTCACCTCTCAGCGAACACGGGCCACATACTTAGCCCAGGTCATCCTCCCCGCGGCCCAGCAAGGTGGGTGCGATCCCCTCCACCCTGAACACGAAGAACCTGAGGCTCAGAGATATTAAGCCATTTGCCCGAAGACATCCATCCAACCAGGGACTGACTAAGCCCAGCTGCTCCCTCCTCGGTAAAGTAAGAAGAATTCTTCCGACGACGGAGTGGTTGTAGGAGTGGAATAACATATTAGGTTCCTGGCACAGAGTAGTTGTTTTGTAACTACCCTGCAGTTAACAAATACGTATTGAACACCTACTATGTGGGCCCAGGCCAGCTGTCTCCAAAGCCCCTGCTTTCCCACCATGCCCTGTCTCAAGAAACGGTGACAGAACAAAATCACGTGACTGTGCACAAAGCTGCGAGGAAGAGCAGGATGCTCCGAGCTGGGGGAGCAGGGAGCAGTCTCGCCCCTCGCTTGCGGGGGCCCTGCCAGTGGGGCGCAGGCGTGGGGAGTGCCAGTGGCAGCAGTAGGCAAAAGCGTTGAGAACATCTGCACATCCAGGCTCCCCAGTACTCCGAAATTAAGAAAATGATTCAACAGATGGAAAAGCCCTGAGCATACGATGTACATCCCAACAGTCACCTGGCCATGTTTCCCAAAATAAAGGTGAGTGAATAAGCAAGGCCAAGCCTGGAAATCTATGCCCTGGGATGGCATCCAGGTACAAATGGATAAGTCTGCACACAAAGAGGCGAGGACCCAGGCAATACAAATATATGAGGGGTGGCATTCTGGGTGGGAAAAATAGTCCACATTTCCTAAACATTGTAAAGTTGGCTTTGTTTCGAGAAAATGTACTTTTCCGTTGCAAAAGTACTGAAAGCAACATTATTACTTGATTGGCAAGGTTTTCCTTAAATGGCCGTGCCCGGTGACAGCCAGGGCAGGTGCCTCGTGACCCCTGAGCTGAAGGGCAATTCGATCACAAGTGGCGAAAACCTTAACTATTTACATGCCTCCTGACTTGGCGAGTTCCCTTTCAGCAGTTTACACGAGGGAACAGTCTTGAATGCACACAAGTTGCGAACTACAAGTGTGCTCGCCCCACTGTGTTTACATTAGCGATCAGCTCAAAACCACCTCCATTTCCAGTAGGAGGACATCTGTCCCTTCACGCCTGGTACCACCACACGATGGCCTACTCTCCGAGATCTGCTTAAAAACAAGGCTCTGGGAGGGGTTTTCAAAAACTTGAAGAGTGTTCCCAGCACAGGGTTACATTTTTTCTTTAAGGGCAATGTCCAGCCAGCAGCCTGTGTCATATTGGTCTATATCTCTCGTTGTCTTTCTGTTTTCTTCTCTCTCTCATTTACTGCTGCCAGGAAGGGCTGAAGCGATGCTTGGTGATCAGATGCTGAGAAGCACAAGTAAGGAGAAAGGCACGCGGGTTCCGTGGCCCCGGAGCCCGGGAGCACTGGTTCCCCGGGCACAGCCGGGCTCTGCTGCACCAGGCGGGACTCCCGGGCAGACCCGATTCTGTGACCCACGTTTGCAAGCGGCACTTTGACACCGGCCTTTCCCCGTCTCTAAAAGACAAGGAAAACTAGAGGTGGACGTGGAGATGTGGGTGGTACATCTCAGCTGCAGGAAATCCAACCAGCAAACAGGTCACGGTGAGCATTTTGCCAGGCGCCGGCAGAGGGGCACGCAGAGCAGCAGACGCCAATCACCCCCATCACCGATCTGCATCTGGTGTTCTCCCACAGAGGCGGAAGTGAAACTTCCTCCGAGAGGTGAGAGGTCAAAGCAGCGGGCCCAGGCCCCTGGCAAGTGGAGGGGGGAGGTGTCTGAGGCACCAGGCAGGCATCCAACCCACTAGGCCCGGGTTAAAACCCAAGGGGACCCTGGGCTAGTCGCCTGCTTTCCAAGTATCATTTCCATCAGTAAAATGGGCGAAATAATAATATTAGCTCACACCTCTTTGTGGAAAGCCAGGGGCACGCAGTAGGAGTTGAACGGACACCGGTGCCCCCTCCCCCATCCTGTTCTCCGCGATAAGACCTTCCTGAGGGAGCGGCCCATGTGGCTGCAGGGTGCCCGCATCCCGGGCTCGCCGGCGGGGCCTCTGGCCAAACCCCAGGGATGCCGGCTTTGTTCTCTGAATAAACAAACAAGGCGGGGCTTTTCCCCCGCGGAGGATGATGGAAGGCCGGGAGCTTAGCCTCCTCATTAGGGCTGATTTTGTTATTCAGCTTCAAATTAATCTCAGCTTTAATCTGCATTTGCCGAAATCTGACAGCGCACTGCAATGTTACCCACACCCCCTCCGGGAGGCAAACCCTGCTCCTCCTCCTCCGCTGGCCGCGCTCCCTGGGGGTCTTCAGATCCCGGGGAAGGTCTGATGGAGGGAGAGCTCCCTGCAAACGGTTAGGGGGCAGGAGGTCGGGCCCAGAGCGTCCAGCCCAGCGGGGAGAACACTCGCAGGCCAGCCCTGCGTGTTCCTGAATCCTGGCCAGTTCAGAAGTCACGATGGATGACCGGACAACAGTCTCCTGTCAGGCACCTGGGCTCTGGGCTTGCCCGCCCTGTGACACGGGGGAGGTCACTCCCACTGCGAGCCTCTGCGGACAGATGTGTGAGGGCTGCATGCGATCCCCTCTGTGTGCCCCCGCGGCCTGGGGGGCGCCGGGGTGGGAACGAACACCCTTCTGAGGTGAGACGCCACTTCCCCACCAGCGAGGCTGCTGTGGGGGCTTTTCCAGAACCAGGCATTCTTCCGGAAAGGAGGACAGCCCGTCCGTCCGTTCCTCACGCTTCTCCCTTTGTTCCACGCCGGCCCCCACCCCCCACTCCCCAAAGCCTCGCTCCTTCCAGAGACGCCGGCAGAGGCCTGGGCGCCCTCAGACCCGATCTGGACACCACCCCTCAGGCCAAGGCCAGGGCAAGGCGGCTGCCTACCTGGTGCAGGTCCTGTCTTAGGGATGGTGAACACGCCCCTCTCGGTTTTGGACTGAAACTCGGCTCGGGCACAGACGTTGTTACTCTGCTTGCAGAAAGAGACGGAGGTCTGGGGGGAGAGAGAGAGAGTGCGCTGTGCCCAGGGCCTGCCTTCTCTGTCTTTGTCATTGTGCCTGGACGAGGGTCACCCTGTCCTCCTCAGAAAATGAATGGTGTGAGTGGACAAGATCACATCACCCAGCTGGACCGGCTGTGAGCTGGGGGTCACCAGCAAGTGTCTGCACAGGGCAGGTGATCCACACAGGGCAAGTGATCCCACACAGGGCAGGTGATCCCACACAAGGCAGGTGATCCATTCAGGGCAGGCGATCCCACACAGGGAAGGTGATCCCACACAAGGCAGGTGATCCATTCAGGGCAGGTGATCCCACACAGGGCAGGTGATCCCACACAGGGAAGATGATCCCATATGGGACAGGTAATCCCACACAGGACAAGCGATCCCACACAGGTCAGGTGATCCCACACAGGGCAGGTGATCCCACATGGGTCAGGCGATCCCACACAGGACAGGTGATCCACACAGGGCAGGTGATCCCACACAGGGCAGGTGATCCCACACAGGACAGGTGATCCACACAGGGCAGGTGATCCCACACAGGGCAGGTGATCCCACACAGGGAAGATGATCCCATATGGGACAGGTAATCCCACACAGGACAAGCGATCCCACACAGGGCAGGTGATCCCAAACAGGGCAGGTGATCCCACACGGGTCAGGTGATCCCACACGGGTCAGGTGATCCCACACAGGTCAGGTGATCCCATACAGGGCAGGTGATCCCACACAAGGCAGGTGATCCATTCAGGGCAGGTGATCCCACACGGGTCAGGTGATCCCACACAGGACAGGTGATCCCACATGGGGCAGGTGACCCCATACGGGGCAGGTGATCTGCACATGTGGCTTCATTTCTCTGAACTTGAGCATCAGCAAGGCGGCTCAGATTACCCTGCTCCCCTGGCCCAGTGCTGCTGGGGTGGGGCCGATGGAAATCATCTATAGCAAAGTGTCCTTTAAAAACCATGTCACTCCACACATGCAAATTATTCCATTCTTCCCGGGGTTTTATTCTTTTCAGAACACTCAGTCCTACACCTCCCACTGCGAGAACAGTCCCGCTGTGAACACAGGGCTTGGGCCATGCTAGGAGATTGGGCACTTTAAGGTTATAATCAGGTGTGTAAGCGCTCTCTCACCTGGATTTTTCTGGACTGACCAAAAGTCAAGCATTTTGGTTGACACACACAGTACACATCTGAGAGTGCCCCGTGTGCCTCTCAAAGTCACAGAGAAGGAAGCAGGGCCCTGAGATCGCGCTTATGCGACGCGGGCATCGTACATACTTTAAATGCCAGGGTGCAGTCCGGCTCCTGTATTCCCTCGATAAAAGAGGCCGTAAAAACTGTCCGGGCGAAGGCCGGGAATATTTACCGAGAGACTGAAAATGTTTGCTGGGGCCAGGACGGTTTGATTTTCTGTGATACTCCTTTGTGGGAGAAATGTTTCTCAAGAAACACAGATGGCATTTTGATTTTGTGTTGACAAAGGCGGGGGAATTTAGCTTTTCCCAGGGTCCTCACGGCGAGGCTGCCTGCCGAGACGGCAAACAGAAAGATCAGATGGAGCAGGCTAATTGCTGGCCCAGGGCGAGGAGCCAGGCTGCCGGAGAGGAAGTAATAACACGGCATCGAGGGAAAGGCTCCGAGTGGAGGGAGCGGGGGCCCTGGTGAGCCGAGGCGAGGAAAGGCCTGGGCAGACCCCGGCGCGCAGTGTGACTAACGGGATTATCGCATTCTCTCCTCGCCAGTTGGCTCGGCCATTGTTCTCCGGGTCTGAAAAAAGCCACCTGCAGACAAAACGCCACCGTGGCTCCATTCCTCGCCCAGACAGAAAGGCGGCTGAGGAGAGGGCATTTCCGTGCCCGCTGAATGTGTGCCCCCGGAAGATTTCACTGTTACACGAGGAGGATAGCAGCTCCATGGGCAGGTCAAAGAGAATGGAGCTGATTTATCCTATGGCACAGGGTGGGCAGGGTGGGGGGTAGGAATCTAAGATGCAGTTAAGGAGAAAATGCACGTGTACTGTGCACAGTGCAATCCTAACACCGGAGGGAGAGGCTCCGGGAGGCAGAGAACAGGAGAGAAACCGCAGCTGGTTTCTGACGGCAGTCTGCTTAGGGCAGCCGAATTCTCAGGGATTTCCGCTTTCTTGCTCCTGGGTCCGTATAATGCCTTGTGTATCTATCCACATTCGCTGCCTCGTTGGCGTCTTAGAATAACCCTCTAGGGCGAGCGTAATTAATTTCATTTTACAACTGAGGCTCAAGAGGCTGTGTGTCTCCCCCAAAGACGGGACTACCCATCCCTACGGACTGCGGAGCCCTCTGCCAGGGGCTGTGCTAAGATGGCCTCGTTTAATATCCGCATTAACACTGTGAACTAGGTTAGATGTGTACCCCCATTTTACAGATGAATAAGCTGTGTCCTGGGAGGTGAAGATACAAGGCCCCATAGAACTTGACCAAAGCCACACGATTAGAAAGGGGCAGAGTTGAGATTTGAATTTGACTCCATTTCTTAACCATGAATTCTGCCTCTTTGAAGTGATCTGTGAAGTGATCAGAATTGGCAGAGCACTACTCTAAAAAAAAAAAAAAAAAACCCACAAAAAAACACACCATTTTCTGATATGAAAAGACAGAAGTGTATTTTCCCTATAAGAACCTAAAAATTACATTAGTAGTACCTGTAGATTAAATGGCAAATAATATACACTGAGTGGCCAGATTATTATGATCTCTGAACGCATAATAATCTGGCCACTCGGTGTATATCCTATATAATAAAAGGCTAATAAACAAATTGTCTCCTCAACCAGGAGTTTGAACAGCAGGCAGGCCAGCCAATTGCCCACGTCCCCTCCCCCTGGCCAGGCTGGCTGGATACTACCCATACACCAGGCCTCTAATACACACACACACACACACACACACACACACACGCACACACACACACACGCACACACACACACACGCACACACACACACACACACGCACACACTAGAGGCCTGGTGTACAAAATTCATGCGCAGGGAAGAGGGGTGTCCCTCAGCCCAGCCTGCACTCTTTCCAATCTGGGACCCCTTGAGGGATGTCTGACTGCCCTACTGGGATGGGGCCTAAATGGACAGTCGGACATCCCTCTCACAATCCAGGACTGCTGACTCCCAACTGCTCGCCTGCCTGCCTTCCTGATTGCCCCTAATCTCTCTGTCTGCCAGCCTGATCATCCCCTAACCACTCCTCTGCCAGCCTGATTTATGCTTAACTGCTCCCCTGCCAGCCTGATTGCCCCTAACTGCCCTCCCCTGCAGGCCTGATCCCCCTAAATGTCCTCCCCTGAAGGCCTGATCATCCCTATCTGCCCTCCCCTGAAAGCCTGGTCCCTCCAACTGTCTTCCCCTGCAGGCCTGGTCTCTCCCCAACTGCTCTTCCCTGCAGGCCTGGGTCCCCCCTAACTGCCCTTCCCTGAAGGCTGATCGCCCCCAACTTTCCTCCTCTGCCAGCTTGGTCACCCCTAATTGCCCTCCCCTGCTGGCCATCTTGTGGCAGCCATCTTGTGTCCACATGGGGGCAGCCATCTTGTGTGTTGGAGTGATGATCAATTTGCATATTGTTCTTTTATTAGATAGGATACACACACACACACACACACACACACACACACACACACACACACCCTGAGTGGCCAGATTATTATGCATTCAGAAATCAGAATAATCTGGCCACTCAGTGTATACTCATTGTTAGAGATGAGAACACCATCCTGGAAAGCTTACATGATAGGAGTGGCTACGGTTAAGCATTTTCCAGGGCGATGGTCTCCCCATTGCTCACACTGGCCTCTGTGTAGCCCCCATTTTCCTCTGTTTCCTGCGAATTCCCTGTAAGAGTCTGGCACAGCCTCCTGTACCCATGGGGTACCCAACAAATGCTAACTGGCTTACCAGCTGCATTAGAGTCCTATCTCCCGCTGTGCCCCCTTCCTTCCTTTTATTTTTGTAAACCATCCACTCAGTATGTATTTAGTAAGCACGTGCAGTGTTCTCACATTGTAATGGTTTGGTGCAGGAGTTTCCAATCTGAGGCCTTTTCCGAAGCTGGGTATCTGGAACATGCTGGAGCAGGTGTTACTGAAGTCTCTCTTCGAAAGGAAACATGACGGCAGAGTGTACGCATTGGCTGCGGGATATTTAGAGACGATGGGGCTCATTCGGTCGCGCTGTGAGGAGAAAGCCAAAGGAATCAGCATTGTCACGTGATCTGTGGCTCCCAGGGATGATGTCAGAGAGATGGCGCCCCAAGTGGGTCTAAACGCATCTTATAAAAGGTGCCGCTCTGGCAGAAAACAATAATAAACTGACCGTGGGCTTTGAGGATTCGCTCTTTGAAAGCACAAGTCCCGACCTGTGTTCACTTCTGTAAACTCAAATTACTCATCTGCTGTTTGGGACTTGGCATCAATAATTCTGCCAGAAATGCATTTTCACCCGATCCTGTGTCAAGCCACCTGACTCCCCTCAGCTGTTGGGTTGTTTATATGATGGAAGCTTTAGGCTTTTTTCCTCCAACCCAGGCTTGCCTTCTACTTACTCATCTTATTTCTAAGGTTAAATAATCTGAATTTCCTACATAACAAGTTTGCTTCCAACGTCTTCTGCATATATCTCCTACCCCCACCCACCCACCCACTCATTACTGATTTCATAAAACCCTACAATATTTTTGTGTTTCAACAGAACTAATTCTGCTTCTTTCAGGAAGCCATGATAAACTATTTTTAGTGTGTGTGTGTGTGTGTGTGTGTGTGTGTGTGTGTGTGTTTATGTATGTGTGTGTGTTTTTTAAAAGAAAACAAACAGAATCAGTGTTTGCCAAATGAAAAGGGGTCAAAAGCCACAGAAACTAAGTGATAACATCGCTTTACCCCAGGAGAGTATGGCAAGTATTGGACTCTGATAAAACCACATATTTCTCAGTGTTTTGCGGTTAAATGCCTGGGAACATTGCCCTAGGTTTCCTCGTGATAGGGATCAATAACTACAGAAGGTGGGGGAAGTGGTGGGACGGCATCAGCGCCTCCCCCATCTCCTTGGTCTACGCTGGGTGGCCAATGGCTCTCAATGCCTGACTTATGGGCCACCGTGGTCCGTGGTGGATGTGCCACCAGGAGCAGAGCCCCAGCTGTTCAGAGTCTAAGCCGCATCAGAGCCCCACCTCTGCCTTCTCCGTCCTGTGCTCACTTTGCCTTTGCGTTTGGGGCAATGGTTAACGAGCATGTCTCGTGGGTTTTTGCATTTAATCCTCTCGGCAACCCTGGGTAGTGGGTCCTGTGATGACCCTCCCCTTACACATGAGGAAACTGAGCTTCCTCAGCCGGTCACGTGGGGGAACCAGCATTCGCGCCCGGGCTGTGTGCCTCCACTGCCTGATAGAGACCGGACACCCGGTTCTGAAGAGGAGCGGGTCCAGAGGAGGAACAGCAGTAACAAGAGGAGCAGCTGACGAGCGACCGACCGTGGGAGGTTTTAGTTCAGGAAGGATCACGACCTCTATCTCCTCTGCCCGGTGGGTTGGCACTCCTTTGCTCTCTCTTCTTAACTTCCACGGAGGGAGGGTGGTGAGGTCCAGCCTTCCTCGGTGGTGCCAATCGAGCCACCTGTCCGAGTGGGCAGGCATGTTTTTCTGAAGCCGTTTCCCAATGTGTGTTCCTTGGCACACCAGCTCTCTCAGATAAGGCCGTGCTGGTGGCGACAGCAGCTGGGAGAGAGCCTCGGAGTCAAATACATTTGAGAAGTCTCATACCGTGTCCCCATTTTGAAGAGTCATAATACCCTTCGGCAGAGGAAATGCTCTGAGACTAGGATAACAAAACCTGTCCAGACTTTCTTAAATTCACTGGATCATAGAGCCTTTTTGGCCTATTTGTGTACATTTGGGGGAAAACTGTCTAAAAGTTTCCAATTTGAGGCAGTGTTCCATAACAGAAGCATCCTGATGAGATTGATCTCAGAGGATAGCCGAAGTGACACTGACTCACCCAGCCTCCCTACCCCTCGGCCGCCTTTTAATTGCCAGGCCTGTGGTCTCCCATCTGGCCGCACGCTGGCAATTACGAACCTCTCTCCAGCACACACTAACGCTTCCCGAACCCCTGCTGACACGGGGCGAATGGAGAAAGGCCATCCGCGCCTCCTCCCACCTGCCTCATCTGCTGTGAATAATTCCGGAACAAAGACTTGGATGGGCTCTGATGAAGCTCTTATATAATTTGGACTTAGAGAGATGACAGGTCCTCTCAAAAGGTTGGGTGTAGCCGTGCCCATAGTCATCAGGAAGTTTCTCAAACGTGCACACCCACGGAGCCTCCTGGCCGGCCTCGCCCGCAGCCACCTCCTCCTGGCCACTCCTCTGAAGAGGGCCACCTTGAACTCCCTCGGCACCTTCAGCCCAGAAATGGAGGGCTGCTCACGGTGGAAGCTGAGATGAAGGGGTAGGATTCGCATCCAGTTCCGAAAGAAGCCAAGGAAGATGTGGGCAATTTCCTGACGCGTATCCATCAACCGCTGCAGGCCCCTCCCCAAGAACATAGGAATTGACTGTTTATAAACGTAAATATAAATCCTCACATCCATCAAGGAGGGGAGAGGGAGCCTGAACAACATCCTCTGCCCTGCTTTGGGTTTGGCCTGAATGTTTTAAGATTTGAGAGGCCTGACTCGCTTCCGTAACCCTCAGATCTTCGCTAGGGCCGTTTCTCCTCCACACAGCGCAGCCTCGCCCGGGAAGTGACTGCAGGCAGAGCCTCGCCCGGAATCCACCGATGGATCTCATGTGGCGTGCTCTGCTTCAGCCCCCTCCCTCCGTGGCACCGAGTGAGGATGGATGGGCAGTGCCACGATCCGGCCAAGAAGCCGGCCGCCGAGAGAACACCTAGGTGTCGCAGGAAGTCCTGTGTGTGACTCAGGTGGTAACAACCATAACATTTCACCTGCTGGCTGGGCTCTGCAGTTTCAAAGGGTTTCTCGCTGGCTGCCACGGCCCCGTGCCCAGCGCCGCCCCGGGGGAGTCTCCGCTTTATGGGCAGCCGGAGCCCAGGAGGGTGACGTGCTCCAGGTCACATCGGGAACCCGCGGCTGAGTCAGGATTAGGCTTGAAGTCTCGCTGCCTGTGCCAGGGCATTGTGAGGCAAGGAGCTTCTTCTGCCCATTGCTTGCAGGGCTCGGGGCGGAAAGCGAGGCAGAGGCGTGGCTGCTCCCTGAACTCACTGGAGGCCTGGCCGCTGCCCCTCTTTGCTGCGGGGCAGAGCACCGCAGCCAGCCGGGTCGCCCCTGGAGGACCTGAATTTGGTTGCTCTGCCAAACTTGAATGCCATTAAGCCGCCGTGCTCAGGCTGTCTTAAATGGCCTCTTTGTGTGATTCGTTTGAAAATCAGTTCCAAGGGCAGGCATCATGTAATACATTTTTGCAAGGGATCATTGTGACTTTTAAAGGGACAGGCGGCATATGTGTTTTGTTGATACCAGAGTTTGGGTTTGCTCTCTTTTTTACTTTCTTACCTCAACCTTACCCTAGCTCGGCCCTTTGCTCTTGTTACATCTATTTTTTTTTTTTCTGGCCGATTTATAAATATCCAAATAAAAATGATCTTCAGCCAAGCCTGGTCAGGGACATTTGCACTTCATATACAGGGTGTCCCAAAAAAATATATATATATATATACACTTTGAATAATTATTCATTCTAGTGGGTTAAATCTGAAAAGAAGGAAACATCCACTGGGCTATGGAAAAAATGTCTGGCTATACATTATGGGAGACAGCCTATCTATTTGACTGTCAAAGATCAAGATCCACAAAGATCAAGAGCCACGTCTTACAAGGGCGGGGGCGGGGGAGGGGAGGGGGGAAGGTTGCTAAATTCCAGGCCTGCTCTCACTTTGGCCCCATCAGCTTTCTCCATAATGTCCACAGCTCAATTAGACTGCGCAGCGTAAAACAGAGTATTAGGGCGAGATGTAGGATAATTTTTTCCTGGTGTGCCTAAAAATCTCACTCAGGAAGACATTTGCCTAGTCTACTCCATGATGACAAAATTGGTCCTGGGTAGCCGAAACCAGTTTGGCTCAGTGGTAGAGCGTCAGTCTGCGGACTGAAAAGTCCCAGGTTCGATTCCAATCAAGGGCATGTGCCTTGATTGTGGGCACATCCCCAGTAGGGGGTGTGCAAGAGGCAGCTGGTCGATGTTTCTCTCTCATCGACGTTTCTAGCTCTCTATCCCTCTTCCTTCCTCTCTGTAAAAAATCAAAAAAATATATATTTTTTAAAAATTGGTCCTGGGTGATGAGGCTCTGACTATGATTCCTCTGGCTTCTCTCTCCATTCTGGAAATGTGCAGCCATGGAGGAGGGGGAGAGTTTAAAGACACAGACTCCGATTCACCTGCATGAACTTCGAGGAGGCAGCTCCTCTCCTCATTAGAACCACGGGCCTTTGGAGAGAAGGGACCGGACGTCCGATACGTGATTATGCACCGGGTGGAGGACGCGACGGGTCAGTTAGAAGGGGCTCTTACCCGCGAAGGAAAGGCGCACGTCCCTCTGGTGGACAGCGAGGCGCTGTGGAACACCGGAGACTGGTGCGTGACGTTGTAGGACCCGGGCCCCGGGATGTTGTCCTGAAAGGGAAGAGCGTGTGGCGTCACCGGGACGGACTCCGTTCCACCGGGTTTTTCCACGCGCCTCACACCCGCGAACACGGAGCCTCACCGTGACCCGCCGGGACAGGCCCCGCCGCCACTTCACGGACGGCAGCCCGGCTGCGCCACCTCCTACCCTGCCCAGTCACCATCTCAGTGACCCCGGGCTGGGGCTGGGACCCCCACAGCCCTCGCTCCTGCGGAAGAGCGCTGCTGTTTTCCACGCCATTCGAGGAAAGGGCATAACAGGGGACAGCGAGTGTGGCTGATGGGCAAACCGGGGTCCATGAGGTGGGTAAGCCCAGCCCACGGGGAGGGAAGGGCGACCGATGGCATGCTAGCCACACCCCACCTGACTCAGCTTCCTCCTCGGCCTCTCAGAAGAGAAACCAGGGAGTGTTTCTGTGTACAAAGCAAAATGAAACAAAAACAGCCTTCGCCCCAAACAAGCGAGACCGTTTCCGCCTGTCAGGTGCACGGGGCACAGGTGCTCAGGGATGCAGGCATGTGAGAGAGGAGCGAGCACGAGTTTGACTTCTGAGTTTCTTTTCTTTCTTTCTTTCTTTTTTTTTTTTTTTTGTAAAAATATATCTTATTGATTTTGTACAGAGAGGAAGGGAGAGAGATAGAGAGCTAGAAACATCGATGAGAGTCATCGATCAGCTGCCTCTTGCACACCCCCCCACCGGGAATATGCCCGCAACCAAGGTACATGCCCTTGACCGGAATCGAACCCGGGTCCCTTCAGTCCCCAAGCCGACGCTCTATCCATTGAGCCAAACCGGTTTCGGCGTGAGTTTCTTTCTGCTGGAGCTGCTCCTTGGACGTTCTTCTCATGTCCCAGGCTGGTTACCCGGGGACGTTCATGTGGCCAGGAGCTGGCCAAGCACGTGGCATGAGATGATAAGGACACCTTACCGGTGCCAGGAGCTTTCCGAAGCCTGTAGCTTTAGTCCACCGCTGTGAGCGGCAGCCCCCGAATTTGGGGCTAAGCACGTGGTGCACACCAGTCCTTGGCAATGGGGTATTTTCAGGTCCCTTTAAGGAAAGGGAGGCCCAGAGACAGTGAGCCCACAGATACTCAACGATGGCCCCAGAGCGGGCTCTCTCCTCCTCTGCCCCAGGCTCATCGGTCTCCACCGTCCCCGCTACCTTCCTCCGGGGAGGGAGAAAGCTGGCAGCACCATCGGGCCTTGAAGGACTTTCCACTCGGGCCGGAGCAGTGTGTGATTTCTTAAAAATATATTTTGATTTTTTTACAGAGAGGAAGGGAGAGGGATAGAGAGTTAGGAACATCGATGAGAGAGAAACACCGATCAGCTGCCTCCTGCACACCTCCTACTGGGGATGTGCCCGCAACCAAGGTGCATGCCCTTGACCGGAATCGAACCTGGGACCCTTCAGTCCGCAGGCCAACGCTCTATCCACTGAGCCAAACTGGTCAGGGCACAGTGTGTGATTATGATTTAATGGAAAGGCTAGGTCTCCAGTGCTATTAACAGGTTCTTCTGTGCGGATTTCAGATGCGGGGGGTCAGGGGGGGAGGAGCTAATTCCTGCTTCAGGGGTGGTGATCGCTCGTGGACCGGGAGGCGCTGACAGCTGAGGAGAGTGAGGCTGGCCATGCAGGTGCATGAGCACCAGGCCAAGGTCAGGAGAGCACTGGCGTGTGGGTGCAGGTTCCAGAGGCTGCAGGGAAACAAGGAAGAGCTTTTTCTTCCTGTTAATCCCACCCAAGGCTATTTTTTCCATTGATTTTTTTTCTTTTTCTTTTTTAGAGAGTGGAAAGGGGAGAGAGAGAGAGAGAGAGAGAAAGAGGAAACATTGATTGGTTGCCTCCCACAAGTGCCCCGATTGGTCCTAGGGATCAAGCCTGCAACTGAAATGCATGCCCTGGACCAGGAATCAAATCTGCTACCCTTTGGGGGTGCAGCCTGAGGCGCTAACCATCGAGCAACACCGCCAGGGCAGAAGAGCTTTTTCTAGGGGCTGTGAGGGGAGTGGTTTGCTGGCCACTGTTCTGAGTTTTTTACATGCACTAAGTCACTTACTCCCCGTTTGGAAGATGAGAAGACAGGGCCAAGGTCACAGAACCAGAATTGGAACCCTAGAGTCTACTTTTCACCACTAAGTATGTAGGATAAAAAAAATAATAATAATAGCCAAGACCGGTTTGGCTCAATGGATAGAGCATTGGCTTGGGGACTGAAGGGTCCCAGGTTCGATTCCGGTCAAGGGCATGTACCTTGGTTGCGGGCATATCCCCAGTAGGGGGTGTGCAAGAGGCAGCTGATTGATGACTCTCTCTCATTGATGTTTCTAACTCTCTATCTCTCTCCCTTCCTCTCTGTACAAAATCAATAAAATGTATTTTTAAAATAATAATAATAATAAATAATGCCCCTGGTTTGTGAATCAGGAATTCTTGTTCCCATTGCTCCTACTAGGAGCCAGCCACCTCCCTAGACCTAAATTTCCTCATTTGTAAAGCAAAGATGTTGGACGAAATGTCTTCCAGGGCCTTTTGGCTTTCAAAGTCCCTAAACGGAGGGGAAGCTGAGGCAGGAAATTGCCTGTGCCTCTCCTAGGTTTAAGAGTGAGCAGTGAAGACATGCTTCTGTGTCCCAGTCTACCCCACGCTCATCACAGGCCACCAGCTCACGAGAATTTCCTGGGCACAGTGTGTGTCTGAGGAGCTGGCTGCCAGAGAAAGCACCAGCCCTACGAGGCTGCCAGTTAAAGAATGTCAGGTAGCGCTAGCTGGCGTGGCTCAGTGGATAGAGCGGTGGACCGCAGACTGGAAGGTCTCAGGTTCGATTCCGGTCAAGGGCACAGGCTCGGGTTGTGGGATCAATCCCCAGTAGGGGGCGTGCAGGAGGCAACTGATCAATGATTCTCTCTCATCATTGATGTTTCCATCTCTCTCTCCCTCTTTCTTCCTCTCTGAAATCAATAAATACATATTTTTTTTAAAATGTCAGGTAAACAGCAAAAGCTATGTTAGTAGAAGTATGTCCCCATGCCCTGTTTGAGACATACTTACATTAAAATAGTTGCCTGTTATTTATTTGAAGTTCTATGTTAACTAGGAATCTTATGCGTTTATTTGCTAGATCTGGCAACCCTCCTGGACCTTAATCATGCCTGGATCCGGGTCGGTTGGAACAGGAATGTCCCCTTTAGCCTGAAGGGGAACGTGTGGCCTGTTGGCTCTCAATCACTGTCCAAGACGAGCCCTCCAGGCAGCGGTATGCTGGGAGAGCGACTGTTAACAATTAAAAAAATGGGAGTATTTACACCACAGGAAGTGGCAAGCGCTATACACCAGAGCTTTTCTAGGTGGAGGGGAGAGCAGTTGGCCAGCACACCACTTGCTACCTTCATGGGACGCCCACGGAGCTCCCTGAAGGGCAACGTCCAGCTGCGAAGAGTTCGCACCTCCTCCTGCAGCTGCTGGAGGTGGTGGGCGGCTCGCCGGGAGGGCAGTAGAAATCCAGACCTTTCACCCCTGGGATGCCAGCTCCTGTGACTAACGTCGCGTGACTCTGGTGAGTTGAGGCTCTCCGAGCACAACCCAGACAACAAGAATTCCACTCGCCACTGGTGTGAACTTACCCACCCCGAGTTTGCTGGCCAAGATCACCCCAGAGGTTAAAACCAAATAAGCAAACAAAACAAGGATGGGTGTGGGGAGGGAGCAGGGAGGACTGTTCCCCTGAGCAATGCTGACAGTCTGCTGAGTGTCCTGCGGGAAGCACAGTGCCAGGTGCCATTCCTGTTGTCTCCGGCGCCGGCCTCGCGGTGTGACAATCCGTGAGTCAACACGTGTGGAGAGGTGACAGCAGTGCCGGCCTGGGCAGCCACTGTCACCCTCCTCACTGCCCTCCGCACTGCCCGTGGCAGGGTCAAGGGGCATACGACTGGCTCTGGGAGCCCAGAGGAGGATGTGCTTGCTTCTACCCAGGGGAGAGGCTGGGATACGTGTCTGGGAACCAGGGGCTGCTGCCTGGGTTCGTCCTCACTCGGCCTGACTCTGGCTGCTCAGGTTATGTACCCCTCTCTGTGTCTCAGGGTCATCGCCTGAAAAGGGGGACTAATGATGGGACTTAGCTCCCAGGTTACGTGGGTTAATGAATGCACGGTCTCCAAGGGGCGCCCGGCACCCCGTCAGTGCTATCTCCAGGCCTGGATCCTGCAGATCCACCGGGAGGGGTGCTGGTGAGAGGCAGAGAAGTCCGGCCTCCAGAGCGGGGGGGGGGGGGGGGGGGGGGGGGGGGGAGTAGAGGGTTCAAACATGCAGCTGACTGCACCCTTCAGGGCAATTATGCCCTTGAACGTGGGGGTCTCTGCACACTGAGTTTCTTTTCAGACATCCCTGCGTGGAAAATACCCCTGGCCCAGTGTCTTCTCGGGTTAATAAGTGAACAGCGTCAACTTCGCCACAAATTAAACGCTGGCCTGCTTACCCCTGAGAGGGAAGGTTTGCTGTCAGGCCATGTCTGAAGGGACATCGTGTTGTTAAATTGTGCCCATCCGGAGCCTGTGGTGCCCGCATCCTGCTACTATTCATTTATTTGTGCCTGGAGGGATCAGTCAGGTTAAAACCATAGAGCAGCCCTGGCCGGTTTGGCTCAGTGGATAGAGCGTTGGCCTGGGGACAGAAGGGACCCAGGTTCGATTCCGGTCAAGGGCATATACCTGGGTTGCGTGCACATCCCAGTAGGAGGTGTGCAGGAGGCAGCTGATGGGTGTTTCTTTCTCATCGATGTTTCTAACTCTCTATCCCTCTCCCTTCCTCTCTGTAAAAAAAATCAATAAAATATATATATATTTTTTTTTTAAAAAAACAAACCATAGAGCAGTGATCCCTGGAAAGGCCCACCTATAGTAACATCCTTATTTTTTAAAAATATATTTTATTGATATTTTACAGAGAGGAAGGGAGAGATATAGAGAGCTAGAAACGTCGATGAGAAAGAAACATCGACCAGCTGCTTCTTGCACACCCCCTACTGGGGATGTGCCCGCAACCCAGGTACATGCCCTTGACCGGAATCGAACCTGGGACCTTTCAGTCCGCAGACCAACGCTCTACCACTGAGCCAAACCGGTTTCGGCAACATCCTTATTTTGATGAGGAAACGAAGATGCAGAGACAGTGAGTGAGTGTCTAGCGTGACCCAGCTTGGCAGACAGTAACCACAGCCCAGGGTGACACGGGACAGACAGGGAGGTGGGGGGAGAAAGTGCCCATCAGGCCCCTGGGCTATGCCGGGCCCCAGACCAGGCTGGCCTTGCCTGCACGTGCGCTCCAGCACATCTGTGAACAGCTGTTCAGGGAAGCAGGCCTTGTTCCTGGCACTGCCGGTCCAGGACTGAGCTCTGGCAGGGGATCCGGGCACCCAGTGGTCAGCTTCTTACGGGGGAGCAGGAGCCGGGCAACGAGGCCTTGGCGTTTCTGACAACGTGAGATGATAAGGTGCGCGCAGGTTTCCAAGGGCTCCAGTGAGATGTGCTAAGTGGGTCACAGGATTCATTTGAGGCCACAACCACGTTGTGAGATCAGGCACAGGGCGTGTGCGAGGAATGTTTGCAGAAGGGCGGTGAGACACTGGGGCTCTAAATCTGGTTTTAATTCGTATTGCCTCACTAAATTATCGGGTGATGCTACATGAGATCCTTAACTTCTCAGTGCCCACTTCCCTCAGGACAAATGAGAACAATGAGCACGGAACCAGACCGCCTTTCTGTTTTTAGAGCTTGAAGAACCCAATACAATTATGTAATCCAAATTTTATGTTTCAGATTAAAAAAAACAAACCTGAAGCCCAGGAAAGTCAGGGAACTCAAGGCACGCAGCTAGTAACAGAGCAGAACCTGGGGGACCTAATGACGGATTCCCTGCCCTTTCCACAAAGGTCCATACTCATTTCCCAAATGCTTTCAAATATTAGGTGAAAGTTTTCACATTGTCTAGCCCAGTGGTCGGCAAACACATTAGTCAACAGAGCCAAAGATCAAGAGGACGACGATTGAAATTTCTTTTGAGAGTCAAATTTTTTAAACTTAAACTTCTTCTAACGTCACTTCTTCAAAAATAAGACTCGCCCAGGCCGTGGTGTTTTGTGGAAGAGCCACACTCCAGGGGACAAAGAGCCGCATGTGGCTCGAGTGCCATGGTTTGCCGACCACGGGTCTAACCAATGCGACCACAGAGTCAAATTTCTGAACAATTTCTCTATCTGGCGCTGCCTATAGCTCTGGCTGCATCTTGGTTCCTTCAGCAGAGAATTTCCTGACAGCCGACAGTAACTTAAGATCCATTTCTGTACCTGCACTGCCATCGGCACCAGGTCACGGAGAGCGGAGCCTTGCACACATCACTTGGCGTCATCCCCGTGGCCAGAGCTTGGTCCGTTTGGCTAAGCCTTTTCAGAAACCCGCTCTCTGACTTTCGGAGATCAAATGGGCCACAAAGGGAGGCGTGGTGCGGTGTGTGGAAAGAGCGTGAGGCTTTGGAGTGAGCGAGACGCGGGCTTGAGGTCTAATTCTTTCAGCATTGATTCAGCAAATATTTGTGCAGGGCCCCTATGTGCCAAACCCTGCGCGCTGTGACCCAGGGGCGGGTCACTGAACGTCCCTAAGCCTCGGCTTCCTCTTCGCTTAAAATAATAAACCCTTCCCTTCAGCATTGTCCTGGGGCTTAGAGATATGTTCTAAAAGTGATTTCACCCGTAGTAGAGATCAGTGAATGGTGGCTTGCTCTTATTTTTATTGGAGGCTGGACTGCAAATGTCTTACTAAAATATTCTTGCTGAACTGACAAATGGAAAACCAGACAAAAAAAAAAAGAGAGAGAGATGGACAGCTAAAACATAGACAGGGAAACTAGAAAGAGAAAAGAGAAAACTCCCAAGCAAATACCTTATTTATCATCTTGGGGGTTCGGGGAGGGGAGGCAAGTAATTAAAAATGTGTGTGTGTGTGTGTGTGTGTGTGTATGTGTGTGTGTGTAAGTGTGTGCGTACTATGTTCTTTATTATTTGCTTTCTTAGAATCCTAAAATACCAGAAGTGAAAGGAACTTAAATGTTCTCTAGTTGGGCATTCTTGTTTACAAAGAAGGAACAGACAAGGGCCACAGGGCCTGGCCAAGCCCCTCACCTCCCTCCTGGCTCACCTGCAGTCATTCAGAAGCCAGATCTCATCCCCTCCCCACCACCCTGGCAAAGGGTGAGATGAGAAACATTTTCAGAATGCAGCAAAGGGTAACTGAGATGATGATTACTCCCCAAGAATGTTATTCTAAAAGTCTTGGTTAGAGGAATGCAGGGGTGAAGGTTTTAAAGAAAACTGAAAACGTTTGCGAGTTGTCTGAGCCCCCTGCTGGCGAGAGAGGAGCCGGTCAGATCCCTGAGCCTCTAGCAGGTGGAATCGCTGGTTAGATGCCAAGCAGAACGTCCCAGATCAAAGAGGAAGAGAGACACAGGTGTTTGGAAGAGAGTGTGAGAATGGGAGAAATACAGAAGCAGCAGTAACACGTTGTCAAAAGAAGTATCAAAACTGAGGGGGCCCTCGTCACGAAGGCTATTTTAAATGTTTTAGACTCATTTTTCCTTTTTGTTATTCAAAGAAAGTCTTGTTATTCCCTTCCCTGTTTTAAGGAGTGAGGCTGGGGGAGAAAAAGGAAAAGATTTTTACCTTTTACTTATATCCCTGGGATTTTTAAGTGTTCTATTTCTATAATAATTTTTAAATACATTTCTTATTAAAACTTTTGGGTCCAGTGGAGCACCATCTGGACATGTTATTTTTCCCTGGATTTAATATCTTTCCAGCTCATTCTTTTATTTTTATTTTTTAAGGTCTTAAATTTTTTTTTTTTTTTTTTTTTTACCTACAGTATTATTTTGTATTGGTTTCCACTGTACAGCATAGTGATTAGGCAGTTATATGCTTTGCAAAGTGCCCTCTGCCAATTTGTACTTCTTAAGCCCTTCGTCACCTCTTTCACTTACCCAGTCCCCCAATTCCCCCTGCCCTCTGGCAACCACCAACCGGTAGACCCCCTCCTGTCCGGTGCCTGTTTCAGCTGATTCTTCCCATCAAGAGCACAGCTGGAGAGGCTGCTGTGGCTCCTTGGATAGCACCGCCCTCTACTGGTCACTGGGAGAGACGCACCAGCCAGGCTCGCCGGCCTGTCCCTTAAGGCTAAAATCCAAACTAAAAGTAAAGGATCTCTAAGACAATGCCATTACCTTTTTTTGATCAAATCTCTTGGATTGACTATTAAATCCTTTCTTTTCTGATTCTGAAGTATCCGCAGACGGAGATTTGTAAGGAATGGAGGATTGTGTTGGATATGCAGCGGTATAACCTAAAAACAAAAATGAAAATTAGCACAGGGCACAGAATTAGCAAATGCAGAAAACACAGAGCTGTATATTAATGTTTTATCTGAAATGGAATTGAAGAGAAACTTGCCTTTGGACACGAGATAAACATGAAGCTGGACTTTTTTTTTTTTTTTTTTTTTTTTTTTTTTTTTTTTTTTTTAAGTATTCCTCACTTGCTTGGCCAGAGTGGTTTAGTGGTTGAGCGTTGACCTATGAACCAGGAGGTCACAGTTCGATTCCGGGTCAGGACACATGCCCTGTTTGCGGCCTCGATCCCCAGTAGGGGGTGTGCAGGAGGCAGCTGATTAATGTTTCTCTCTCATCATTAATGTTTTTCTCTCTTCCTCATCCTTCCCTTTTGAAATCAATTTTTAAAAAATATTTTAAAAAAGTATTCCCACTTTGCTTTCTTTCCCTCTTGGTAACTTATTGGGGCTTCCCTTCCAGCTCTTAACCTAGAGAGACATGGTGACATGGTGGGAATGAATTGTCCCAGGGAAGAGGGGAGACCTGGCAGGGAAGGAGGACACGGAACCATCACGCGGGCCCAGCTCGGTCACACATCAGCAAAGCGCCACGAGGATCCAGAGAGGCAGGGAGGCCCCAGGGCCGGACTCTCTCACTTTCCAGGGCACAGGGCAAAACGGTATGAATTTAGCTCTCGGCGTTGAGCAGACATGGGTTAGACAGTGGAAGGGCGTCACTTAAAGGAAATCAAGTTAAAATTTTATTCATCTGAGTCATGATGTATAAATGATATATGAAATCCCTCCTCTCCCTCCTCCCTCGCCGCACACGTGGGAGAATGGCCACAATATGGGTCCCACCTGTCTGCACACCCACTGATCACAAACTCTGTTCAGTGAGTAGAATAGAAATGCACTTTAGTGTTTGACTGCTGACAGCTTTGAGGCCTCACCCTTACCTTCCTGCCTCTCTCCCTCCCTCCCACCCCCTCCCTCTCTCTTCCTTTTCAGCCCCTGGTCCCAGCAAGCTGACGGGAAGGCCAGGTGCCCCCTCCATGGCACCGGCTAGAATGCGGCCAGGCAAAACCCTGCCCTCACTCCAGCCCCACCTCTTCCCACAATAAAACCAGGCCAGTCTGCTTTCCCTGCTCTCTCCAGCCCCTGTGCGGCCAGATTAGGAAGCCTGCCCTGCTCTCCCCCAGAGAGCCTCCTCATGTGAGAATTAAACCTTTCCAAGCCCCTTGACATGTGTGTGTGTGTGTGGCATCATCGGTCTTGACACCCAAGCCAAATTCCGGGGGCGGGAGGAGTGTCCACCCTGACTGCTACAGGCCCACACAGTGAGCCCAAGTATCTCAACATCAGAGCCCTCAGCCTCCGAGGGAAACGGGAAGAGGAGCGCCAAGAGGAAGAAAGAAGGGTAGGGGCGAGATGGCCTGGAAACTGTCTGGAAGGCCCATTTCCTCACCTCCAACCTTTTGAAAAAACGAAACTATTTTTCAGAGAGGAAAGCCGATGCCAACAGGGCCCCCAGGAAGTGCTATTACTAACAAGCTTTACACACGAGGAAACTGAGGCTCGGAGAGACCACGTGACTCACGAAAAGCACAGCACCCCTTAGTGCAACATCTGAAGTGCAAGCAGTTTGTCTGATGAGCTCAGGCTCTTCCCCTCTACGCTCTGCTCCCTCTGCCTGGGCCTGGCTCAGGGTTCAGACTCAGAAACAGTGAATGAAATGATGAAGAGGGGGCAATGCAGCCAATTTGTCTGGGTTGAGGATGAAGCAAGTGAAAGAAGCAGAATGCTGCATATGTTGGGCTAGAAAACACCTGGCAATACCCACCTATGATATATTTAGTCTTCTCCTTCCTTCTCGCTCCCTTCCCCATTCATGCAGGTGGGTGGTTATATATCTTTTCTTTAAGGGAGCTAGAGAGCAAATCAGAAAGTAGCAGGCCCAAGGCTTCCTAGCTCTTGTTTCTAAAAGCCTAAGTCATTAGAATAACTGAGTTTGCAAAGGAGGCAGTAAAGGAAGGAGGGGGGGGAGGGGGGCGTGGTATTAAAAAAAAAAAAAAAAGGGGGGGGGAGAAGTGAAGTCATTCCCTGGAGGAAGGAACAGTTTCTCCTTGACTAAAAAGGAGATCAAACATGTTGGCTTCTGGCTGTGGTGAACGGTGTGTATCAAAGCAACCCTCCATGAGAACACACACACACACACACACACACACACATACGATGAGATTAACAGTAATCTAGGCACTGTGGGACTCGGGGGGTTGGGGGAAAGACTAGGAAACTTGAAGACATAGAAACAGAAACTATCCAAAATAAAACACAAAGAGAAAAAAGGTGAGAAATACAGAGTATCAATGAGGTATGTGATAACTTCCAGGAAGTTCACATAGATGTCATTGGACTCTCCAAAGAAGAGGTGTGGGGAGAGAGAAAAGACAATCATTTAAAAAAAAAAAAAAAAAAAAAAAAAAAAAAAAAAAGATGAAAATTTTCCATATCAGATAAAAACAATAGGTCCCCAGATCCAAGAAAATAAAAACCTCGGCACATGAAACATGAATAAAATCACACCATGACACATAAAATAATCGCATTGCTTTAACAAAGTGATAAAGAGAAAATTTTGAAATCAGGCAGAGGGAGAAAAAAGGCGTTACCTGCAAAGAGAACAACTAAAGACAGCAGACCTACTTTTTGTGAGAAACAAAACCTTCAAGAGAAGGAAAAGAAAACTGTCACCCTACAACCCTGCACCCAGAAAAAGGCCTTTCAAAAACAAAAGCAAAATAAAGACTCACATATATACAAAAGCGGACAGAGCTCATCAGCAGCAAACTGGAGTAATAGTAATAAAAAATGTTAAAGGAAGTCCTATGGGCAGAAGAGAAATGATACCAGTTGGAAATCTGTATCTACATAGAGGAAGGAAGAGCTCTGGAAATAGCAAACATGCGGGTAGATACACAGTACAGAATTATGAGTATACCTGGGTGCATTTAGACATAAATAAGTAAAACGTAACGCCCCCCTCCCAAAGACATCTGTGATGAAGTTCGCCAGACCTTTCTGGATTTTCGTGTGTCTCCCGGCACGCTGCGGGTTTTCTGCCGAGGTGGCCATCTCAGCGCCGTTCTGTGATGTGTTTCATTTGTTTGATGAAAGACTCTACTACGGTTCTTCCAAGCACCTGAAACAGCAAAACACAGCGTTTGTAGGGATCGTTTCACGTTTTTGTTAATTACGTGGATTGAGTTCTGTTCTCGGGGCAGGACAGACCAGGAAGTGAGTAGAGGATGAGGTTTACCAGCATCTATGACCTCAAATGGCAAGCACGCTGCACTCATGGCCTGTCGCAGGAACCCTGTAAGTATTCACAGCTGATGTTGCTTCCAGAACTAACGAAGGCTTGAGTTTTATAAACTTATCATGGGATCATTTACATACACTATAATTTAGGAGTTATACATTATCACTAGGTATACAATTCTAAATTTTGACACGTTTACAATTGTGTGACCTACCACTGCAATCCTAATATATAAAAACCCTGGGTCCGTCACATCCACAACCACCAGAGGCTCAACCTACTGGAATTCAGTCCTGCAGTCAGTGCATGGCAAACCAGCACTGACAACTATGGCTGCAGGCACGGTGACCCAGCATGACTGCTGAGGGGTCTGCGAATCAGGCCCAGAGAGAGGCCTGAAGAGAGAAGCAGGGCCTGATCTGTAGCCTGTGTTGCAGCTGTTCATCAGCACTTGCCTCTCTCTTTACCTTCGGACCTGACCAGCAGCCAGACCTCCATTTCTTTCCAGGCTTCCACCCAGGCTGCTGATCAGCTCTGCCTTTCTGATCAGGCCCCGTTGATAGGCCCAGAGACGCTGACTGGCATAGAAACCAATCAGAACCAAATCTGGATCAATTGTGAGGAGCCAATGGCTGTCTAGGAGGCGGAGCTTTTGATGCTGACTGGCATAGAAACTGACCAATCAAAACCAAATCTGGGTCGATTGTGAGAGCCAATGGCTGCCTAGGAAGCAGAGCTTTTGACACTGACTGACATAGAAGCTGACCAATCAGAACTAAATTGGCTAGTAGAGGAGGACAGTTGGGGGCGAGATCAGGCCTGTAGGGGAGGGCAGTTGTGGGCAACTAGGACTGCAGGGGAGGACAGTTGGGGGCAAGATCAGGCTGGCAGGGGAGGGCAATTGGGGGTGAGATCAGGCCAGTAGGGGAGGGCAGTTGGGGGTGATTGGGCCAGAAGGGGAGCAGCTAGAGGGTGATCAGGCTGGAAGGCAGAGGTGGTTAGGGGCAATCAGACAGGCAGGCAGGTGATCGGTTAGGAGCCAGCAGTCCCGGATTGTGAGAGGGATGTCCAACTGCCAGTTTAGTCCTGATCCTACAGTCAGACATCCCCCGAAGGGTCCCAGACGGGTTGAGGGATGAATTTTGTGCACTGGACATCTAGTTAAGATATAAACATATCCTTGAGCCTAAAAAGTTTTCTGTGTTTCTTTGCAGTCAATACCCTCCTAAACCTGGTTTCTGGCAGCCACTGCTCTGCTTTCTGTCACAATGGTTTCCTTTTCTAAAATGCCATATATATGTTATCATACAGTCTATACTGTTTTGGGCCTGCCTTTTTTCACTTATCACAATGCTTTTGAGATTCTCCGATGGTGTTGCATGTATCAGTAGTTTGGTCCATTTGTTACACATCCTCACCAACACTTGTCTGGTAAATCTTATTAATTTTAGTCATTCTAGTGGCCCAACAGTGGTATTTCATTGTCACTTTAATTTGTATATTTTCATGTGCTTATTTGTCATTTCTTTACCTTTTTGGTAAAGTGCCTGTTCACACCTGCCCTTTTTAAACAACTTGGTTATCATGTTATTGAATTGTAAATGCTCTTAGTATATTTTGGATACCAGTCCTTTATCATATATAAGTTTTAGAAATATTTGCTCTTAGTCTGAGGTTTACCTTTTCATTTTCTCAATATTTGAGGCTACCTCAAGTTTTCATAGAATACTGGGGTTTCATAGAGGTCAGTTTGAAAATTCTTAAGGCAGCTCACTGTTTGGTAGTTCTGCTAGAAAGTCCCTATCTGTATCAAGCTGACCTCTCTCTCTTTCTCTCTCTCTCCAGTCATCCTAATTCCAGCCCTCAAAATTGACTCAGAATAAGTCCCATTTCTCTTCCACATTGGTGATAGTGATTTTCAAAACGCAGGCCATAGCCTGTAGTCTTTTGTTAAGTTTGCTGTGTTCCTGTGTGTGCTGCATGTCTGACCGTGGGTCACAGTCAAAAAGTTTGAAAGCCACTCTTCTCTGTGATCGTTCTTCACGTGACTGAAGATGGCCACCTGGGCACAAAAATACATACAGCCTGAAAAAAAAAAATATCGGAAACTACTGGAAGGTCTAGTGAACCTAATAATAGATGTCTTCGGGGGATGGGGAGTTACATTTTACATTTATGTCTAAAGGTACTCATTTGTCATATCCCACTACCCAGACACTAACCCTCTTCTCCACAAGAGACCTCCTCGGCTCCTGCAGCACCTCCTTGTTGCCTGGGATTGTTCCCTCGCTATAGCGGGCATCATCTCCTGGTCCTATCACCAGGTTCATCCGGATCCCTGCTCAACCCTTAGGGATGACTTCCTGGACCACTCTCAAGAAGCACCACCCACCTATCGTGAGCCCAGGAACCTGCCTTATTTTTCTCATAGCACTTTTCTCTACCCGACGTCATATTTTATATGTATTTCTTTTTTTTCTTCTCCTATATATTTTATTGATTTTTTTACAGAGAGGAAGAGAGAGGGATAGAGAGTAAGAAACATCGATGAGAGAGAATCATGGATCAGCTACCTCTTGCACACCCCCACTGGGGATGTGCCCGCAACCAAGGTACATGCGCTTGACCGAAATTGAACCCAGGACCCTTGAGTCCGCAGGCTCTATCCACTGAGCCAAACCGGTTTCGGCTTATGTGTATTTCTTTATGATCTTCCCCAATAGAATATTCATCCTGGAATCCCCAGCCTGTTTCCTGGCACATAGTAGTTACTCAATAAATATTTATGGAATGAATGAGTGAACATGTTTATTAGGGGTAAACACATTTTAGCACTAATGTATATAGATGCACTCATAATACAACTCTTTCCTTCAAGAGCTGCATTCTATGAAGATTTCTCTCACATGATTACGAAGATTGGCATATTTTCATTGTACCAGCTCTCTGTTTTAAAAAATCCTTTATCATTTGTGTTATAGTATTTTCACACATCTTATTATAATATACGTGTATGTTATTTTATAGTGTATATCAATATATGCTACACCATGTATACTGCTTACAGGATTTGCATGAATAGTTTCGACTGTATGAGATTTTATCCGTTCAGTTATAATGCATGGTGTGTCTTATTTTTTTTTTTTTACATTTTTCAGTATCTTTTTTTTTTTTTTTTTTTTTTTTACATTTTTCAAAGCACTCTCGGGTAAATAACCCATTCGACATTTTTTTCATCAGCTGGGAAAACGTCAGAGCCGGCTATGACCACTGGATTCCAATCTCACCCTTCCTTTTTACCGGTGGCCTGAGGCTCCCAGCAGGAGGGGCGCCGAAGGGGCTCTCTGTCGCCCACCAGCGGCCAGCCACCGCAGCCTCCAAACGCCTGCACACTGGGGGCTGAGGCGGGGAGGCAGCTGCCCAAGAAGCTCCGTGGGGAAGGGATGCCCGGGTTATAATCACCGTTTTCCAGGTGGGGGCTCTGCGGCACCATCCAGCGAGGGGTACCGCCAACAGGTGGCTTCTTCCCGCGCTCAGGGCATCACCTAGGACCCAGCAGGGCGGGGTCTCGGTGGGTGTCCCATGGGTGCACCAGGTCCACCTCCCAGGACCCCGGGACCAGGGCCCAACAGGAATTGCCTCCTACCTCACCGGTTCCTCCTGGGCAGGGTCTGGCCTAGCCCACCCTTCTCCGTCTCTATGGCAACCACAGCCTAACAGTGTGAAGGCCACGTGAGCCGCCTTAGCCAATGGCGTCCTCTGTTCCTTTAGAGTGACAAGTTACTGGCCAATCATTGGAGGCGCTTTACAAACTGCAGGGAAGCTGCCAGAATTTCAGGCTTCAGCCGCCCTACCTACCTCAGAAGCCGCAGGGACACCCAATAGAGGCTTACCGAGGCGACCCCTCCAAACTGGTGATAGAACAGAAGTCTCCATTTTGCCCACCCAGAAATCCTACTCCTAGGAATAAGCCTGAGAGAACTGACACTCCCCCAAGCCCTGTTTGCAATAACAAGAGGGACTGATATGGGCAACTCTGTTCCCCAGCCCCTCTCTCCTTGTCAGTCCCCTGCTGAGGGCCCGCCTCAGGCCTCCCTTAAGCCTCCGGGGAAATCCAAACATCTTAGCACACGTGGTCCCGGCCCTTCCCTCCGAAGGCAGCTCTGCGGCCCGCGCTCTAGGAGATCCCCGGGCCCGCCACGCTGCCCTCGGGCAGTTCCTCCCTGGCAAGCCCGTTTCCGGGGTGCTCTCAGGGGTTCCCCCCGAGCGATCTCCACCGTCACCGGCCCTTCTGTCATCGCCGAGGTCTCTGCCCCGATGTCACTGCTGCATCGGTAAATCAATGGGCTGCGCTCCGTGTCTCACTCAGGGGGCTGCTGTGAGGATCCGAAATGAGACGCGTGCGAGGGAAAGGGTGTCGGTTCCAGGCTCGTGTTAATTACACGAGCTCGTGTTGATGAGCACAGTGTGCATTCGGGAAGCTTTGGTGCTAGGCTCATCCGAGGGCCTTACGCGTGGCTGAGCTGCGGACGTGCTGGGAGAGTTGGCATATGATGCAGCCAACAGGTGTCAGGGGGCGCAGGCAGAGATGAATCTATGGCTCTGCAACTTTGGGGGAGAACCGGGTCTTAAAGGATGTGCAGGCTTTGGATCGCGGTGAGAGCAGCGTGGGGTTTGGGGGAATGGCAGGAGCAAAGTCCGGGAGAGCCCACCTGTCTCGCAGGTGGAGGTGTGTGGTCACCTGAGCCCCCCAAGACGGCGGGGGCGGGGGGGGGGGGAGGAGGGGTAACGGGTGTGTTCCGAGGTCCGCCCTGTGGCCGCTAGAGGGACCGGCTCAAGGTGAGAGCAACGCTCCTTCCTGCAGGCGGTCCCTCCCCGGGCTCGCCCCCTGCGCTTCAACCAAGCCTGGCAGAGCAGCCAACCCATAAAGTCCCGCCCACCCTCTCTCACCAGCCAATCGTCTGAGCAAAGCGCCCTCCAGCTTCTGACTGGCAGGCGGCCGAGCAAATCAAATCGCGGCCTTTGAAAGCAAAACACCGCAGGACCCAGGCAGCACGGAGCCGGGGAAGGAATTCCGGAGGCTGTGCCTCCGGGTTGCGCGGAGCCGGCGTCTCAGTCATTTCTCGGGAACCTCTGATAGGTGGGCCCGGGAGGAAACGTCTCCGGTGAGTAGTGACTAAGACCGAGGGAGTGGGGACTGGAAATGCAGCCGTCGTTTCTGGAAACGCGAATGCATTTGCAACAATCTGAGGTCCCCCGGTGTCAATACCCTCCCTTCTGACTGTCACCAGCCTTGTCAGTGTCTCAGAATGTTTGTTTGTTTTTTTTTCTTTTTTTTTCTTTGCATCCAAGGTGAGAGGACAGGGGCATGGGTATGCCCTAATAAAGGTGCCGGCAGGCTTTACCAAATCAGGAAGTGAAATGCAGTACCTGCCAACATGACTCCCCAGGCTTCCTGGCTATAGCCGGTGGAGTTAGCAGGTGGAATAGGGGAAAGCATTCTTGATCGGTGCTGCCTGCTGCAAGTTGTAGTTCCAGCTCCATGGGAGGGGACTGGGGGAGTGTAACCCTTTAGGGAGCCAAAGCCCAGGAAAGGGAAAGGGCTTGGTGTCTAACTGGCGCTCATTAGTAAGAAGCTGAATGGTCAGGTGGGAAAGGCGTGTTTTATTTTATTTTATTTTATCTTATTTTATATTTTATTTTATTTTATTTTATTTTCAGACAGAGCCAAATGATAACACAGACCCTCCTCTGAGCAGCCACGAGCTCTAGTTCTCTTTTCTATAAAACCCGTTCTGTGGGTTGGTGAAATAATTAATGGAGATAAGGCAGAGGGGGTGGAGCGGAAGCCAGCATCTAGTGAATTATCTTTCCTTTCTTGAGCCGGAGAGCCCTGTGCTCAGCAGCGACTGTGAGGGACTCAACATTAGGAGCTGGCTGGCCCCACAGAACTGGTCACTTGCCTCTTGGGCGTTCGTTAGTCCTAGCGAAGTGCCCTTAAGTCAGGAGAAGAGAGGCGTTAGGCAAACGATGTATGTCCTGGAAGGAAGGACAACTGGCAAAGCGTTCTTTCAGGGCTTTTAGTCCAAACTCCTACCAATGGAGAGAGAGCCTGTTGTGGTAGGCAGTGCCTCTGAGGCCTTGGGGTTCCTGGAGCAGATGGGAAGCTGCTTTTTAGAAGCAGATTAAACGACAGCAAACAAGAGCAGAATCAAACCCACCTGGGCACACCAGCTGGTCTAGAGGAGGTTAACAGGCCTGGATTCCCATCACCCCGCTGGCTTGTGCCCAGGGCCCCGTTTGCTTTCTCGGATATCCTGTGGGCGGGGCGGGTGTATCTGTGGGATCTCTGAGTGGCGGTGGAGTACCACCCTTTGAAGGGGAAGCAGGTGCTTCACAGGCCTGGCTGTTGAGCCAGTCAGTAGGTGTGTCTGCAGGTCACTGTGCCAGGCTCTGGCCTGCCGCAGGGATTCAGCAAACATCTTTTCTAAGCGTGAGCTCCAGGGCCCCTTCCGCTCCAGGGTAAAGGCCTTGAAGGGTCTTGCAGAGGTCGAGAGAGCCCTGGGCCAGTCTTGCTTCCTAAGGCTGTTGTGCTAAAAATGAAAGCAGGGATATATCAACTTAATACAATAATGCTTTTCACACACACACATTAAAGCAAAATGTTGAATAATTCTGAATTCACAAGATTACAGACACTCATAGGGCTTTATAGTCTGGGAGGTCTGGTGTTGGGATGTCAGTTATGAAGTTGTGTGATGATATATGGATATAGAGGTAATATATGTATATAGAGGTATAACCTCACCTGAAGGCCACTTGATAAAGTGACCCGTGGGCCAAATGGTCTTTGAGGCTGCCCCTGTGGTAAGTCCTGCATCTGGTGTCCCCTTGATGCGGGACCCAGCGTTAGCCCTATGACATGTGACTGTGCATCCCTGGGTCTGGGGCTAGATAACAGAGGAAAGTGGGGGCTACAGGAAAGATAGGAGGCAGCCTTCTGAAGCCTGGAGTCATGGCAGAGGCTGAGTCTGTTTGGCACATAGTAGGCCCTCAATAATTTCTGTTGCATGAATGCATGGACTGAAGAAAGGACTATTCATGGGTAAATTAAACAATTAATACGAATAAAATGAAGGGGGTGGGAGTGGCAAGGAAGAGGTCAATGGGGGGAAATGGAGACCTATGTAATGCTTCAAACAATAAAGAATTTCAATTAAAAAATGTATGTAACATAATTTAATCATTTCCATTAAAGATTTTTCATACCAATCCTGTTGCCCCCCCCCAAAAAAAGTCACTATTTTGTTTTCTGACTAACGTATACTTTGAAATAATTAAAAGAAAATTTTAAAGTTAAAACAAAAAAAGAATAGAATGAATACTAATAACTGCTGACATTCATTGACCATTCACTCTGCATCCATATTACATGCATGATTTCAGCAAATTCTAACCACAGCCCTGTGGTAGGGATGTTATTATCCGTATTTTACAGCAGAGGAAACTGGCTGAAAAGTTAAACTACTTGCCCAAGTAGCACATGGCAGATCAAAAGCGATTTAAAAATATTTTTATTTTAAAATAAACATAGACTTTACAGTAGAATCCAAATCTGTATTATTTTTTTAAATATAAGAGAATCTCAAAGAACCCCTTAACTTTGGGGGGTGAGGAGGGTGTCAGGCCATGACTCCCTGAGGGCAAACACGAGGGCATACTTCTCCATTTGGTAGAAAAGTTCAAGACTCACTGGAAATTGCCGAGACAGGTTTGGCTCAATGGATAGAGCGTCGGCTTGGGGACTGCAGGGACCCGGGTTCGATTCCGATCAAGGGCATGTACCTTGGTTGCGGGCATATCCCTAGTAGGGGGTGTGCAAGAGGCAACTGATCGATGACTCTCTCTCATCGATGTTTCTAGCTCTCTATCTCTCTCCCTTCCTCTCTGTATAAAATCAATAAAATATATATATATTTTTTAAAAAGACTCACTGGAAATATCAGTCCAGTGATGTTAACAGGAATTACCATCATTGGTGGTTTTACTTGAAGTCACATCATTACCCCCATTTTACAGATGAGACAACTGAGTCTCCCAGAGGTAAAGTGATCTGGCTGCACAGATCTTCCACCTCCAGTCCTGTGTTACCTCTCTGACCCTAGGTAGCAGCCCAGTTCTTCCCTTTTCCATGGAGATAACTTTTCTCATTCTTTCTCTCCTAAGTCAGAACCCTGATGGTTCCTTTTGTGACAGTGGGATATTTTATTTTATTTTATTATTTTTTTAGGTCTGGAGAAGTAGACGCAGGCAGTATTCTAGGATTCTATACAGAAAGTAGGACTTAATTAGGATGGGAGGAAGGAAGCAGAGGGGGAGAGGAAAGGGGAGTGCTATGGGCCAAGGAAAATGATTTTGAGATTGATGAGCCTTATCTTTATTAAGGGGACCAAAGGCATGATATAGTTTTTAATGACCTCACTTCTCATGGCAGGTTGTTCTTTATCCTAGTGGCATGCTCAGGTAACAGAGCTGGGCTCAGGGTTTCATTGTACATGCATTTTTAACGTTCCTCCCCCCACACCCTCATTCCCAGCCCCCAGAGCTCTGCAGGACTCAGGAAACACATCCCTGGCTGTCCGCTGGCAGGAATTGGCACTTCTCCGAGTAAAAATGAGGAAAAGGCTATAGATCAGCCAAAAGGGCCTCGGAGTGCGGCTTCGGTGTGAGACAGAGATGGCTGGTGGAAGGGGGTGAACACCACCAGGGAGGATGGCTCACCGCTTCGGTGCCACCTAGTGCCACCCCAGCTCCTGAGCCGGCCCGCGGGATGTGCGCCTAGACACCATGGACCAAGCCCACAGCGCCGCCCTGCAGCTGCGGCAGCTCCCGCCCACCAGCAGCGCCGACCCCAGGAGCCAGGCCTCCTTCTCCTACAAGGCAAGAGCTTTCATTTTTTGTTTTTTGTTTTGGAATTGTGTATTTCTCTAACAAAGTAACACAGCTAACGGAGATGTATGTCTAGCGTCTGCATGCCTATGGCTGGCAGATACAGGCAGGCCCTCCACACACGTGGAAGAATGTACAATCAACAGAAAAGAAATGCTCATTCAAATAAAAACAGTACGGAGGTAAAGGAATATTGTTAAAGGAATGCAGTCACGCTTAGAAGATTTACTTCTTTAAAAAATCACCTATCCCACTACTCATAGGCAACCTTGGTTCATATGTCATCAGCATTACTTGCTTCCTTTCTTTTTCCCGAATTACAAATCTGGGATCCGATTGTGCAGGAAGTTGTGTATCTTGGTTGTTTCAGTTAACCTTGTTTGTGGAATGTTTCCCCATGCCACGGATTGGCGATGGAAAGCATGCTGTGGGAATGATTGCCCCATAATCTGATGAGCTTCTATATCAAAACTCGCTCGACAGCCCAGCTAGCGTGGTTCAGTGGTTGAGCATCGACCTATAAACCAGGAGGTCACCATTCGATTTCCTGGTCAGGGCACACGCCTGGGTTGTGGGCCCGATCCCCCAGTATGGGGTGTGCAGGAGGCAGCTGATCAATGATTCTCTCTTATTAATGTTTCTTTTTTTATAGTTATTGATTGATTTCAGAGAGGAAGGGAGAGGGAGAGATAGAAACATCAATGATGAGAGAGAATCATTGACTGGCTGCCTCCTGCACGTCCCCTCCTCCCCCCGCCCCCACCACTGTGCGTCAAACCCGCAACCCTGGCATATGCCCTTGGTTGGTATTGAACTTGGGACCCTTCAGTCCACAGGCCAACGCTCTATCCACTAAGCCAAACCGGTTAGGGCTCTCTTATCTCTCTCTCTCTCTCTCTCTCCCTTTCTCTCTGAAATCAAGTTAAGAACAAGCAGTTTGCCTTGAATTGCAGCCCTGCCCTCTGCCCTGCCCAACAGAGAAAGGCTTCTGGTTGTTGGTGGACCAACAGGCTGAGCTACCCAGGAGGCAGCATGGCAGCCAGTCCTCAACACTGGAGGCTGTGCCTCAGCTCAGAGGAGCTGGGCCTCAGTTTCTTCCATTTAGCAAATAGGGGTTTCACCTGAGCTTATATAGGGCGTCCCAAAGAAATGTATGCACACTTTGTCTGTAGAGTCTATTACATTTTGAGAATAAAATGTGTTTTAATAAACACTGCCTTTGTAATTAATTATTCAAAGTGTGTGTACGTTACGGGACAGCCTGTATATCCAGGGCTGCACTGGGCGGGGTGGGAGCTATTCGTTTCTGAGCTATCGCTTCCCTGAAGGTAGAGGAAGCTGTTTCCATGGGTACCTACCCTCCAGGACAGAATTCTGTGCAAAATTAGAGCTATAACAGGGTGTTTGGAGCATGGTCTTTTGAACCAGAGATACTAGGCTTCGAATCTCAGCTCTGTCACTCTCTAGCATTGTAACTCGGGGAAAGCCGTGTAACTCCGCTGCAGGTGAGTTTTAGGTCCGTCCTATAGGGTGAGTGTGAGGATGACCTGACCTTGCAGAGGAAACGGAATCTACCCGCAGCATCCCATTTCTGATTTTGGAAATCCTGCCCATGCTCCCAGCTCCAGCTCGGGTATCACCGTTTCCATGAAGCCTTTGTCAGTCCTCCTTTATCCACACTCCCATGGCCAATTCACTGTCACTGTAGTCGTCGTCGTCATCATCATCATTATCATCATCATCATCATCACAGCAGCTAGCATCTGTTGAGTGTTTACTATATGACAGGGACTGTGCAAATCTTCACAAAATCCCCATCAGGAAAAAAGGGGACATGTAATACTTTCAACAATAAAGAATTCTTTAAAAAAGAAAGAAAGAAAGAAAGAAAGAAAGAAAGAAAGAAAGAAAGAAAGAAAGAAAGAAAGAAAGAAAGAGAAAGAAAGAGAGAGAGAGAGAGAGAGAGAGAGAGAGAGAGAGAGAGAGAGAGAAAGAAAGAAAGAAAGAAAGAAAGAAAGAAAGAAAGAAAGAAAGAGAAAGGAAGGAAGGAAGGAAGGAAGGAAGGAAGGAAGGAAGGAAGGAAGGAAAGAAAGAAAGAAAGAAAGAAAGAAAGAAAGAAAGAAAGAAAGAAAGAAAGAAAGAAAGAAAGAAAGAAAAAAGAAAGAAAGAAAGAAAGAAAGAAAGAAAGAAAGAAAGAGAAAGAGAGAGAGAGAGAGAGAGAGAGAGAGAGAGAGAGAGAGAGAAGAAAGAAAGAAAGAAAGAAAGAAAGAAAGAAAGAAAGAAAGAAAGAAAGAAAGAAAGAGAGTGAGAGAGAAATATCCTTGGGTGAGGGTTTAAAAAACAAACAAACTGCTTGTTCTTAAATCTCACCCAAGGATAGTGGCTACTACTATAATCCCATTTTACATTTGAGGAAACTGGCCCAGAGAGGTTCATTAACTTGCCCAAGGCCACACAGTCAGTAGGTATAGTAAAGCTGGGATTCGGACGGAGTCTGCACACTGCCAAGGCCCTTGGTTCTATGTACCACTCCCTGCTGCCTGCAGCACACCAGCACTCCGGGAAGCGCCTTCTGTCCCTGGTTATTGTCACAATGGCAATGCCTCGCCTGCTGGAGGTGAGCGACAGGAGCCGGCCGGAAACCAGGTTGCACATGTAGCAGAGCCTGGTTAGCCGGGCTGCTACCGTAGCTCTTGTGTTTGACTGTGAGTGACCCACAGAGCAAGCCAGAATGCTCCTACTTAACTGTTAGCAGTGTAAGCCCAAGGGGTTTGGGAATTCAGGCTAAACAAGTGGTGAGTGGCCTTGTCCCTGCGGGATCTATGTAAAGGCTGTTGTCGGCAGATGGAAAGCAGTCCCTGGAGCAGGAGATGGGAGCTGAGGTTTCACCTGGATACTAAAAGCCAAGCCGTCTCCTGCCTCGGTGACCTCTGGCTGCTTTTCCGGAACAGTTTGTTTCCTTCCAGAGTTGTAGCTGGAAAAGGTCAATTCTTGGATCATCGAATATCAGAGCCAGAAGGATCCTTACTTTTGCTAATAGGAATGATAATAATGAAAATGAAAATTGTCAAATTAATGCCGTAGTAACACCTAGAATTGGTTTTGTATTTATTATGTGTTATGTAACATTTCAGCATGTGCCTTATCCTATATAATAAAGGGCTAATATGCAAATCAACTGAATGCAGTGCGGTATGGCACGCACTGACCACCAGGGTGCAGGCGCTCAACTCAGGATCTGCCCCCTAAAGGTCAGTGCGCTCCACAGAGGGAGTGACGCTCGGCCACAAGCCTGGCTGACAGCTGGCCAGCACAGTGGCAGCAGGAGCCTCTCCTGCCTCCTTGACAGCCCTAAGGATGTCCAACTGCAACTTAGGCCTAAGCCATCACTCGGACATCCCCCAAAGGGCTCCCAGACTGCTAAAGGGCGCAGGCCAGGTTGAGGGGGACCCCCCCACCTCCGCCCAGTGCACAAATGTTGTGCACCGGGCCTCTAGTATCATACAACATGACAACCCTATGGCGCGCTATGCTCAGCTCCCTTTTTCAGAGGGGAAGCCGAGGCTCCGAGAGTCCAGGTTACCCCCCTGAAGACACACAGCGTCAGTGGCAGAGGCAGGACCCAGCCCAGGCGGGTAGTATTCAAAGTTCAAAGTCCACACCAGGAAGCGGAAGCAAAGGGAGAAGTGGCTTTGGTTTGCTGCCTCCCCACCCCCTTGGTACCTGGGTCTGTTGAAGCCATGGCTCGAAGCAGCCGTGGCTGAAACCCAGCTGCCTGCCCATCGTTTTGCCCGCAGCCCACTTCTCCTCTCTCGCCAATAACACACCGATTTCAGAGGCCGCTCTAGGAATGCCGTGACCAAAAAGTCTTGGTTTGTGCCTCATGTCCACGTGGATTCATACAGCCCCTGTCATTCTCAAAATATCCCGCTTGGACAAATATGTCCTAATAGCAGGTTCCTGATAGCTGGGAGGCCTCCCTACTACCTCCCCTGTAACCTATTGGGGACCAAAGTGTTAGGAGACCCGAGTTCAGGCTGGTCCTGCCACGTGCTCTCTCTGTGACTCTGGCTGAGTCCTTCTTAGGTAACTGAGATCTCCCCCCACCCGCCCAGGTATTTGCCTTTAAAATGAGGGCGCCCCTCCCCTCCACGCCTCCCTTCCACTTCAGAGGAAACCCAGCCAGGCGTAGCCTCAGAGGAATCCGCTCCATCAGGTATTGTGGCTGAAGGACTCCGGTGTCCCAGGTGAAGGCGGTGACCTGAGGCCGCCACCAGGCCTGCCCGGCAGTGGGAGGGCCACTGTTTCGGCCACATCTTTTCTTAAGGGGCAGAGCCCCTGACTCCAGGGTCAGACCCCTGTGTCTCCCTATGAGCACGGTTTTGTCGTTGTGAATCCTCCCCCGGGGACATTTTCCCCTCGATTTTTAGAGAGAGCGCAGGAGAAACACATCAATTTGTCGCCTCCTGCACACACCCCGACCAGAGCCAGGGATCGAGCCTGCAACCTAGGTACCTGCCTTTGACCAGAATCGAACCCAGGACCGCTCTATCCACTGAGGCAAACCAGGGAGGGCTGCTTTTGAACACTTTAAAGGACTTCCATAGCCGAAACCGGTTTGGCTCAGTGGATAGAGCGTCGGCCTGCGGACTCAAGGGTCCCAGGTTCAATTCCGGTCCTTGGTTGTGGGCACATCCCCAGTAGGGGGTGTGCAAGAGGCAGCTGATCAATGATTCTCCTCTCATCGATGTTTCTAACTCTCTCTTCCTCTCTGTAAAAAGTCAATAAGATATAGTTTAATAAAATAAATAAATAAATAAGTAAGTAAATAAATAAATAAGGACTTTCATAGAAACACACCTGGAGTGTCCCTCAGCAAAGAGAGGAGCCGTGTACACTGGGAACATTCCCATGGTGCCCCGCCAGCAGACCTGGGCGCCCCCACGTCCCCGTGTTCAAGCTCTGAGACTTGTGGGGGAGGAGCTTCATGTCCAGAGTCCTGCTGGCTGTTGCCTCCACTCTGAATTGCCCTTGGCCAGACCCTGGAGGGCGGCCAATCCGGTGTGTGTTCAACCTGTTCACCCCTGGGCCCCAGGCCACTTCTTTGCTTGACTTTGCATTCTCATAAAGTGGCACCAGTCACCACTTCACAAAGGTTTGGGGCATAATTAGTGTGGATGGAGTCCTTTGAACCGCTTGGATGACAGGGCATTGGGTACGTTGAGCTGTTACTAACATGCCTGTAACCAGTTATTATTTGTGGAGATTAATATGCTCACAGACATGGCTTTTTAAGGAAACCTCAGCGGCCGTGTCATTAGCGGGAAGGTAGCACTTAGAAGGCGGGGTTATTTTTTTTTCCTAATTTAGGCTGAAGCCTCGGTCTGGAGGGGTCATTGTCCCCAGGAAACGGAAGGTCAGATCTTCAGCCTCAAACCCTTTGTCCTCACCTGGAGCACATTAGCGTATGTCTCTGAGCCTTACTGGGCTCTTCGGTAACCTCCTTTCAACTTGCTGTGCTAAACACAGGACTCGTGTAGAATATGGTGACTAGACATCCCGATTTTTAAAAATATATATATATATTTTATTGATTTTTTTTACAGAGAGGAAGAGAGAGGGATAGAGAGTTAGAAACACTGATAAGAGAGAATGATCAATCAGCTGCCACAACCAAGGTACATACCCTTGACCAGAATCGAACCCGAGACCCTTTAGTCCACAGACCAATGCTCTATCCACTGAGCCAAACTGGTCTCGGAAGAGGTCCCAATTTTTAACAATTTGTCCCGCGTCCCGAGACAAATTGTTGAAAATCGGGACGTCTGGTCACCTTAGCGTAGAACCCACTACAGAGGGCTGTTTGTGGCCCAGAGGAGGGGATGCCTGGAAAGGCCTGGCGCCGTGCCCAGATGTGGAAATGCTCCATAGACCTCCACCTTGATTATCACGGGCCCCCTTTAGCCGTGTTTTTGCTGCTTAGATTGGTTTACCCTTAGGAGGTTTACAGCTCGCATTTCCAGGTTTCACCCCCTCCCGCCTCCCTGCCATGGCTTTGGCTTGTCCGTGTGGCCACGCAGCAGCCTCCCTTCATCTCTTCCCTTCCACTCGGCCAGTTGTCAGCACCGCATGCTCAGGCAGCCCGGCGCTCCGAGGCATCAGCGGGACAGTGTGGTCTCTCCTGGTGGTCATAGAGCAGCTATCGTTGAATGAACCCTATGGAACTGCCGCTTTGGCAGGTCAAGAGCAGTTGAATATTGGCAGTTTCATATGGTTCACCCTAAGGCTAAGTGCTTTCTTCAGTTTATCTGAGAAACTTTATGCACCAACCCCGAGGGGCACCGTTATTCTCCAGGGAGAAAGGCACCCGGGCTGAAGGAAGCAAGCCAGTCTCACCTGGCCACCCGACCTCAGCGGCGTCCTCCGAACAGCCCTCGCTCGGGTCTCTGGTGTTTGCACAAGTCGAGGAGGCTGTGTCCAGCTCGACTTCGTCCCCCATAAAGGTGGTCAGGCAGCTTGGAGGTGCTGGAGCTGGAACCAGAGTCCTTTTGTCTCCTATCTGATGACCCAGGCAGTTCCTGTAGAATCTGCTGGTTAGCGCTTTCTAACAGTTCCTCCTCCTCGTTAGCACAGGCAAACCAAATTACTGGGCGGAGCACACGCTTGGCCACCAGGTGTTTATTTGACTCCAAGAGGTTGAGGTCTTTGCTTTGTATCTTTAAGAGTCACACTTGCCGAAACCGGTTTGGCTCAGTGGATAGAGCATCGGCTTGCGGACTGAAAGGTCCCAGGTTCGATTCCGGTCAAAGGCATGTACCGTGGTTGCGGGCACATCCCCAGTAGGAGGTGTGCAGCAGGCAGCTGATTGATGATTCTCTCTCATCGATGTTTCTGACTTTCTATCTCTCTCCCTTCCTCTCTGTAAAAAAATCAATTATATATATATATATATATATATATATATATATATATATATATATATATATATTTTTTTTTTTTTTTTTTTTTTTTTTTTTTTTTTTAAAGAGCCACACTTTAATAAAGGGCTTTCTTTGAGGTCCTCAAACTGGATCTTCCAAAGAAGCACTGTGTATTTCCTCAGAGAGGAAAAGAGAGAGAAACATCAATGATGAGAGGATCATTAATTGGCTGCCTCCTGCACGTCCCGCACTGGGGATGGAGCCCACAACCCAGGCATATGCACTTGGCCAGCATCGAACCCGGGATCCTTTGGTCCACAAGCCGATGCTCTACCCACTGAGCCAAACTGGCTAGGGCTCCTCACACATTCTTTTAGTTGGTTACTGGCATCAGGGTTCTTGGGTTCCCCAAGATAGAAATCCAGAGGACACCCCAGAGAAATTTCCAGACAGATTTTATTAAGCATCTTCCTGAGCACAAGGCAGGCAGCACAGAGGGAAGGCAGACCATCTGAGCTGGCTGGGGCTGGCTCTGCTTGGCTCTGCTTGGCTTTTTATAAGCTGGGGACCAGGCAGGCTTGCATGAAGATGGGCTTTTAGAAAAAAGGGGGCTTGTGGGATATTCCACGACAGGATAGGAGAAGCAAGCAGTTAGAAGGGAGATAAAATTTTGCATGTTTTAAAAGCAGGGAGTAGAAGTGGTGACATTCTTGTGACCATCATACCCGATGTTCCTTCTGGCCTCCTGGCCTTAACTTGGCTTTCTGGCCACCGGGTATATTTTTAACTCCTGAGCGCAAGTCCCTATACTGTCTCAAGTTGACATCTAAAACTTAAAACCTTCACCCTGGCTGGCTTGGCTCAGTGAATAGAGCGTCAGCCTATAGACTGCAGGGTCCCAGGTTCAATTCTGGTCAAGGGCTCAATCCCCAGTAGGGGGCATGCAGGAGGCAATTGATCAATGATTCTCTCTCATCACTGATACCTCTCTCTCTCTCTCTCTCTCTCTCTCTCTCTCTCTCTCCTTTCCTCTCTGAAATCAATAAAAATATATATTTAAAATAAAAATAAAAACAAACTTGGCTGGTGTGGCTCAGTGGTTGAGCATCAACCCATGCATAAACTGGGAATTCAGAGTTCACTTCCTGGTCAGGGCACTTGCCTGGGTTGCAGGCTCGACCCCCAGAATGCGGGGTGCAGGAGGTGGCCAATGGATGATTCTCATGTTTATATCTCTCTCTCCTTCCCCCTTCCTCTCTCTGAAATCAATAAAGACATACTTTAAAAAAAAAAAAACACCTCTTGTGCACTTAACTGAAGCCTAGGGAGTATTAAGACCACTTCACACTGACCAACAGCCTTCTGAAGGCTCTTCTTTAAGTGCTGGAAATTTTATAACATTCCTTTTTCTCCTTGAGCGTGTATTTTTCTTCCGTTTTCCCCACAGAATTTTGTCACAAATTTGTGTCTATCTTTTAACACTTAAAGGTTTTATGAACACCTATCATACTTCTATACAAGAAAGAATGTAAAGGGTGTAATCAAATTTCATTTTTAAAAAGTCCCTTTGGTATAAAGTACTTTGGTATAAAAATCTGGAAGTGTGTTGTTTTTTTAATTGATACAATTGATTAATGCAACATAATGTTTTATAGCAACTATTAAGTAAAAAATAACATTGCTCTAGGGATGAATATCTGAGTGAGAAGAATGGGACTGTTCTTTTAATATCAAGACAAATATTACTGATTGCTAGAGTGGGAATACACTATCAGTTCTGCTCTAACTTTTGGCTTTTATACAAAAGTGTAGAGAACCTGTTCAAACCGCTGGGAAATGGGGCCTGAGGGCCCTTAGGTTCGCCCCAACTTATACCTGTATCTGTGAACTTCCCTTACAGGAAAACTTGATCGGCGCCCTTTTGGCAATTTTCGGGCACCTAGTGGTCAGCATTGCACTTAACCTCCAGGTAAGTTTTAGTCACCAGCACCGCCTGGGGCAGAGATACAGCCGATAAGCCAGGGTGTTCCCACTCCGTCCGTGGGATGGGCCTGGGACGATACCCTGTGGGTCTTTCCAGAATCTCTTGCCCGAGTTCCTGCCTCAGTTTCTGTGCCCCAAGTTCACATTTCCAGAACAAAGGATACTGGCCTTCCTTGGCCCAAGTACCCGCCCGAGGGAAGGCAGGGTCCGCTGGTACCCACAGGGCTGCCCAGCAGAACTGCCCACCCTCCTAGGAGAGAGTGCAGCTGAGCAGGCGCCCAGACATGGGGACCCTCGGGCACCAGAGGGAAAAGGTCAGCCTGAGGCCAGGCTAATGTGGGGTGCCTACACCTCGGCTCCCGCCCCAGACTGGACACGCTGTGATGTGTTAGAAACACACATTCCCAGGCTTCACCCACACTTCCTCTGAGGATGAGGCTCATGCATTGAATTGTTCAGGCTCCCCAGGCAGTTTGGAAGCTACTGCCTTTGAATAACAGTTTGGCCCTTGGATCACTACCCGCTATGCTTACTGTTCCAGAAGTACTGCCACATCCGGCTGGCAGGCACCAAGGACCCCCGGGCCTATTTCAAGACCAAGACATGGTGGCTGGGCCTGTTCCTGATGCTGCTGGGCGAACTGGGCGTGTTCGCCTCCTATGCCTTCGCTCCTCTGTCCCTGATTGTGCCCCTCAGCGCCGTCTCCGTGATAGGTAAGAGCAGCCTCCCCCATCCCTCCCTGGGACCAATTGCTTGAGGGACCATCAGGATCAATGATACCCGTTAAGTGTACCAGCTTTTGCTCGGGTAATAACAGCCAGCACTTACAAAGGGCTCGGTACACACCTGGCCCTGCCCTCCTGTGTGGATATTAATTCTTCTAACCCTCTTGGCAGCCTTTGGAGGGAGATGCTGTTATTATCCCCATTTTACAGATGAGGAAACCGAGGCACAGAATGCTGAGGTTACTTCCCCCAAAATCATACAGCTAGCGAGGAACAGGGCTGGTCTATGTACTAGACTGTCTGGCTCCAGAATCTGTTAAGATTTAGTGCCGGGGTTCTTGTCACAGCATTAACGAGGGGGGTTGCAATCTGGAGAAAGGAGCTGATGCGTAGATTCAATAAGGAGTCCAAGGATGAAAGATAATTTTGAAAGGCATGGGAGGGGTCAGAGGAGCTTCAGCTAAAGGAGCTAAAAAAAAAAAACTACCCCTGGACTCAGGATCCAGTGCTATTTATTAACACAATTTGTTCTAAGGCAAGGTGGAGATAATACACTTCAAAGGGTAGGGTTTACAGAAGCATTGTCAGTTTTGGGAATAGCCTACAGCTGTTCAGGTGTTTGGCCAACAGGAGGCAATACTATGCAGATTTAAGATGCCCTGAGCTGTCTGGCAGCGAAAAATAACCCTATTCAGGTTTGGGGGAGATGCTTTTTAGCTATCCCAGATGATTCAGCCCTGCTGACATGCTGGAATTGGCTTCTGATAATTTATAAAGTTTATCAGAATTTCTTTTTTTTTTTTAAGTTGTTGACAGTATTATAGGTGCCCCCCTTAGAACTGCTTTTTATTTCCATTACAGAAGGCAGATACACGTTAAGCTATTCATCCTAACACCGCCCTTATAGGGTACAGACATCATGCACCAGTCATGGCATTCCTTCCTGGTGAGCCTCGAGGGGCCCTCGGAATTCTCAGATTCAGGCAGCCACTGCTAATTAGCAGGAGCTGGCAAAGGAGTAGAAACCTGTTTGCTTTCGCTGATCCACTGATAAGACCTTTGTTTCCTTGAACAGGGTTGGTACACTGGCCACCCACAAGATGCATGAGGTCCTCAAAGGTCCACACAGTATCTTTAAAAAATAGAGTTTGAATGCCTTTATTTGAGACAGGTCGTGGGCCATAGTCCAAACCTTTTCCTATTGTCTTACGGCTGACTCACTTCCTATATCTGTGTGGCTGCCCAGCCCTTGCCGTTATTTAGATTTGTCCTCTGCCCATAGCTGATCTTGCCAAAGGACTTTCAGAATATCATTCACGGTGAGGAGTGTATGGCTGAGGGATCAGATCCATTAAATATTAGTCTTTGAATTTTAATAAAGATGAAATAATCAAATTCTTCAGAACAAGGGGCTGAATTATAATGATGGGCCTTCAGGTATCAGCCACTGGAAACAAAGAGGTTCTTACAGCTTCTCAAGTCACCCAGTGAGAAATGATTTTAAAAATAACAAAAACCACCATTTACAGATACTCAGTACTTATGAGTCACTGTCCCAAGTACTTTAATGATAATTATAGTCCAGTTTTTGAGCACTTACTGTGTGACAGATGATTTACACATATTACCTCATTGATTTGCCCCCATTACTGGGAGCAGGGGGTATTTCAGTGGTGTGCTGATACACCAGCTGAGAGGGAGAGTGAACGAAGAGGAGGAAGAGGTAGAAGGAGGGAGGGAAGAATGGAAGGAAGAAATCAGTGGGAGGGAGCAAAGGAAGATCTGAATCGTAGTGTTCTTGATGTATATGGTGTAAGCATGCCCACTGCGGCTGTTTCCAAGCTACCCGTGGTTTCCTGAACATTTAGCAACCACAGCAGGTACAAACCGGATCCAGCACCCTCTTTCCTTCCCTGCGTCCTAAGACAGTGGGAAATAAACACGGAAGTCATGCAGATCAGAAGTTATGCTTTATTACAAATAAAAGCTCAATTAGAGCATGCAGCTTAGGTGTGCGGCCAAATGAACTTCTCATCTCCCAACTAGACCTTGGGCCAGTCTCCCAGGAGATGTTTGGGTTTACAGAACAGAGCACCTCCCCAGGGTTACAGCCTCACATCGTCTGGAGCAGGAAAAGACAAAGCCTCAGCATGTAAATTCTTTTGATCGATTGGCTCCACTCAGTTGAAAATGCAGACAGTGGGGCAAGAGACAGAAGGGCCTGTCCATGGGAGGTTCCCCCCACCCCCACCCCGACGTGGAAAAACGTCATAGACTAGGGACCTGGGACCCACCCTTTAGGGCAGTCACAGAAGTTGGGGTGCATCTGCAGTGCGGCAGGTCAGGGAGAAACAAGATCCAGGTAGAAACATCAGGAGTAGACATTGCAGTGAGGAGCTGGAGCCCTGGCCTCCTGAGGTCCTGGGTTCCAGGCCAGCCTGCGCCTACCAGCTGCGTGATCTTGAATGGGTCGTCACCTCTCTTAGCCTCAGTGTCCTCGATCTTCAAATGGGAATAACAGCAGCACCCACCTCAAAGGGTGGACATACCAGAAATAACTTTAGTCCATTGCCTGTCACCCAGCAAGTATTCAGCCCACAGTGCTCCTGGGCGTGTAGGAAATCCTCAGGAAGGCCCAAGAGGAGCCTCCCTTCCCCAGGGGGGATAACGGGGAAACCAGAGGGGCTGAGCTCTTGGGAGCATGAGTGGGAGGACAGGAAGTGCCGGGTTCCAACGCGGATGAGCCAACCCCAGGGGCATGGGTGAAGGGACTCCCTGTGATTGACTGTGGCACCTCAATTCTCTTTTCCCTGTGTTTTCTCTGTGTGTGTTTGTCCTAGCGAGTGCCATCATAGGAATCATATTCATCAAAGAAAAGTGGAAACCTAAAGACTTCCTGAGTAAGTGCTCTGAGCTCCTGTTCTTCATTTTGTGCTTGTGCTTTTCCTCGTGGTAAAGCCAGATCTCGGTTTTATTGGCTGTGTTCCCTGCTCCCCGGTGTGGGTCTCTATTCTATTCTCCAGTGGAGGTCTCCCTAAGCTGTGGTCGCCTAAGATACCTACTAAGTGCCACACTCTGTTGCAGGGGCCAGGGATACAGCAGTAGGACAGACAGGGTTCCTGTGGTAATGGAGATTACAGCCGTGTGTGTGTGTGTGTGTGTGTGTGTGTGTGTGTGTGTTGGTGAGGAGGGCATACAATAAACAAGTGAACAATTAAATAAAATAATCCCAAATCTCAGTGAGTGCTTCAGAGAAAATAGAATGTTTCTCGGTAGGCATGGGAACACGGGAATACGTTACCAAGGCTGGTCAGGGTTAGATGCTCTGAAGAGGAGAATTTTCACCCCAAACCTAAGTGACAGTAAGAAGACTACTAGGCCAAGTTTGTGAGCAGAGTGTTCCGTGTAGAGGGAACAGCAGGTGCAAAGGCCTGAAGTAGAAGAAAGCTTGGAGTGTCCAGTATCGCTGAGGCCAATGATGGAGAGTGACGAGTAAGTGGGAAGGAGGACAGGAGAGCTAGGGGGCATGGAGGACTGGATGGTGTCCGGCCTGAGAAGCTGTGCTTAGGGTTTCAGGAGTGACATGATGGTGGCACCTTAAATGCCCATCATCCACAGTAGAATGGATACACTGGGTCCTGTTCACACAGGGGGCCGGAGATAGAAGGAAGTGCCGCTACACATACAGCACAGATGAAACACACATCTTGTGCGAGCACAGACACAAGAGAATATGCCGTGTGAGCCATTCATGTAGAGAACAAACCAGATACTCTCTGTGCTGGTAGAAGTCAAAGTGTTACCCTGGGGGTGAGGGCCAGGTGAAGATTTGTTGGTCCTGGGAATGCTCCCTTTTGGGTCTGGATGCTGGTTATATGGGTGTGTTCACGTTGTAAGAATTCATTGAGCATTTGGGGGGGGGGGGGTTCATCCTCACAGAGGATATTTTTTCCATTGATATTGAGAGTAGGGGGAAGTGAGGGGTGAGGGGGAGAGAGAGAGAGAGAGAAACATCAATGTGAGAGAGATACATTAATCGGTTGTCTCCCGCACAAGCCCTGACCTGGGGTCAGAGATCAAACCTACGACCCTTCGGTACACAGGCTGATGCTCTATCCCACAGAGCCACAGCAACCAGCCCCATCAGTCACTTTTTTTGTATGCATGTTATACCTCATTAAAAAAAAACAAAAAACCTAAGATCATCTATTTTTTAAATGAAGAAAACCCAACTCTATGAACTATACCAGGTCAGCAGAGCTGCCCAGAGGCACACCCGGGCCGGGGCCTGTGCCTGCTGTGAGCCCCTGACAGCCTCCCCTTCCCCGCAGGGCGCTACGTCTTGTCCTTTATCGGCTGCGGTTTGGCCATTGTGGGCACCTACTTGCTGGTGACATTCGCACCCAACAGCCACGAGAAGATGACGGGCGAGAACATCACCAGGCACCTCGTGAGCTGGCCTTTTCTCCTGTACATGGTAAGGGAAGCCTGGTCCTTCCACCTGAGGCACTGGGATGGGGGATCGCACCTTAGAAACCAGAAGCCCGGGTACCCAGCCATAGGGTATCCGTGTGAATCGTGACATATTTCACAGCACTAAAGAGGGAACACGGTTCACGGGGAGATGCTCTCTTCGCTGAGGTCCTGGGGAATGTCTAAAACTGTGTATAGCGTGTGGTTAACTTTCTTTTTCAGAGGCATTTGTGGGTATGCACACACCTAATCTATGTATATAAAAGCCTCAGTGACTGACCTATCGTTCAACCGTCCGGCCAGTAGCTATGACATGCACTCACCACCAGGGGGCAGACACTCAACGCAGGTGCTGCCAAGCTATGGTGACTTGACAGCTGTGGTTCTTGGGGGACACACCCAGAACCAGAGAGGAAGGAGCCCGATTCTGGGGTACATCACCCGAGAACCACACTCTCTTACAATCTGGGACCCCTCAGGGGGTGCTGGAAAGCTAGTTTCAGCCCGATCCCCTGCAGGCCAGGCCTGGGGACCCTACTGGTGCACCAGTCCGTGCCCTGGGCCTGTAGTTTATCTATAAAAGACTAGATGCAAAAACAAGTTCCATCAGTAGTTGTCTGAAGGAGATAGAATTATGACCGAGTTTCATTTTGTCTTCATCTTTATGTTTCACCCGAAATTTCTACTGGGAGCACTTCACACTTTTATGGTAAGAAGAAAAGTTAAAATTTTAACAATTACAACGTGTTATATACTTACTTTTGCCCAGTATCACGCAGCTGTAGAAGCTGATAGAAACACGTAGACACTGAAAACTTTGTAAACACAGTATACACTGAAAACTTTGTCCCCTGAACACCCAGCCAGAGCTCAGTCCTCTCTCGGCCCAGTTACATCCCAAATAAACTAATCAAGGAAAGCATTCAAGGTGTTTGCCAAAGCTGCTGGTGTGTCCCTGCCCGAGGCCTGGCACTGTGTATCACCTCAGGTTCTCTCCACAGCCCTGTAAAGTACGCGTTTTTCTCTCCATTTTCTGGGTGAGAAAACCGGAGCTCAGGGAGGGTACCCGACTTGCCCTGAGTCCCGTGAGAGTGGAGCTGGACTCAAAGCCAGGCCTGCCTGGTCCTCAGGTGCCACCGTCCTTCACCATGGCTGCCAACACCAGTGTTGACTGTGTCTCCCTGACGTGGACAGCCTGGGACCACTCCAGAGGCCTCAGAGCATCCCTTTTCCTCAGCTTTCCCACAGGACAGGAGAAAGGTTTCCCCAAGATGGGGGCTGTGTCCTCTTTCCTGCAGGACAGAGCCAAAGACCCACCTGTTTAGGAAAAGGTTTATTACCCTCAACACAGGCTCCAATCCATTGTGCGCTGTGTGACCTTGGCCGAGTCCCTTAACCGGAATCCCTGTCTCCTTTTCTGAGCTGGCAGAGTCCCTGGCCCTGGGCTGGTTATTGGCCAACACTCAGGGACACTTCAGCTGGCCCTCCTTCATTGTGACTGAGACAGCGCTGCCAGCTAGAGAGACGCGGCCAAATCAAATCAACAAATATTTCTGGGAGTCTGTGAGGTGCCAGACACTGTGCATTAGAAAACAGTAAACGAGACATGCCCACAGAGCTCCTGGTCTGTGCAGAGGCACCCACTCATGCACAGCCATCTCACGAGGGGACGCCACGTGCCGTTCCAGCTCGCCTTTAGGCTTCGGGAAAGAATGGCCGAAAAATTGGCCCCCCTGCGTGCGCACACAATGGCTGGGAATGCTGAATCACTGTCCATCTGCTGGATGGGCCGTTCTGCAGCCATTACAGCTAATTATGACAACTTCATAAAACATGGGAATTGTTGACGGTAACCAAAAGCAGCCCGATACAAAATTGTGCATTGACGATGATGACAAGTAGGTAAAATATGTATTCACTGGGACAAAAACAGGAAGAAACAGGAAAATGAAAACAGCTGTGTTTTGCCATCTCTCATTATGAGGAACTTTCTAAAATTTTCTCTTCAAAATGCCCATTAATGTTTCTGCATCGGTTTTTATAATAAATAAACTCGGAAAGGAGGTTGAGATAGGCAAATGGAGCCCAGCCACTGTCGGATTTTTTCTGCTTTGGTTTTGCTGGGTGCCGGGGCTGGCTTTGCTTCTTGGGGAAGTATTGCCCAATGTCTGAGTCTTTGACGAGGAGAAAGGACGAGTTGTTGACCCAAGATGGGGGACTTGTCAAGCTTTAGATTTGCCTTTGCCTAAGAGTAAGAGTCTACTAAAGGCTAGACATTGTGGCCTCCTGGCCTAAGGCAGTGTAGCCTAGCGGTATATAGCACATGGGCCCTGGAGCCAGACTGTGAGCTAGACTGTCCAGGTTCAAATCCTGGTCCTGCCATTTACAAACTTGGGGTTGGGACCGTACCATAATTCTTTGAATTTAATTACTTGAGTATAAATAAAATGGTTAGCGTGGTATCCGGCTTACTGATGTGTGCATTAAGTGAACCTGTGATAATACCGTGTGAGATAAGAATTAGTATCCCTGTTTCCCCGAGGAGGTAACTGAGGTTTAGAGAAGTTAAGGGACTTGCCCCTAGTTTAGAAGCAGATCCCAGCTTAAACATGGGCATCCCTGACTCGTGTCCTTTCTTTTCTTTTCTTTTAAAATATGTTTTTACTGATTTCAGAGAGGTAGGGAGAGGGAGATAGAAGCATCGATGATGAGAGGGAATCACTGATGGGCTGCCTCCTGCACGCTCCCTACTGGGCAACCTGGGCATGTGCCCTGACCTCCTGGTTCATAGGTCGATGTTCAGGCACTGAGCCACACTGGCTGGGCTAGTGTCCTCTTCTTTCTACTCTGCTGAGCCGCACATTCAAGGCTTGTCCAGGGGGCCAGGGGCGAATATACTTGTCTGCTGCACCCGAGCGCTCTTCTCCGTAAACAAGCATCTCCTTTGACCGACCCCCCAGTTTTAGTGGGGTTACCCATGTAGCAGCAAAGTGAGCAGAGACCACCTCAGCCTAATGCCTCTTGCCCATCCAAGACAGGGAGGCTGTGGGGCCAGCCCCTCCCGCTCCAAGCTCAGCCATGAAGCAAACTCCCCAGTGTTGTCCAGGGATTCGAGAGATCCTCTCAGCGTTCCCGCCTTCCCCACAGGATCCTGTCAGGAGTTCGGGGAATGCTGGGTGTTCCAATGCCCTGTGACTCCTGAAGTCAGCAGCATAACCCCCAGCCCAGCCCCCCAGGGCCTCCTGGCCTTGCCTGTGCCGCGGCCCCCGCTGACCCCCTCTTGCTGCTCTCCGTAGCTGGTGGAGATCATCCTGTTCTGCCTGCTGCTGTACTTCTACAAGGAGAAGAATGTCACCAACATCGTCGTGATTCTCCTCCTGGTGGCGTTGCTCGGTAAGCGGGGGGCCGGGCATCGAGTTTTGCCAGCCCCGAGGAGTACCAGGGGGTCCCTGCTGGCCGGAGGCAGCTCCCGGGTGTGCGTTCCATCACATTGCTGGCTGCGTTCCGCCTTCTTGTTCGGATGCGGGGGCTCCTAAGCACCCGGGATGGTGCTGGACACTGGCTACCGTGCTGCTTAGGACAGACCAGCCCTGGTCCCTCCACCCTGAAGAGGAAATGGCAGTAACAAGGGGACAGATCCTCTGGGGGTGACAACTGCTCGTTGTAGAAGAAATGCGGGGATGGTCTTTCTCCGTTGCCAGTGGGAGCGGGGTTCTTGGGGTTCCGCTGGAATGAACATTTCTGGACGCCCCTCCACGCCCTGCCCCCTCCCCCCCCCCCCCCCCGGAAGGATGAGATGTGGTAGAAAGCTTTTATTTGCGTGGAATTGCATCCTTCGGTTTCTCAAGTCCCATTTCCCTTCATCCGGTCCTGGACGATGTGCAGCTGGGGTTCAGAGCTGGATGCAAAGCCAGGGTCCAGAGCTTCGCTTCCGAGCTGCGTCCAGTTCAGCATCAGGCTGGCTGCTAAATCAGTCCACACACTGTGATCTCTTGGGCAAACGCAGGAGTGTGAGACGACCCCCACTACCCCCCGCAGCCCGGGAGTCAAGCACACGGGCTCCTTTGTTTAGGAGCTTAAGCATCTCAGATCTTCCCACACTTGTAGTGGCCACGCCTCCTCTGGCCAGTGACCTGTTCCAGGGTGTGACTGACAGACCAGCCCCTTCGCCATCTCACCCAGACTTTCCTGGGCCTGCGTCCATTCTGCCCTGTCCAGGCCCGCCTCCCCGTGGTCTGCGGGGAATGGGCCTGGGCAGTGTTCACCAGCAGCTTCCTGGCGACACTGCCCCAGTGAGGCCCATAGTGTTTGGCCTCCCCGTGCCCCTCTCCTGTTAATTAATAACCGGGTTCTTACCATGGTGTCGGAATGAAAGCAGGAGAACGGTTGGGAGGTTACTGCAGAGAGGTCAGAGGTGGGGGAGGTTCCAACCATTGAGTGGCTCAGTGGTTGAGCATCGGCCTATGAACCCAGAGGTCACAGCTCGATTCCTGGTCAGGGCACATGCCCAGGTTGTGGGCTCGATCCCCAGGAGGTGGCATCCAGGAGGCAGCCGATCAATGATTCTCGTTATTGGGGAAAAAAAGAAGTTCACGTATCCATTCGGACCTTCCACTGAACTCATTGCTTTTAGGGGAGTAGAAGCGACGCTTGGACATACCCATCAGACCTTTCCTTTCCTCACGGCTCGGATGTAGCAGCACGGACAGCAGGCGGCTCCTGGGAGAGGTCCCGCGATCCGGGGCAAACAGCATCTTCCCGCCACACACATCCCTGGGCTGGCCGTGCCCGCGTCCCCTCCGTCCTTTTCACAAGCCCTTTGTGTGAGGTGACCAGCCGTCCCGCTTTTGGCGGGACAGTCCTGATTTTTAACAATTTGTCCCGCGTCCCGCGGCGTTTTAAAAAAGTCCCGATTTTTTTAAAATTGGGACTTTTTTTAAACGCCGCGGGAAAAATTGTTAAAAATCGGGACGTCTGGTCACCTTACCTTTGGGGTTACGCACCGGCTGTCAGGGTCTGACCCCCTCGGCGTTCCTGAGCCCCAACGTGCTGTGCACCCCCCGCAGGCTCCATGACGGTGGTGACGGTGAAGGCCGTGGCCGGGATGCTGGTCCTGTCCATCCAGGGGAACCTGCAGCTCGACTACCCCATCTTCTACGTGATGCTCGTGTGCATGGTGGCCACCGCCATCTACCAAGCCACGTGAGTCCGAGTTCCTTTCCTCGGGGCCTCGGCAGGCGGCCCTCTCGTTTTCTGGGGCCTGAGGGAAGGCAAAACATCCGGGTGCAGCCTCCGCCGGGGCTTGGCACCCACCATGGCCAGAGCGGAGGCTGCTAATTTGCTGAGCTTCCTGCGGACGGGGCTCTGTTGCTTAAAAGACAAAGCCTGGAGTGGACATGCTGGACCCTCTGCCTCACCCTGGGAGGGATGTGTGGTCAGAGGCAGCCTCACTCCATCTGCTCCCGGGCAACTATCCAAGTCAGGGACTCGGACTGTGCCGGGCCCAGGAGGCACCCATTGGTCCGCCAGGTGGACAACACGAGGTTGTCATTTCCTATCCTCAAGGAATCGCCCTCAAGGTCTTCCCAAGTGAGAGGGCGAGGGGGTCGCTCCTCTCTCTGAGCACAAGAATTACGTCCAAAGCAGTCTGGGCCTGGTTCACATCTGAGCCTGGGGCCCAGCCGTGGGCCTGGAAGGAGCTGACCGGGCCACGTGGGCAGACGGGTGGGCTGCTCGGGTCTCTATGTGACGCCTGAGGCTGCTTCACCCTGGCAGGCCTGGCTCCCTGTCCACAGGCGTGGCCTCGAGGGATTGCAGGAGTGACTAATGTCCACAGTAAGCCGGCTGGACTCGCACTGATTCCACATGAATTCATTTCACCCCACGACACCCCTTTCCGGCAGATGATACCATCAAGGGCGGAGTTAAAAGGCCAGGGAGGGGTGGAGCTGAGGTTTGAACCCAGGCACCCTGCTCCCCGCCCACAGCCCTCACCCCTCAGCTTCTCTAAGATGCAGATTCTTTGTCTGCAAATGAGAGAAACACTCCCTCCCTGAGAGAATCACACGAAGCTCTCAACACTGCCCCCTGGATACTGGCCCTTGCATGTCAGCTTGTCTGGTCAGTGTTCCTATTCCTGTGTCCATTGTTTCTGTTCTCAGTCTGACTGCAGCAGGTCTAGCCACCACCGCTAAGGCCCTGCCAAGTGCCAGGCTCTGTGCCCGGCGTTCCAGGGGTCACCAGGACGGATCAGATGCCCCGCCCACCTCTGGGGAGCTTCTGGCTCACCCAGTCAGCCACATGCACTAAGGGCCTACTGTGTGCGCAGCTTGTGCAGGGCCTTCCACATACACAGACAAGGAGCAACGGCCACTGTCCTCAAATTCACTGGGGGGCAGCCCGGCACACATGAAGTATGTGATGGCATAAGCAGATATAAAACTCAAACAGTCCACAGGACAAAGAATATATCCTAAAACAGTGGTCGGCAAACGCATTAGTCAACAGAGCCAACTATCAACAGGACAACGATTGAAATTTCTGTGGAGAGCCACATGTTTTATTTTTTTTTTTAATTATTTTTTTTTTTTATCAATCTTTATTGTTCATATTATTACAAAGGTTCCTCATTTCTTCCCCCCTCCACCAGGTTCCCACCCCACCCTCCGTCCCCCCCCCATCCCCCATTGTCCTCATCCATAGGTGCAGTTTATGTTCAGTCTCTTCTTCCCTCAATTTCCCCAATAGTAAATCCCTTTTCAGATAGTAAATCAGTTACTTAGCATTTTCTCATATCAATAATACCTCCACATGCCCAATGATACACTTCATACAAAAGACATTTCCCACTAGGTCAACCAGCCTCATCCAGGCCCCACCCAAGGCACTCACAGATCAACACCCCAGTCCTAAACTAACTCAACACATCCAGATCTAAGCCTTCATCACTTGATTCAGCAGACCCTCAAGTTCCCACGAAAGTTTCCAGCCATGTCTGAGAAGCAGCCGTGGGGCAGGGGCAGGCAAGGAGCGAGCTGTTCCGGGCCTGGCTGTTCAGGGCCTGGCCTCTGTTGCTCTGGTTCATTCCACAACCAGCTGCTCCGGGTCTGGTCACTGCCGCTCCCGACCTAGTTGCTCCGGACTTGGCTGCTGCTGCTCCGGGCCTGGCCGCTCCCAGCCTGGCAGCCGCTGCTCCGGGCCTGGCCGCACCCGACCCGCCTGCTCCCCCGGGCCTGGCCGCTCCCAGCCTGGCAGCCGCTGCTCCGGGCCTGGCCGCACCAGCCCCGCCTGCTCCCCCGGGCCTGGCCGCTCCCAGCCTGGCAGCCCTGCTCCGGGCCTGGCCGCACCAGCCCCGCCTGGAGAGCCACATGTTTTAAACTTAAACTTCTTCTAACGCCACTTCTTCAAAATAGACCCGCCCAGGCCGTGGTATTTTGTGGAAGAGCCACACTCAAGGGGCCAAAGAGCCGCATGTGGCTCCCGAGCCAGAGTTTGCCGACCACGGTCCTAGAACAATGGCAGTTTTATCCTAGATAGAGAGAGGGAATAATTCCAATATTCCCTCTTTTTCCTATGAACAGTGGTTAGCAAAAGTAGGTTTACAGTTTGTATGGAGAAAAGACATGTAGGTTATGATTATAATGTAAGAATAAACTGTTCCATACTCACAACGATAAACCTACTTATGCCCACCGTTGTATATTACAGTGATCACATTTTTTAATTCAGAAGAAAATTTGTTTAAAAAAAATAGTTAACAAGACAGAATGTCACAAGTAAGAGTTTCTCGGAGTGTTAAAGCAACCAGAAATGGTTCTATTTAGTGGGGTGGGGACTCGGGGGACCCTGAAGTGAGGGGAAGGGCATTTCCAGAAACAAGAAACCTTGTGGTCAAAGGTGTGAGCCAGGGAAGGTGTGGCCCTCTCTGGGAACAGGGCTGGGCCTCAGGTTATGAATCTGGAGGAGAACAGGAGCAAAGGCAGGGGCCTCAGACTACGAGATACACAGATGGCTGCTTTATGAACCCGAGGATGCGTCATCTTCGTATTTCATGCCACGGCTGCTACCCTAGCTTCACCTCGCCATTCCGACTCCCCGCAGCCCGCTGACCAGAGTGCTCTTGCGCTGCAGGTTTTTAAGTCAAGCCTCACAGATGTACGACTCCTCTCTGATTGCCAGCGTGGGCTACATCCTGTCCACAACCATCGCCATCACAGCAGGTGAGTGGTGTGGGTTGCTAGGTTTCTGTCTCCTACTTAGCAGCAGGGAGAGTACCCCAGTGTGGAGGGAGGAGAGGGGGTGCCACCTTGGTCCAAAGACCAATTCCATTGACTCGTTCTGCCCGTGGAAGAAGTGTAGGATTTAGCCCTGGCTGGGGGCCTCAGCTGGTTGGAGTGTTGTCCCACACACATTTCAGGTTAATTCCTGATCAGGTCGACATACCTAGATTGTGGATTCAGTCCTCCATCAGGGTGAGTAGGGGAGGCAACCAATCCATATCTCTCTCTCTCTCTCTCTCTCTCTCTCTCTCTCTCTCTCCCTCTCTCTCCCTTCCTCTCTCAAGTCAATAAAAGCTATGGGAGTGGGGGGGGGGGAATTGGTATGGTATGTACACATATACCTTAATAAAAAAAAATGAGGGGAAAAAATAAATAAGTAAATAAATAAAATCAATAAAAGCATATCCTCTGGTGAGGTTGAAGAAGAAGAAGAAAATACAGGATCTAGAGCCAGAAAGACAAGGTTTGCATCCCAGCATAGACACAGAGAAAAGTCATTTACCCTCTCTGTGCCTAAGTTCTACATCCATAAAACAGAAATGCTAACACAAATATGTACCATCTACACGTCCCCTGCTTTGTAGAGTTTGCACGAGGCTTCTTTTAACAGTTTTTGCCATTATCTGCTAGTGCCACAGCCTCCATTGGACAAGACAACACAAATTTCTTCTGTGTAAATTTTGGAGATTATGAGTATATGGAGCATCTGCAACATAATAGGAACTCATTCAATGATGATGAGATGATGATGATTATATACTTCTTTTTTTCTACTCTACTCCTAATTTTTTTTTCTTTCTGAGGTGGCTTTACAGGCTGCAAGCATGTTAGAGGGTGTGTGTTTTTTGTTTGTTTGTTTGGTTGGTTGGTTGGGTTTTTTTTAATATATTTTATTGATTTTTTTACAGACAGGAAGGGAGAGGGATAGAGAGTTAGAAACATCGATGAGAGAGAATCATCGATCAACTGCCTCTTGCACACCCCCTACTGGGGATGTGCCCACAACCAAGGTACATGCCCTTGACCGGAATCGAACCTGGGACCTTCCAGTCCGCAGGCCGATGCTCTATCCACTGAGCCAAACCGGTTTCGGCTTGTTTTTGTTTTAATCCTTACCCAAGGAAATGTTTTCATTAACTTTAGAAAGAGAGGATGAGGGAGAGAGAAAAACATTGATCCGTTGCTTCCCGTACATCCCCCAACCAGGATCTAACCTGCAACCTGCTTATGTGCCCTGACCAGGAGTTGAACCTGCAGTCTTGGTATATGAGACAGTGCTTCAACCAACTGTATCACAACGGCCAGGGCAGAGTTTGTTTTCAAATGGCAATAGCAACTAAAATCTTCAGAATTAAAAAAAAGGCCAGTAAGAACCAATGTGGCCCAGCTGGTGTGGCTCAGTGATTGAGCATTGACCTGTGAACCAAGAGTTCATTGGTTTGATTCCCGGTCAGGGCACATTTCCGGGTTGTAGGCTCGATTCCCAGTAGGGGGCATGCAGGAGGCGGCTGATCAAGGATCCTCTCACATCATCGATGTTTCTCTCTCTCCTTCTCCCTTCCTGTCTGAAATCAATAACAAAAATATGTTTAAGACAAAAAAAGAAAGGTGGGGAAGAGGAGCCTGTGAAAACTGCTAAATACAGTCTGTAGCTTAGTTCCTGGTATTGTTTCATTGCGGGGACCTACGTGGAAACCTTGACTTATTTTTGTGGGTCTAGTATCGTCTGAAATAAAAAGGTAAAAAATGGTGGCGATAAGTGGGGCATAGAAAGGGGACAAAGAGGACAGCCTGTCCCCTGAGGTGGTTTTACTTTGGTTCTCCTAATACCTCACTGGGCACAGTCATAGTCTTTTATGATCGCTTGGGTTTCCTACAGGAGAGAGAGCTTCGCCAGATCCCAGACAGACTGGCAAGCAGGTGATCTGAAATCAGCTCACCCGCGTTTTGCGTTCTTTGCTGCAGGCGCCGTGTTTTACCTGGACTTCATCGGGGAGGACGCGCTGCACATCTCCATGTTTGCACTGGGGTGAGTCCGCCCTCCTCTCTGCCCCCCCCCCCCCCGGGGCCTTGGGTGTACAGCTCCAGGCAGGGTGCTTCCCTTGACTTATTGCCTCTCGGGCAGTCACTGAGGGCCAGGGAGCCGCTGGGACAGGAGCTTCCTCCCCGGAGGTGAGCACATTCCTCCCTAAGGGCTCCATTTCCTTCCCCCATTTCCTTCTCCTTCCTTCCCTGTTGGGCTTTCCTCTCCCTGTCACTTCTAAAAATCACATTTTAGCACATGAAAGGCCTGGCAGCCTGACCTCAGATCAAAGAGATACATATTGAAGCTGCATGAGATGGCATCATTTTGCAAAAACTAATAGGATTGGTAATATTTCACGTTGGCAAGAGGATGAGGAGACTGTGAGGAGCTCTTTAATGTGGGAAAGGACAGTTTGGCCATATCAATAAAAATTTTAGATGAGTGCATTTTGGATGTAGCATTTCATTTCTAATTTACTTTGGGGAAATCATTGAAATGGGACACAAAAACACATTAATTTTAAAGTCAGTGGTTTAAGCAAATAATTGGAAGCAACATAAATGCCCAGCAGTAGAAACAGGTTAAATTATAATATATTCATGTAATAAATTACCTTGGTGCCATTTTGAAAAATTGAGGCCAGTAGATAGGTACTGACATAGAACTGTCTAGAATACATTAGATGGAAAAAGTTACTTTAAAAAAAAAATGTATAATCTGGTCTAAGATCCCACAGTTCCATCTCTAAATATATTCCCCACAGAAATTAGTACATATATCGACAAAAAATGACTTATACACGAATATTTACAGAAGCTTTATTCATAATATACTCAAATCGGATATAATCCAAATGTCTGTCAATAGGAGAGGGAAAAACAAATTGTAGTATAGTCAGATAATGGGTTCAACACAACAATTAAAAATAATGAAGTAAGACATAATAAAGTGGGTGAATCTTAAGGACATTTATTGGCCGAAAGAAGCTAGCCATGGAAAGAGTCCTACACACTCTGAGGTAGCTTCCCAGAACTCCATAAACAGGCAGATGGAATTGCGGTGAGAGAAGTCACAGTGGTGGTTTCCTCTGGAAGGGTTGCATGACTTGGGAAGAGGCTCAGGGACACTGGGGGGTGGAGGGATGGAAACCTTCTCTGCTGACCTGGTGGTGACCACACGTGTGTGTACACAGATTAAATGATGGACCTCTGTACTTAGGGTTTGTGCGCTTTACTGCATGACAATCATACCTCCGTTTTTATTTTATATTTTTTTAGTGAATATGTTTTTATCGACTTCAGAGAGAGGAAGGGAGAGGGAGAGAGCCATAGAAACATCAGTGATGAGAGAGAATCATCTATCAGTTGCCTCTTGCACGCCCCCTACTGGGAATCGAGCCCACAGCCCAGGCATGTGCCTTGACTGGGATCAAACCATAACGTCCTAGTTCATGGGTCAATGCTCAACCACTGAGCCACACCAGCCAGGCCATAATTCTATTTTTATAAAGTGGCTTGTTTATCCAGGCTCCAGGGAAAAGAAAAAAAAAATTACTCTGGAAGAATATACACCTGCCTGAGGGAGTGGGACTGGGAGAGTACACGGACTTTCCAATTTTTACTTTCTCTGCCCCTGTATTGATTACACTCAGGCTTTAGAGAAGATTTTAAATTAAAACAAATAGTTTAAAGGCAAGGTTCCGAGATCCAGGCTAAGGAAGTGAAGGACGGTGAGAGTTTTGCTTGGGTGAGTCCAATGTATCCTGCTGAAGGCTTGTGCAGAGAGCATAGGGCGCGTGGGTCTCATTCATCTCACGTCCGCTCCCCGCCGACCGCAGGCCCCGCAGCCTCCCCAGGCTGCTCTGCATGAGCGCCCCCTCCGCAGCTACAGCCTCTTTCTCCCGCCGTCCCAGGCCTGGCTTTGGAAGGAGCCCTCCCAGCCTCACGCTGGCCTTCTTTCTCCTCCTCCCCTTCTCTCTCTCTGTCCCTCAGGTGCCTCATCGCATTCCTGGGCGTCTTCTTAATCACGCGGAACAGGAAGAAGGCCATTCCGTTTGAGCCCTATATCTCCATGGATGCCATGCCAGGTAACGTGAACACCCGTGTCTGCCGCGGGCCTGCTCATCCACATAGAACCACTGCTGCTTCCTGTGTAAAGGGAGACTCTGCGGCTGGGTTTGGTACAGGGCTCGCGTGCTGTGCCGTTATGGTGTGATTGTTGGTCTTTCTTTTCTTTCTTTCTTTCTTTTTTTTTCTAGTCTCAGTGTGCAAAAGAGGAGGAGGCCGTGGCTGAGGAGCCTCAGTGGGTTTTGAGCACATCTTGCCAGTTCCCCTGTCTATTTTGAGATCTTTTAAAGACAGTCCTGATTCATGCTGGATATAATTAATTGCGATCTGCAGCACCAGGCTTCATGCCTGCAGAAAGGAAAACCCATGCATCTGGTTGGAATGGAGTGATCAGAGAGGGGAAGGAAAGTAGAACAAAGGGAAAAGAAAATGAAAAAAGTAGAGTGAACGCAATTCAAATACTATAAAACCTCACTCCTTCAATGGTCGGCAAACTCATTAGTCAACGGAGCCAAATATCAACAGGATGATTGAAATTTCTTTTGAGAGCCACATTTTTTTTTTTTTAACTTAAACTTCTTCTAACGCCACTTCTTCAAAATAGACTTGCTCAGGCCGAGGTAGTTTGTGGAAGAGCCACACTCCAGGGGCCAAAGAGCCACATGTGACTGAGAGCCGAGGTTTGCCGACCACTGCCTTCGACTACAAAGGGGTGGATTGCTCTGGAAGACCTGGTTTCCCAGGGAGCTAAGGGTTCCCGCGGAAAAGCACACGCTTGAATGTCCTGAAGGCCTGGCTGTAACACAAATGCGTTAATCAGCAAAGTATTGCACAAAAGGGAGTGGTGTGGCCTGTGGAGAAGGGGAAGGTCCCGCCTACAGGGACCTCGGCTAGAAAAGTTAGGACGCTGGGCCAGCCCCATCCGCGTTTGCTGACCTAAATTCTGAGTTGTCAGTGACCACTAGTTTTCACTCTTTTTTTTTTTTAATATATTTTATTGATTTTGTACAGAGAGGAAGGGAAAGAGATAGAGAGTTAGAAACATCAATGAGAGAGAGTCATCGATCAGCTGCCTCTTGCACACCCCCTACTGGGGATATGCCCGCAACCAAGGTACATGCCTCTGACCAGAATCAAACCCGGGGCCTTTCAGTCCCCAAGCCGACGCTCTATCCATTGAGCCAAACCGGTTTCGGCACTAGTTTTCACTCATTAACTCAATTTTTATCTTCAATCCATTAGATAGACCTCTCCCCCACGCTTCATTAAGACAGTCGAATGAACAAAATGTAGCCACATCGATGGCATAGAGAGCTCTGGAGGTAGGTGTGTGCTCAGGGCTGACTGAGGTGCCCTCCCCCAGTGACCCCAGGGTGTGTGTGTCTACTTGTTCCATTATTTCCCCATCTCTCACCACGAAGCCATTGTCTGTCGTTCTTGCCGGCACCAGCCCGCAATTCCTGCGGTTACCGGCAGAGCAACACCCTGTAGGTCTTCTCCTTTGACCCAATGTGTTTGAATTGTGTGTAAAATTAAAATAAGTGAGCTCTGAGTTGGGGCCTTCAGGCTTCTCTGAGGCGTTAGGTGCATGAGCCTTAGTGCATGGACTTTTCAAACATCTAACCTGGCTGCTCAGATGCCTTTTTTGCTTACTTCCTTGTTCTCGGCTGTGTTCCGGATAGATGAGGGCGCTGGATAGCTGAATTCCAGATAGGTGAGGTGTCAAACCCTGTGTGTGTGCAAATGTGTGTCCCTGTCTGTGTGTTGGTGTGTTGACAAACTGTGTATGTGTATATACCTGTATGCGTATCCGTATATGTTCATATACGGATGTGTTTCCGGTAGAACATACTAGGAGAAGGTGACCGGAGGCAATCCTAAAGATCAGCACTCTGTGTTGCCTGTCTGTGGATGTGGCTCTTGCTTCCTCGTGGTGCCCTGTGACCAGCGGGGAGTAGGTGTTGAGGGAAGGAGGCCCTGCCCCATGGCTGTGGCCTGCCACACACTTCCGAGTAGACGTGTGTTTTGCACTGTGAAGAGCTTGGGCTTAGAGTTCAGATGATCTGGATTCAAATCCCAGCTCTACAGCCCTTACCCGCTCCGCAACCTTGGCCTCTGACCCTCCCTGGACACTGGGACTCCTTCCGGGGTGGCAGGATAACATGGTAAAGGCCCCTTGGCACAGCGTCTGGGACATGGTAGATGCCTGGTTACATTTGGTTCCACTTCCCTTTTGCTTAAAAAAAAAAAAAAAAAATGAGCACGTGTTTGACCTAAATCCAGGTGGAACTAGAAGAATAAAACTGCTTACCCAGAGTGGTTTTTCAGGCCATTTGGTTTCCCTGGTCAGCATTTAGACCTTGCTTTCGGTCTGCCTACACTGGTGTCTGCACGACAGACTAGCTATTGTGAGGAGGCATTAAAATCCCAAAGAGTCACTACATGCCACCATTTGGAGAAGCTTTAGGAAGTTCTGGCTCCAGAAAGATAGGGAGAGAGAGAAAGAGAGAGAGAAAGAGAGAGAGAGAGAGAGAGAGAGAGAGAGAGAGAGAGAGAGAGAGAGAGAGAGAGAGAGACCCTGCTAGGTGGGAGCTGGGTCTTGGGGTTCCAGGCTGAACACAGAGGGCTTCACAGAACACCCCCACCAGACAGCCTCCTGTGACCCTGATGGGTCAGGCACAAACAGGGCCACCCCAGAACATGCCCAAACACTGACGACACGGGAACATTGTCTAACCACAAAAAGGAACAACCACCCCCTCACATGAGTGACTGCTGCTCTTTACCAATCACAGCGTTAGCCTCAGTCTGGTCTTCTCTCTTTCTGGATAAGAATTATTCAGATCCTCAATTATAGAATTTCTAGAGGCCTGGTGCACAAAATTTGTGCACAAGGGGGTGGGGGTGTCCCTCAGCTTAGCCTGCACCCTCTCCTATCTGGGACCCCTCGAGGGATGTCCAACTGCTCCTTTAGGCCCAATCCCACGATCCACTGGCCTAAACGGGCAGTCGGACATCCTTCCCACAATCCAGGACTGCTGGGTCCCAACTACTCGCCTACCTGCCTGCCTGATTGCCCTAACCGGCTAGCCTGATCACCCCCTAACCACTCCCTTGCTAGCCTGATTGATGCCTAACTGTTCCCCTACCAGCCTGATTGCCCCTAACTTCCCTCCCTTCCTGGCCTGGTCACCCCCCAACTGCCCTCTCCCTTTTGCAGGCCTGGTCTTGTCCCCTGCCCCCCCACTGCTCTCCCCTGCAGACTTGGTCCCCCTAACTGCCCTCCCCTGCTGGCCTGGTTGCCTACAACTGCCTCCCCTGCCAGCCATCTGTGTCCACATGGGGGCGGCCATCTTATGTGTTGGAGTGATGGTCAATTTGCATATTACCCTTTTATTAGATAGCATCCCCACTTCCTGACAGCATCTAATCCAAAGCAAAGTCCTGCTTCCTTAAACTCTCCCCCAATCACCTAACACAAACCCAAATAATAAGTTCTTTCTGATGTTATACCTTCTTACTTAAAAACCCCCAGTTCTGGAACACCCCCAGTTCCCCATGGTGTCCACCTCCCTCAATGGGCCGGTAAAGCCAGGTTCGTTAGACTCCGGGTGTGCTCCTGCTGGTCTGTGGCCAGAGAGCATTGACAGAATCCAAAAGCTAACCCACGCCTGGTGAGGCAGCTCTCTTCCCCCAGGGTTAGGCATCCCTTTCATCTTCCCCCACCCCCCAAATTCAGACCACAGACCCTTCAACTGTACCCTTCCAGTGACCATCAGCTCAGGCTCAGGCAATGTGGGAACAAGGGTCCTTCCACAAACTGGGTCTTCCCAGCCCCTCTGTAGAGTGAATAAGAGCACGGGCTTTGGTGTCAAGAGCCCAACCGTGTCTCTTACTGCTGTGTGACCTTGAGCAAGTTGCTTCACCTCTCTGAATCTGTCTGGTCCTGAGAACGAGGAGAGTAGCCTCTCTTTGTCCTGGGGTCTTTGGAGATTACGTGCAGGGAATCTATAGAGCGGCCCACACAGCATTCCACGTCAGAGTCTGGGCTTCGGAGTCTGAACCACCTGAGTGTGAGCCCTGGGGGCCCGGCCACTCACAGCTCTGTGGTCTCCAACGCCTCCTTTTCCTTGTTGGCAGTTGTAAGGACCAAATGGCATAAAACTTTATAACCGTTTGAAAACAGTGGCTGCCCCCGGCTAAACATTCAGTACGTGTAACTGTTATCGTTATTGCTGTCGTTAACTATTACTATTGAAAGCACTTAGCCCAGTGTCTAAGGCCTATTGAGCAGTCCGATGTCAGTCAGCTGTTTTATCATCATTGCGCTTTTATAGAAATCACTTTGCATTCAATGTCTCATGACTCAGTGTGGGAGCGAGAGAATTGGAAGGGTCTTAACTCCCTACAAGCTAAAAGAGTTGCTTCAGAAAAGACCAGGCCCCACCTGACTAGTGGCAGGGGGAAGGTGGGGAGTGGTTGTAGAATAAGGTAAAGGAATTCATGACTCAAGTCTTTGCCCTCAAACGTAAGTATATAGAAATCCAACATCATTGTGCCCGGAGGTAATAAGAGAAATCACACCCTCCCTTCTATGTGGATCTGGGATGTTAATGTTCAGATCAACACTCTCCCTCTGAGCATCCTGATGCAGTCTGTCACTATGACATGTGTCTGTGACACAGGATTTACCCTCTTCTGTCAACAGTATAATGAGGTCTCCTGGGTCCTAGTGTCCCCCGGCAGGAAAGCGATGGCATCTACCATGTCCAGAGCCCAGCTATGGTTCCACGCCCCTCGCGGCCCAAACAGATGTCCCCCCTCATTCTAGGCCAGCCGAGGGTTTCTCTCGACAGTGGCTGGTCTGTGTGCATAGTTCCTGAAGAGGCACCCCTTCTTGCTTAGCAGCCGTTAATATTTCTGGTATATATTTATGAGTGTTCTTTTTTTTTTTTTTAATATATTTTATTGATTTTTTTACAGAGAGGAAGGGAGAGGAATAGAGAGCTAGAAACATCAATGAGAGAGAGATATCCATCAGCTGCCTCCTGCACACCCTCCACTGGGAACGTGCCCACAACCAAGGTACATGCCCTCAACCGGAATTGAACCTGGGACCCCCGAGTCTGCAGGCCGACTCTCTATTCACTGAGCCAAGCTGCTCAGGGCACTATGGGTGTTCTTTTTTTGATCCAGAGCATTCGGGAAATTGGCCATGTCTCAGATTAGCTCTCGAGCGCCCTAGTCGGCCTGCGGTGGGACAGCCTCCTTCGGCCCCTCACCCCATAATGACCGGGGGGGACACGGGTTTCATTGCAGGGATGCAGAACATGCATGACAAGGGGATGGTGGTCCAGCCCGACCTCAAAACTTCCTTCTCCTACGGGGCCCTGGAAAGCAACGACAGCATTTCTGAGATCTACGCTCCGGCCACGCTGCCCGTCATGCAGGAAGAGCACGGTTCCAGGGGCGCCCCCGGGGCTCCCTACCGAGTCCTGGAGCACACCAAGAAGGAGTGAGCCCACCCCTCGGGAGACCCCCTCCCCGCCGCTCGCCGCTGCGCAAGCTGTGCCCACCACGGTTCAGCTCTTCGTCCCAGAACTCGCCTCTCAAGCTGTACTTTTTAAAAGCCGGGAGCTGTGCGGAGGGGGATCTAGGAAAGGCTTTGTCTCTGGCAGAGGTTGTGTGGACCCTGGTCTGGGACATTTCCGATGTCGGGGTGAGGGGAGAGGACGGAAGCAGTGTTCCCGGCGGGCGGGCGGGAAGCAGCCTCTGCCCGGTGAGTCCAGCGGGTTTGGAAAGCCTTCCTGGCCTTGACCTTGGCAACTGGGCTTCCGCAGCCAATGACCAAAGCTTGCCACATTCCTCAGAGCTCAGGCCAGCCCGAGGTTCTGCTGGTTCTCACCAAACCCCACGCAGGCTGGAGACCTCTCAGGCTCGCCCTCCCCCACCTCACGTGCAGGCCCGCTCCGCTGGCTACCCTCTCACATGTGATTCCATGTTTGCGGTAACGTTTGTGTGGACGTCCCGTGGCTAGTGGGTCAGCCTGTCGTCGCCCGTAGGAAATGCACTCTGCCCTCGTCGTCTGTGCCTCCCAGGGGAGTGTGCTGGGCTGGTTAGAGTGGATCTCCTGGGAAAACTCATTTGGTTTTGGTTCTGTGAACTACTTGATAGCTCCCCACCCCCTTGCGAAGAACTGGGAGGTTAAGAGAAGATGGGGGGGAAGGGGGCAGGGGGGAGAGAGAGGAACAAGGACAGGGGCAGAGTGATGCACATCAGCCCTTCACGGAAGAAGAATCCCTTTCCATCTTACAGGAGGCGATTGCCTCATGTATAAAAGGATAGACAGGAAATCTGGCTGTTGTAGGGTTTTCTCCCGCACACCAACGCCCTCTGGTAAGATTGGGGGCGGTGGGGGGGGGGGGATGCTCATGTCAGAGACAGCATGGATCCCCCCCTCCCCCATTCTCATTAGACATCGACACACCTAGCCTGAGATAATGGCTCATTTTCCCGGCGTCAGCAGAGACTGCTGCGTCCTCATCCCAGGCACGTGTCTGGACGGCGCACACATCCTCAGAGATGGAGCTGCACCCCCCCCCCCTTTTTGGGGGCGTCCGACTGTACTGTACCTTCTTCCTCTGGACTGGGTATTTTTGAGAATGGCAGGAAAAGGTTCGCCAATCTTAAAGACCCCCCTGGCCCCAGGGGGTTTATTGAAAATGCAAATTCCTATACCCCAACCACAGGCACTCTGACCAAGTGGGACAGGGGTAGGGCCCAAGCATCTGCATTCTTAACTCTCAGCCCAGGGGGTTCTGATGCAGGTGATCCAAGGATCGCACACCTCGAAAGCCTGGTCTCTGAGAGAGCCGGTCCAGGGGCAGACACGCTCCTGCCGGGAAGCTGGCACTGCCAGTCCTTGTCTCCGCCCTGGGGTCCACCGGGCAGGTCAGGGAATCCCCGCAGGATCAGGGGCCCCTCCACTCACTGATGGCTGCTTAGAGCTACGCTTCCTGCTTCCCCGCGGCCTCTCGCTCCCGGGCAAGATAACAGTGTTAACAGACCAGCGCTGGTGGATCATTAACCATTATGGATTGTGCTTAATGCCGACTTGGTTCCTTGGCTTCAAAAAACTGTCTCTGTTGCCTGTGGTAACCGTTTCCGTATTGTATCTTAACCGCGTCTGTATTGTGTCTTACCTGCCTACGAGGGCAGCGGACAGCGAATGCCCTTTTTCCCTTTAGAGACTATATTTACGAGGCACTTACTATTTTTTAAGCGTTTGGACAGGGAGGACAAATAGGTACAGAGTGGCTCCTGCCCTCCAGGCCGGCAGGGGGAGACACAAACACCCAGACACGGCAGGGAAACTGGCAGGGCAGGCAGGAGCAACAGAGGACCACAGAAAAGGTCAGTTTTGGGGGGTCCTGCTACAGGTCAGGTCCTGAGCCTAGAATGAGGTATCCAAAACGCAGGTGATGTGGGCCCCACTCACTGATGATTGGCAAATCTAAGTTTTGGACAAAGCACGGGAAGTCCAACGATCATCCCCACCCCAGCCCCTCCCAGGCAGAGGAGCCAGTGTTTGCAGAGGCACAGAAGTTGGGAGGGAGGGGTCACAGGGGGAAATGGGGAGGGGGGGGAGGTGGTGGTGGGAGATGAGCCTGGAGCAATAAGCAGTGGGAGCCAATCACAGAGGGCCTTGAGCTCCGGAGGCAGAGCCTGAAGTCATGGCGGAGGCCTGGCAGTCCTGCATGGCTCAGGAGGAAGAGAACGCGGGTGGGCACTGGGTGGAAAGGAGGCCTTCCTTATGCCTAGGGAGGAGCTGCGGTCCTGCAAGAACAGAACACAAAAGGGGGGTGAAAATCCAGTCCTGCTGCTCTTCAGGGGAGGGGGCATCACCTTTCCACTCGCATCCTGAATTGCCATTCGTCCTCATGGCCCTGTTACCCCCAAGCCCTCCCCAATGCTTCAAGGACATTGAATATCACGCGCCTCTCTCTCCTTTCCTCTCCCGCCCCGGGGTCCCCTCCTCTAGAGGCTGGGATTCTGGTCTCCCTGATCAGTTTTGACCAAAGTTCAGCGCCCCCTTCCCGTGACCCCTCCCATGAAGCTCCAGGTCTGACCATACCATCCCATGGAGCTTGAAATCTCATAGTGGGGGGGTCGGGGGGGTTGCAGGATAGACTTGGACACTGAGTAGGGAATTGGACGTCTCCATTACTTTTCCAGTGGAAACCAGCCAGCTTGATGGTGCTGTGTGGATCCAAGTCATCCGTCGGGGTGGTGGTGTGGATGCTAAACTTGGTCCAACACTGGCTGATGAGCAAAAAGAACTGTGTGTGTCTCTGAGAAGCTATGTAAATGAAGTCACCTTAGAATATATTCTATGTGGATGCTTCTATTTTGTTAACTTCTTGACTAATATGGCATGTCTTATTTTTCAAAAAAAATGTGTGTGTTAGGTGCAAAGAAAAATATAAAGTGGTATTTAATTTTAAAACAACCCGTGTGATGTCTGTTGAGTTTACGTCTTATATTTGGCTAATTTTTTCTCTAGAGCAATTGAACTTTTATGTATATTTTACCACGTCTTTTTAAAAAGGAAACCCAGTACCCTTTAGCTATCCTTCCCTATACCCCCACCCCACCCTCCCAACTTCTGGTAACCACTAATCTACTTTCTGTCTCCCTAGATCTCCCTACTTTGGATTTTCACATGAATGGAATCCGATAGACTCTCGATTCTAATAATTACAGGCTGTTGTTGTTCCTTATGACTTAAGCCCCAACCCAGTGGTTGGCAAGCTCATTAGTCAACAGAGCGGCAAACCTCAGCTCGAGAGCCGCAGTTACCAACCACGAGATATGTGGATTTGTGTGCCTGGCTTCTTTCCCGTCACATGTTTTCACAGTTCACCTGAGCTGTAGCCTGTGTCCATACTTTGTTCATGTTTATGGCTGAATACCCTCTTACCTTTTATTTTATTTTATTTTATTTTATAAATATATCTTATTGATTTTTTACAGAGAGGAAGGGAGAAGGATAGAGAGCTAGAAACATTGATGAGAGAGAATCATCGATTGGCTACCTCTTGCACATCTCCTACTGGGGATGTGCCCGCAACCAAGGTACATGCCCTTGACTAGAATTGAACCTGGGACCTTTCAGTCCGCAGACCTACACTCTACCACTGAACCAAACTGGCTTCAGCACCTTTTAAATGTTAATAATGGCAACTAGTTTCCTTGGTTCCTTTCCTTCTAGGAATGGTAGCCTCTTTCTGCAATTGCTACTCCATCATCCCCAAGAGTTCTTTTTACTTATTCAGTTACTAGTCAATATTCTTTGTACGTATCTGGGTAACAATCCTTTATATTAAGTTGTTTTTTAAATTATTTTTATTGATTTCAGAGAGGAAGGGAGAAGGAGAGAGTTAGAAACATCGATGAGAGAGAATCATTGATTGGCTGCCTCCTGCACGCCCCACACTGGGGACTGAGCCCATCACCTGGGCATGTGTGCCCTGAACTGAACCATAACCTCCTGGCTCATAGGTCCATGCTCAATCACTGAGCCATGCCAGTTGGGCTTAAATTCTTTTCTTTTTTTTTTTAATGGTTTTGTTTGTTTATTTGTTTTTGTTTTGTTTTGTTTTTTTAAATTTCAGAGAGGGAGAGGGAGAAAGAGATAGAAACATCCATGATGAGAATAACTGATTGACTGCCTCTTGCACACCCCCTACTGGGGATCAAACCTGCAACCCAGGCATGTGCCCTGAATGGGTTGAACTGGGACCTTTTGGTTCATGGGTCAATGCTCAATCACTGAGCCACACCAGCTGGGCTTTTATTAAATTCTTCCCGTTCAAATTGCAAGTCTCCAAATAGCTGTCAGTTTGACTCCTGTCTCCTGACTGATAGTCAAGAAAAATCAAAATAATTTTAGTCCCTGGGCTATTTATGCAGCTGCCCATTTTTAGCGTTCCATTTTCTCCTGGGCTCTCTCTGCGCCCCTTCCTTTCTGATTGGTCATTTGGATCTTATTCTCAATCTGCCTGCCACTCAAAGCAATCAGGAAATAATGTCTCCTAACAAATTCAAGGATTGCATTGTTTAAAGACCTGCTCCTTCAGGCTGGCTAGGATACCATTGCTTGAATATGCCATAGTTTGTTTATCCATTCTTCTTTTTCTTTCAACAGTTTATTGATTTTTAGAGGGGAGGAAGGAAGAGGGAGAAAGAGAAACATCCATGTGAGAGTGTAACATCCATCAGTTGCCTCCTGCACGCCCCCTACTCAGGGAGTGAGCCTGAAACCCGGGCATGTGCCCTGACCAGGAATCAGACTGGCAGCCTTTCAGGGCACAGGACGATGCCCAACCAACTGAGCCACACTGGCCAGGGCTACCCATTCTTCTTTTGATGGACACTTAGGATATTTCCAGTTTGGGGAGAGTATGAATAAAAAGTATTCTTTTTTGGGGGGAGGGATGGACATTTGCTTACAATAGAATTTCTGGGGCATAGGCTAGGTGTCCATTTAGCTTGATACCTGGGCAAACGGTTTCCAAAAAGAAACAGTCATCTCCACTTACATTCCATCAGCAATGCACGAAGGTGAGATGGAGATCGTTCATCCCTTCTCCTACTTCCCTAGCACAAATCTAATTTAGAGATTTTAAAGCACTGACTTTTAAATCTACCCAAGAGTGACAAAATCTGAAATGAAAACTCCTCTCTGGAAATGCTCCTGAGAGGCACGAGACGAGTCCCTGAACATCTGCAGCAGCATCTGACGGCTCCATCCGTTTCCCAGGACAGAAAACACTGTCAACCTCAGCACAGCTGTCAAGTGGGTCCAGCCACAAGGGGTCAACTTCTCTCTCTCTCTCTCTCTCTCTCTCTCTCTCTCTCTCTCTCTCTCTCTCTCTCTCTCTCTCTTTCCCTCTCTCTCTGCCTCTCTCTCTGCCTCTCTCTTTCTCTCTGCCTGAAACTCAAAACTCACAGTGATGGGAAGGAGGGTTAGAAATGTGAAACGGTGTCAAGTTCATTCGCCACAAGCATCTATTACACACTGTGCCCAGCACCTTGCTGGACGCGATGGGGAGAAGAAAGATGTGGAAGATTCTGTGCTTACTCTCGAGTTTCTCATAACCTAGTGGGTAAGGTTCAACATGGAAACTTCCTCTGCCCGCCACATAAAGGTGGGTGCTGTTTTGGATCCTGCCCTTTGCCCTTTTGTGTTCTGTCCCACATGCTCGTCCTGGGTCATCTCGTCTGAGCCCATGATTTCAACCAGCCACCACCCTCCCTCCAAAACCACCACGCCTGGCCCGAGCTCACCCTGGGCTCCAGACCTATGTTTTCCAACTACTTCCTCAACGCTTCCCTCATGCTCACCACGTACATGTAACTCACCAGTACATTCTGTTACCTTTGTCCTTATAATACAGTCAGGATCACACTCTTTTTCACCACTTCCTCCCCTATGACTGTTGGCCAGGCCACTGCCATCTCTGGTCTGCGTTATCGCAGTAATGCTACTCTAATAACGGATGGCTATTGGATTGCAAATGCCTGCTCTTTGTCCTTTCCCTTCCTTTCGGTAATAGAGACTTGAATTACATTTTTTTAAAATATATTTTTATTGATTTCAAAAAAGAAGGAGAGGGCGAGAGAGGTAGAAACATCAATGATGAGAGAGAATCGTCAATCGGCGCCTCTTGCACACACGCCCCCCCACCCCCGCCTTCCAGGGACTGAGCCTGCAACCCAGACATGTGCCCAGACTGGGAATGGAACCATGACCTCCTGGTCCATGGATTGATGCTCAACCACTGAGCCACACCAGCTGGGCAGAAACTTGAATTGCTTTTGATGAATGTAACCATCAGGGTTCCAGCAGGAGGAGGATTTGAGGGAGATTGGTAAAGGCTACTTATACATGTGTGGGCAAGGTTGAGGGAAACGAGAAGTAATGATGGTATGAGACCCTGAGCTTCCGACAGAAAAGAGCCATTTCCACCTCTAGGCCAAGAGAAGGGAGACTATCAGAACCGGGAGAGAGACCTGTATGAAAAGAATCACTCGATAGAAGCCTCGGTAGATGTATGTGGCCTATCTGCAGTGACCTAGAAGGGAAGGGGCCTATGAAATAATACCCTCCCTCATCCTCCTCCAGCCCTCTCATCTCCTCCCAACACCTTCTGCTGGAATGAATGTGACTGTAAGCCAGAGGCACCCATTCAAGCCAGCCATGCGGGTCGGCTTCCTGAGGCACCAATCAGAAAAGAAAATGGCAGAAGGTAGATCCGAGGGGAAGAAAGCACCTTGCACAGGAAGCCACTTCTCCCCAGTGCTCAGCCCATGAGGTTTAAGAGCTGCTGATCTCAACCCCAGAGGCAAGTACATGAGCCAGGCCTGAGTTGCGAGAATATCCCTTCTCCCTTCTCAAGAGAGTGGTTTAGTGATGTTATAGACCAACAAGAGCAGTCCTGGGACTTGCGTTGACAGCATGGAGGAAAAGAAACTCTCTTTCTGCTGGTAGGGATGCGACTGGAAGTTGTAAGCAGCTATTCTGCCCGTTCATTGGGAAAGGCAGCTTGAGAATGAAAAGTCAACGAGAAAACAAAGTCAGGAAATGGAGAACAAAGACTACATCCCGATGTCACAGTTTAAGCACCTGGATCCAGCCATGCTGAAGTCCATGACTTTTCCGTTATATGAGTCCATGAATCCCATCATTGCATAACCCAGTTTGAATGGTATATTGCATGCAAAAAAAAAATAATAATAAAACAAAAAAACTTGAACAATATTTAATACCAAAAACCAACACAAAGGTTTACTTATATGTCCAACTAAGCTGTTATTTCTCTGGAATGCCTTTTCCATATACTCCACCTAGAAAACTCCTACTCAAATAGCCTCTTTTTTTTTTTTTTTTTTTTGGTTGGTTGTTTTTTTGTTAATTCTCACCTGAGGATATTTCTTCCATTGATTTTTATTTTTGTAGGGAGAGGGGAAGAGAGAGGGAAAGACAGAGAAACATTGATGTGACCGATTGGTT